TGCTCACGATTCTTCCGGCGTCGTGAGGTTGCTGTTGCAGCACTATGCTCCTCAAGTTTACACTCAATATAGCCATCGATAGGGCCGTGTAGCTCAGCTGCACGGACAAACGTGTTGAAATAGCTATTCCAGCGTGTCTTAACAGGCTTCACAAGCTGCCGGATGTGGGGTGTAACACCTAGAGACTCTGCCTCCTCGCACTGTAGGCGCTCTAGTAGTTGTCGAGTTTGAGGCGTACAGATAGACGCAATCACGTCAAAGAGGACGCCAACAGGACCGTATTTGCGCCACTCATCCATGTACTTCTCCTCTTCCTCAAGGTGTGCGGCTTCATTCTCGTACGCGCTACGGTCTTTGCCCCAAATTACTAATTGTGCGCTTAGGTTGAGTATATGGCAGCAGCACCGCAGCCGCCGCTCGCTTGCGATAAAGCCAAACTCCTCTGCTAAGGACTCAACTGCAGTATCATTGTTACTTGCGTTGTCAAGCACAAAGTACCCAACCCTCGCGTTGTCAACGCCAAATAGCCGAAGTATTGTTGTTGCTGCAGCGGCAATATTATTGCCAGTGTGCGCCCCGTGTAGCTCAGGCAACCCAAGCAGGTGGTCAACTAGCTTGCCCTCGCTGTTAAGGTAATGTACGCAGAGGCCAGTAAAAGCATACTGCCCACCAGTTGAAGTCCAGTTGTCGAATGACACGTGTATAAGCGACCGGGCTTCGCGAAGGTAGTTGGCAACAGCTAGTATGTATGTATTGTACTCAGTAATAATATGATCGTGGAGCGTTTAGTGGCTACGCCAAAGGAGAGCTTCGGCTAGCGGGCTCACGGCCGCAATCATGGCTCGAAACTGCGGCGTTTCTATTACGCGAAGGCTCTGGTTGTCCGCGACTACCCAGTCCTTCAGCGCGTCCTGAAATCGAGAGGTTGAAAAGCTTGCTGCTATCTCGTTTGCTACCTCTTGCGATACTTCTATCCCTTTAGACCTCATAATATATACTTGGGACTTTGCGAGCGCGCCCATAATATTGCCCTCCCGGCTAGCAATTGGTACAGGTCCGTTAGGTCCGTGTGAGTGTCCAGGCTTGTTGCTTGAGAGGTGTCGGCCGGCGTTTGTAGTGCTGTCAGCCTCGTAGCAAGCCTCCTGCTTCCGTCGTTGATGGCAGTACCGGCAAAGCCAGTAGTTTTTCTTGTACTTGCGGTGCCAGACGGCCCAGCCGTGGCGGTAGATCCAGCTTTTTGGCCCACCGCGACTATTACGCTCAACCTGGCGCCGCTCAAGATACGGCACACGCTTAAAATCAAGCCCGTCGTAATTGTCGTCGTCGTCGTCGTCGTCGCCGTCGTTGGGGAAGTCCGCCTGTACTGCCAAGGGCTCATCAGCCTGGGCCTCGCTCGCAGTATCGCCAACAGTAGGCGCGTTTGATAGCGATGGTAGAGGAGAATTGCGCTTGTCGCATTCTACAAGGCGGCGAAGGCCTGAATTAGAGGGAGTAGACATGAAGTACACCAAGAAGTATTATGGCAACAGTAGTCTAGCGTCGTGTGTATAGCAGACGCGACGCGACGCGACGCGAAAGGCTTACTAGGTGCGCACCGGGTAGCGCATTTCCGCAAACTCTAATTAGCTTAAAGCTAGATGCTTTAACTTATATAGGATTAGTGTCTTTATATCTAGGACTAGCGCGGCTTCGAAGCCGCACTAAATGTGGCTTTCACAACTCTAAAATACTGCTTTAAAAACAGCTAACGTCAGTCTAACGTCAGTCAGTTCAGTCAGTCTGGAGGCTTCTGAACTGACTGGACTGACGTCCAGCTGCCTCAAGAACTGACTGACTGAACTGAGTCTTGGCAGTCAGTTCAGTCAGTTCGAACTGAGTTACCTGACTGATAGCAAGTCTGGCGTGAGGCCGCTGCGGAGAATAGTACAGAGCTTCCCACTACACCTACGTCAGCTACATCAGCTACTCATGGTACCCCCGATACCCCCACTGCCTCCACAGTCGGAAAGCGCAAGCGAGTAGCCGCCGATGAGGAAGATGGCGAAGACACTCCCCCCTCAACAGCAGAGTCATCACCTCGACCCGTCAAGAAGGCGAAGAAGAGCACTAATCCTGTGGAAGCGGAGTAGTCTGTCGCGCTTACGAGGAGGAAGTCTGTGGTTTCCGATGGCGGCTAGGGCGCCCAAGGCCCCGAAAGTGTCCAAGTTATCCAAGTTGCTTGAATGTACTGATTGTTGGTCGCTGACGGGTAGGGGACTTGGGTGAATGTCTAATAATATGTTTGTAGTTACTGACTCCTGTGTTTCTTTCTTCAATTTTTCAATCAATTGATTTTATGAGAATGTTTTTTGTTCATGTCAGAGCGACATTGGGAAGGATATACCTAGGGGAGTCTTGTTTTTGCAAGGATTATCACAAGTGGAAGTGAGATTTATCCTTGTCTTTTCTACAATTGAAATAGCAATGTCTGTTCAACACATTGCGACGTCTCATAAGATCAGTATTCCTGCGGGTCTAGGCTCACAAAACCATGACCCCTGATAACACTTGCTATGCACTCATTGATTCACATTACATTTACATCCTTTCTCGGCCTCCCTACACGTCAATCTTGCACCGAAACGGTGACATCATAATCTAACTTCTGCGCAACAGGCATATACCGCCACTCACTCACATACCCGTCAAACACATGTCCCTTATTTCCGTTCGTCGTCGCATAAACCCCAAACAACCCACCACTTCCCGCGCCATCACCCGACAGCAACGTAGTGCTATACTCTGTAAACAGCGTCTCTTCCTGTGGGTTTCCAGCCGGCGCAACAAAGAAGCTATACACGCTTTCGCTCACAGGCGAAATCCGCACACGGATAGCAGCACCTTTTTGAGACCAAGCCTGGGGGACTGGTTTTGTAATCTCACTCGGCATCTTCGCGCGAACAGAGTTTGTGCGGAAGCGGAAGTGCGGTGCTAGATCTGAGTTGTTGTTGGTGGACAGATACACGATACCCAGATCGACATGTTGGTCCTGATTCAGAAAGTTGGACACGCCGAGTTCGTCGCCGGGAGCCGTGCCGAAATCAAGATGCAGATTGACAGTGTAGTTGAAAAAAGTGTGTTCCTGGCGGCGAAAAACAGCCACGAGGCCCTCGACCGTGGCGTTAAAGGTGGCGTCACCGGTCAGATTTACGCGCGAGGAGGTGAGTTGGAGAGTGTTGGGGTGGTCTTTAGGTGAGATTTGGAAGGAGGATGAGTCAAAGGGTGCGCGCCAGAAGAGCCAAGATTTCGGTATCGAGGATCCGCATTCGAAATCGACGCTTTCCGCAAGACCTACTTGCGGGCCTGACGCACGACTGTCGCCGTTTGGCTGGCTTGGAGGCAGCGGGCCACTCATCTCTCCACGGACTTCGTGTGCGGTTGGGAATCCTCCAGTTGGCCACGAGGCGGGGTAGAGCACCATTTTCTCTACCCATGGGGAAGATTGACTGGTTGTATAGAGCGGGGACCACCTCTGTGATAACGCAACGCCCCCACCAGTTTCCACTCGCATCTTCAAACAAGTCTGCATGTCCGACAGTCTGGAAGTATTCGTTTGTACCACTGTTAGAAACCAGAGGGTTGCTTGGTGACGCTTCCCAAGTTCCATTTATCAGATTCTTGGATCGAGCTATCGTCGCGGAATGGCCGAGTTGAGTACCACCCTCAGCAATGAGCAGGTAGTAATAACCGTCTCTCTTGTAAAGATGAGGACCCTCGATATTTTGGCCTCCTGTGCCATTCCACATAGTCCACGGCTCGCTCAACTTTCCTGTAGTGATATCCAGATAAGAGGCGATGATAGGTGTACCGGAAGAGGCAACAATGATGGAGCCATCATCATCGAAGAAGATATCCGGGTCGATTGTACGAACAGATGGCTCAAACAACATTAGGTCGCCCCAGGAAGCATCGTTGAAGGGGTCAGTTGCAGTGCTCAGAATGAATCTAGGGTTCGGGATATCGGTGTTGATCCATGCCGAGATGAGGTAGAATCGGCCCTTGTTGAAGCGCAATGTGTTTGCAAACATGCCCGCAAACTGCTGATTTGTAGCTGTGCGAATCTCAGGTAGTTGCTCTACACGACTAAGCGCGTTGCTGGCGAGCTTCCAGTTCACCAAGTCTTGGCTAGCGTAAATTGGGTTTCCGGGAAAGGCTAAAAAGCTCGAGGTCGTGCAGAATGTGGTGTTTTCCAGCTCTGCAACAAAGACGCAGCTAGGATCTGAATGCCATCCCGGAAGTACTGGATTGTTGTAGGCCACAGTCTGAGCGTTGATCAGGCCTGAGAACAACCCAAACACTAGGGAACCCGCGGTAAAGAGCGACATGTTGTCAAATATGTTCTGTACAACTAAATAAAAGGGTCGAGTATTTATTGTTTCTTGCAAATCATTTTCGGGCCGCTATGTGAGCATCTCATCACAGTTTGGTAGAGTATCGGGAAACGTGGTGCGGGATGTGGAGGGAACGTATGCGGGATTTAAGCGAAAAGAGGAGAAGCTGGGGAAATGAGAAGACGCGGATTGCAGTTTTAGGCATGGTCAATTGTGCGGCGAAAACTGCTTTTTCCCCAGCACGCAACTAGTAGAACTCAAGTTGTAAGCCCTTGTCTGAGCTTCAGATACTCCTTCCGGTACTGGTTCTCGTCCGTCTCCTCTCCCCTGTTAAGCGGCGTCCACTTCGGCTCGTCCTTGAACAAGCGCATGGCCCTTGTATACTATGTGTTTTCAGCACCGCAGCCATAATAATGCAGAATGCACTTACGTTCTGCTCATCAGTAGTAAATCGGTGATAGATCCCACTTGGCAGAATGATCAAGTCACCCTTCTCAAGCCAGATCCTCACCCAGTCGTCCACCTCGCTCCTGACGTCGAAATAACCCGCGCCATCTAGAATGTATCTAATTTCTTCGTCTTCGTGCAAGTGCTCGTGAAAGAAAGACTTGACTTTCTCCTCGTAAATATCACCCATCTTCTCCGGGCTGACGGTGATTTCATCACGATTCTTGTAATTGCGGGATGTGGCGATCTCGTCAACACCGGAGACCTCGGGTACGTGGTAGTAGATAACGCCCAGCTTTTGCAGGTAGTTTGGGTCAACTGAGCGCCCAGAGTTGTGGGGTTGGCGTTGGTCGCCCTGTCGATGTGAGTCAGATGATGTACGCCATTGCGGATATGTGGAGCATTACTGGAAGGTTGTCGAACCAGTATGCCTTCATCTTGCTAGTGACTGTACTTCAGAGATATCTCGTTGAGCTTATATTTCGCGTGGTAGCTTAAAGTTGAGTATAGCTTTCGACGTTGGGCTACAGCAACAGAGAAATAATTTCATCGGTGCCTGAATCCACGTGGCGAATGGCGTCATCGCAATTTCTCAGCGGGGATATCCCAGCCAAAGGGAAGCAACATCCGCGTCCTTTCACTGCACGAGCTAGCGTCACCCCTGCTATCAACAAGTTTGGTGCAAAGCCGACTGTATGCCGTCTTTTCGCCTTGTGGTGCTGCTACAGCACCGGCTTAGTCGTCCCTTGGTATAATACAGAGTATGAAGAACCTAACGTTGCGTGCCAACACGTACCCATCCCACACCTCGCTCGCTCAATAACGCAATGCGTATCCCCGTTTCAAGTGGGTACTGTACAAGAAGTGTAGGCCAAGATGCGTGCGTTTTGAGAAGACGCTAATTACCGTGTCCACCACCCATATTCCATCAATCATGCCTTGCCTTTCCATCTCAATCAGTCGCATAAGTATGCTCAAGGTTCAGAAAAAGCCCGGGGTATGTCCAGCTAAAAATGCCAATAGTTCACATGAAACAGACGAGGCTCATTATTGCGAAGAGAAGTCGTAGCTGGTGGCTCTGCAAAACACTATCTTGCAAAGACCTTAACTATGCCGTCGCCGCCCGCTGAGACGACAAGACGACCGTCTTGGCTCCAGACAACACTGCATACTCCTTCGCCGCGCATGATGCGATGCGCAGTGATTTCTTGCGTGCAGATACGTTTGTCAAGTGACCAGAAGCGAATTGAGGCATCGTGGCCAGCAGAAACAGCCTCGCGGCCGTCCTTGCTCAGAGATAGTGAAGATATGGCGGCGGGGTGGGCGAGCATGCTGTATGTGCATTGACCTGGTTGGTGTGTTAGCAAGGATAATTGTGTGGGAATAGGCTGAACGTACCAGAGTTGGCATCGAAGAACCTGATAAGATGGTCTTCGTGCCCACTAATAATGACACCCTCAAGGCCGCCACCATTGTTAGATCCGGTCGGACCATGTATTGCTTCATCATCAGGTCCGCCTCGACCCGCCTCTTGAGCTGAACTCTCAAGGTACTGAGAGCTCGTCACGACCGAAGTGATGCCAGTGGCTGGTGTACCGTCGTAAGACTCATTGCTGGCCATGCCGATAAGCTCCTCACCCGTCCGTGTGTCATACACTAGTATCGACGCGTCGGTGAAGGAAACGACGAAGTTTTCGCCAGTGGGTGATAGCGGACTGATGCATGTTGGCGAAGGATGGGTGTCGCGCTCGATAGTATGAATGAGTTGGTAATGGAATGGTGTGGTAGTAGCGATGCTAGGCTGCGGCGAGGACGGGTGGTTCGATCCAGAAGTGACAGAGTGTCTCCGACTGCCGCCAACACCACGTCGCGATCCAGTTTGGGGTGACACAAGTTGAGGCGGTGCGCTGACTGCCCAGATTTTGATGGTGCCGTCTGCAGACCCGGAAGCAAGAATGACTCGGTCCGGACCACCGTATTTGCCCGACTCGCCTGCGAAAACATGGGCAGAGTTGGTTGGAAGGACACACACAGTCCAAACGGCGTCTGTGTGGCCTTCCAGGATGGCTTTTGGATCCACCCGACCGCGTTCCCAAACACGGACTGTAGAATCTTGGCCGCCTGAGAATATCCAACCGTCACCAGAGACTCTGCCACCAGTTGCAAAATGAGCGGAAGCGGGGCATGCCGCTAACGACGTAACGGCGCCTTCGTGACCCCTGTGTGACCAAAACGGCTGGATGTCCAAGTCATTGTTCATGCTGTGCTGATTCGCGTAACTTGCAGGTATCATCCATCTCTTGATCATGCCATCGTCTCCTGCTGTGCAAATTTCTGGCTCGCTGGGGCTACCGCCCCCTGTGAAGATGACGGATCGGACGACATCGAGATGACCACGGAGGGCGAAGCGTACCTTGAAGCTCTGCGGATCCGCTTTTGCTGCCGATTGGGCTGCGGCCTGTTGAGCTTTCTGATCATTACTCAGTCGCCTAACATGATCCTTGCTTGCCCTCTTGATGGGACGCGGGGGCGATTTCGCAGGTATACTGTTTGCGGAAGGAAATTCTTCGACGTCCGGTCGCCGAGGTGGGCCTTCCTGGGCTGCCTCGGATGCCGGGTCAAAGATCCAATCATCTGTGTCTTTCTCTTCGTTCGCAACTTGGTTGGAGGCTGCAATTTCCTCTTCCGGGGTCGGTATCTGACGACCTTCATTGTCGAAGGCATGAGTCACCTTCTCGACCTGCTCTTCGGGCACTGCAGTATAATGCTGCTTGTGTTGAGGTTGGCGCTGCTGTGCGAGGAGCTCTTGCGCCATGTTAGCATTTTGTGGAAGCGGTTGTTGCTGTGAAGGTTCTCGAATCATCTGTGTCGCATGGTGGATCTGATGTTGGTTGGCCAAGCTCTGCAGTTCAGTATTCATGGCCATGTTTGGGGGTTGGTGGTGGGACATGGATGTGCCTGGCATGGTGGGGAGGTGTGGTTGTGGCCTTCGATGCTGTTGCAGGTAGATGTCGTCCATTGAGGGTTCGCCGTGGTTCAGAAAGCCAGTCCCGTTTGCAAGCGCCTGTAAGTTCTGCTGTTGTGATGGGGCCTGCGGCGGGGGTGTGAGAAGGTATGTGATCTCCTCGACGCATTTGGTGAGGTAGAGCTTCGACTTTTCTCGTAGACTGTCCCGTTCGGCCTCTGATCGGTCGAGGAAGTCAGAGTCGACATCGAGAAAGGAGTTGTGCTTCTTGTTTTGGGCTGGTGTTGAAGTTAGCGTATAGATATTAAACAAGGCTCTTACAGTGTACGCACGCTTTGTGGAGTTCATGTTGCTCTTCTTGCCCTTGGTATCGGCCTTATCGTCGGTCATGGCCTGAGCATCCCCTCCCGCTGCCTCGGTCTTCTTCTTTCTCTCGTTGGTGAGGGCGTGCTCCAACATGCGAATGTGCTTGTTCAGTTGGTCGTTTAGCTTCTTCGCGCTTCGCACCTCGCCCTCCTGTTTTGCAATTTTGGCCTTCATCTCTGCCCGCTCAATGTCCCATGCATTTCGTGCGCGCTCGTGGTTGTGCCATTCAAGTTGGAGGAAGCGCATAACGCCTGTGCCAGTGTCAGCATATTGCCCTCTCTGCCTGTCTATACCGTGTGCCCGGGAGGGTGCAGCGTACCCTGTAGTGTATATTCTGTCCCCGCTGGCGCATTGCCATCACCCCCTCCGTTCTGCCCGCCGCCGTTCATGGCCGAGGGCGACTGCCAGGCCATGACAGTTGTGTACGAGGTTGCTGTCGCGGCGCACTAAACTAATCACTGAGGGTCAAGTGAGGGTTGACATGCGGCGTCGGGGGGTCGGCAAGAGCGCGGTCGACGTGTCGGAATCTGGCCTTGACCTATCTTGGGCTTCAGGGCCTGCCGGTCAAAAGACAGACGGTAGCAGCAATTCTGATTATGGCGGGGCAGGCAGGAAAAGCACTGTGGAAGCGCAAAAGCAGCTCTTCTGGCAGCTGCAGCAACATGCACATATGTCGTCGTACAGGAGAGGAAGCCATGCAGTCGTAGCGCTGGTGCGGCGGATGCACGGACCCTTATCACCAACATTGCGAACGGAGCAAGCCAGCGACTGCACTTCACTGTATTTCTGGATTAGAACATATAGTAGGAGCTCGCCAAATCGTCTCAAATCAACTACCCCTACTGCTGCAATGTGCTCGGCATATTTATCCGGCTATTGTGTTACACTTTGATCAGGATATTCTATCTTGCCCCAAATTCACAACCTCCTAGTCTGGCTTGTCCAGTTCCTAATGGTATCTGTAGTGATAGCTACATCACTGATTATGAGCAGCTTCCTGTATAACTCAAACTTGATGTAGGTTCTCACCTCTGGTTCTTCTCCTACCCACCTTGCTCCTGTCCCCTTTGTCACTCATGTTACCTCAGTTCACACAGCATACGTTGTGCATCCAGCCACTTGCTGGACGTTGGAGCGACCAAACTACTCACGAACAAGTTAGGAACAAGTTCTTTTTGGTGCTACGATATATTTGGACGGCTATACCAGTCTCCATCACTGCACGAAAGCAATTCGATGTCAGCACGAGCGCAAGGGATGCTGCCACATTCTCCCTAGAAAAAGACCAACTTCCATATATCCGTTATACATATTTGGTGAGCACCTGAGGAAAAAGAAGTCAGCAAGAGAGTTTGTATCCAAGAGTCAATTCTTTCTAACAACAGTTTGGCTGGTACGCCTCCATTGCCATGGATATTGCAACACGGTAGTATTTACTTCACTCATTTCAATTGTCTGATATTGTTTTCTCTCTTCATTCTGTTCTACATTCCTGTCTTGTTGTTTTCCTACTCTCCCTCGCTTGGTCTTTGTTGGGCAACGTTGGAACCACGCCCGGCGCTCTGCACACCCGCACCAGCCACCCAACCGAAACGGCAACTCACGAATCGCTTACAATGATCAATCATTGACCAGGCTACATCGGCTTGCGTGGCACAGTGGGCAATTTCGGCGCTGTGCTCGGATTATAGGGCCTTACTTCGTACATGCCAAGTGGAGCCTTCCCGATTGGTACAAAGGCGTCGGACGCTACAACCTTGTCACAACATTGGGACCTTCCCAGCAAGACTTTACCACATTCACCCCACCCCCCGCCAACCGCAACCACATCAAATCCGCTTTCAGACTCCAGTAACACGGTCGCGCACCTCTATTGATACCATCGACACTGACATCAATCCCGAAAAAATCATCAGATATGGCTGGCGGTGGTAAAGGTACGCGCTGACTCTGCGTCGCGCCCTGGCAGGCACCAAAGCTAACAAGATGCGCAGGAAAGACCGGAGGCAAGACAGGAGGAAAGGGCGACTCAAATGTCAAGACACCCAAGTCGCACTCCGCCAAAGCCGGCCTTCAAGTGAGTAGCTGCCCGATACGCGTCATCGCCCAACCACACCCCGCCCATGCTTTCGCAAGCCGCACACAAAGACCACGCGCTGATATCGCTCCTTCTCTGTAGTTCCCCTGCGGTCGCATAAAGCGTCATCTCCGAAACCTCACGCGACAAAAGACGCGCATCGGTGCCAAAGCCAGCATCTATCTAACAGCCGTTCTCGAATACCTGACTGCTGAAGTACTGGAGCTTGCAGGCAATGCTGCCAAGGATCTCAAGGTGAAGCGTATCACGCCACGTCATCTACAACTCGCCATCCGCGGCGACGAAGAACTCGATACGCTTATCCGTGCTACGATTGCTTTCGGAGGTGTTCTGCCACATATCAACCGTGCGCTATTGCTCAAGGTAGAGCAGAAGAAGAAGGGGGGTGCTGCCAAGGTCGAAGCATAGGCGCAAAATCTGCTTGCAAGTTCACGACCAAAGCGTAGCAAGATTCCGGTCCATGAAATCTACTGGGGGCTTTCTGCAGCAGCAAAAGCTAAAGCAGTGGGCTCTTAAGGCGGATGGGAGACATGTTAGAAGGTGCTTGACACATGTATGCAACAAACGCACCCTTCGTGTTGTCTATTCTTCGGTCATTTTATCACTACCGTACACCTCAATTTTTTATATTCTGCTCACTTGGGAATGTCTGGATAAGGTATTCAACTCTATTTAGTCAGGCGCGCGATGGTCGGGTGTTGAGGTCATGGTTTCATTTGTCTCTTGCTGGTATGTAGTAACAACACTCCATTCAATTTCACTGAGCTGTAACGGAGGTCGGCGTGCCTTTCATTCCTCGAGCCATTTGTTTGAACCATTGCAAAGAGCAATCCCGCATTTTGTATGCGCAAACCAGTGTGGAGTGCAAAAACCACGGGCAAGCACGTCGGATCCACAAGTTTGGCGCTCGACAATCACGAGTCCATTTGATTCCGAGTTTGGTGCCACAGACTGCGTGTCCCCGTTGCTTCAAACCGCACATGACGAGTCGATGTCAAGGGTGCGGGAGCTGAATATGAGATGTTAGTTTCCTTATCCTGCCTGAATTCAAATCTTTCGATCCAACTTCATTCAACTTTTCTTCTCCAACAATAGCCGCCTCCGTTTCACACTCGAACCATGTTCAATACCCCATTCCCCCACGACCCCTTCCGCCGTCTCCCCATCTCCACCCCCTTCTCCTACGCAAACTACTTCATGCCCCAACCCCATCTGCCTTCTCCGCCTCCCCACCGGCGCAGCCACCGCTACCGTCCTCATCGCCCCTCCTTCTACACAGACGCAGACTCCCACCCCTCAGACCAAGACGACACGCAAGAGGGCCCATACTACATGGATCACACCATGCCCTCCGATAGCCCCTTCCCAGACCGCCCTACGCATAGACGCCGCCGCCAATGGACCCCAGACACTACAGCCACGCCTACGCCCCCAGATCTTGATATGGACTCCGAGTTCCGCCGTACGAGTATCAGACTGCCTCGCAAAGCTGCGGAGAAACTAGAGAGAGACACAATCCTCATCTTGCCGTCTACACTAACTCGTTTACGCGTGTACATCCGCTCTCCATACAGCGGTGGTGGCAGCGGTACGACAGACGCGCTACATGTAGTTGTTGCAGGCGATATGCGGTTTCGCGATGTATTGAGGCAGCTTATTGGGACAAGGGCGCGGGGACAAGCGGAAACGCGTGCGTTCGTGAGGATAAAGGGGGCGTGGGTTGAGCCTGGGGTGGCGAGAGTGAGTGAGGTTGTGGAGCAGGGGAGGTGGGTGGTTGATGAAAGGGGAGAAGTGGAGGTTAAGATTGAAGTTGGTGGTGTTGAGAAGGAGGGGAGGGAGAGTGGGAAGAGGGGTATCAAAGCTTGGGAAAGGGAGACGGGGAGGGCATGGGAGACTAGTCGCTGTTCAGCGTCGAGATAGCCAAGAAAAGTCGCTGTACGTGAGAAGACCTTAGGGTTATGATGACCTCAGACTGAGGTACATGTGAAATTGAAACAAGTGCTTGTTGAACAAGTTGCTCATACACCTCTCTTCCCTAATCCACCGCCCAAGAAACCCGCCGGAACCCGCTGCTTCAAACCGAAAACGCCACTGCCTAATCTAGATTTGTTAAATGGTGTAGTTAAGATGCTCCAAGGCATAAGAGGTACAAAGAAGAGACCTGAAGAAATGAAGCTCCCTATTAGTCCCCCGTACGGGACAAAGGAAACATGCGCTGCATTCAAGCGAATGCAATATGCCAGATCAACAAAGGAACGTGAATCATTTGCCATCATACCAAATTATCTGTCGATACGCAAGTGCATCTATGACTTCAGGCTGTCCTGCATGCTCCTGCTGCTGGCGCTGAGCGGGATGTTGGTGGTGGGGAGGACAGTCTTGGGCTTGCTGTTCTGGCGGACCTTGGCCAGAGCGTAGACGAGACCACTGACGAAACCAACGAAAATGGCAGAGACACTACCGAATGTAACGGGCGCATCGAAGAAGACGAGACCGCTAAGCGCAATGGGGAGCTTGTTCAGAGCGCCGACCATGGAGTATGTAGTAGAGGAGGTAACTCGGACGGCCCAGGCGGAGGTGTAGGAGATGAAGACAGTCGAAAGACCCGAGACGATCATGACAACGATAACGGTGTTGCGCTGCTCAGTTGGGAAGTTCTTCTGGATATTGGCTGACGACCAGTCTTCGACGAGGATTGAGGCGATGAGCAGGATCGGGATGGTGAGCAGGTTGTTGTAGTACATGGCTAGTACATGTTAGCTGGAATTTCCATCTTCACCGCATTTCTACTTACTGTCAAAGTCCTTGAAGTTGGTAAGCTTGATGCGCTTGCGCATGCCCAAAACGTAAGTGGCCGTGCACAAGCAGTTGAACATCATCCAGAGATAGCCAGCGTGCAAGGTCGACATGGCGTCGGTTGTAGCCGAAGTAGCCTGGCTCATGCTGGACAAAGCATGCTGAATATCTGCCCAGGCCGCAATAACCGAACTCAGCACCATGAGCCCAAAGGAGAAAAGGGCCATTGGCGTCACAGCGCCTCCAAACCAAAGCACCTCTCCGTATGCGATCAGAATAATGGTGAGGTTCTTGAAGATGGTGTATACGGGGATCGAAAGAAACTTGAGGGCCCATGTGCTCGTGTAGATCATGCCGATGAGGAGAAGAGAGATGGGGAACCCTGATGCTGTTAGTCACTGGTTTTCCGGGGGAAGATTGTAGACATACACTTCTTTGCTTCATCGCTGTTAAAGTCCCGGTATGTAATGATACCGGCGGCTTTGCATATCGAAATTGCCGCAACACAGACGACAGACTAGAATTGGTCGTTAGAGAGTTCGCTCTGGAATTGGACAGATAGCCATACCTGTACGCAGAGTAGAAAGAAGTTAAGGTTGAAATCGACACCGGAGAGGACGTATTTGTTGGTGACCGTCATCAAGATGGACGAACCACAGTATGCCAGAATTGCAGCAACGGGGTTCTCGGTAACTGATGGGGCTACGCGCGAACTGCTTGCGCGCAGAAGAGGTGTCGGCGCGCTGAACTCCTTGCCCGAAGGCATATCGACTCTGTAATCATCTCTCTTCTTGTCGTCGGCCATGGTAAAGGAGGACTTGCAGTCGTAGTAAGCGGCAGCGACGGAAAATGTCCGGTGATAAGGACAGGTAGACGATTGCTGGCGTACGACGTCAAAGGAAGGGTGACTTGACGAAGAAGAAAAGACAAAAGGGTGGGACGAGAAGGGAGGAGACGGACGTTGCAAGACAGAGGCGCAGGGACGCGAGTTGGGTGGGTCTCTAGCGATGCTTCTCCCCTGGCTTGCAGTCGCTCGTCTGCAGTGCGGCAGTAGTAATTTCAATTGCCCCTAGGCCGTCTTTGGAACACGAACAGCCTGTAAGCACCGTGCCCCGTGTTTAGACACAAGTTTTTTTCTATTTTCGATACCAGCCCTATTGCCTACTATGCACCTGTATTTGTAGGACATTCAGGCGACTAGGAAATCCTGCGCAACAGCAAACAGGGACATTGCTGCAGCGTATGCTTATTTACGCGGGCGGACTATCACCACGTGATCCTGCCTTATCGGGCGCTTCTTTCTTTCCCCCTAATTTCATTCCAACAAGCGACCCCAACGAATCTAGAAATGGCTGCCCTAGATCCAAAGGTCGCCTCACTCGTCGACCGGGCCGCCCGAGAGGATGATTCGGATGAAGATGCTCTCATTGCGTCCCTGGAAGATGATGACGAGCTAGATGCGTTCCGTGAGCAACGACTCCAGCAATTACATCAAGAGTACGATAAGGCACGTCGGCTGAAGGACAGTGAGCATGGGCGGTACATGGAAATCAAGGATGAAAAGGCATTGATGGACATCACAACAAGCACCAAACTGTGTGTCGTTCATTTCTTCAAGCCCGACTTTAACCGATGTCGCATCATGGACACACATCTCGAGGTAAGAGCACCTCCGGCTGTAGAGGAAAACATCAATTGAGTTGAATTAGTCACTCGCACCCTCTCACTACGAGGCCCGTATTCTCAAGATCAACGTCGAGAATTGCCCTTTTCTTGTCACGCGGTTAGGCATCCAGGTACTCCCCTGTGTTATCGCCTTCATCGATGGCGTAGGAGCCGATCGCATCATTGGGTTCGAAGGCCTAGGTCACACAGAACAGACCTTCACCACGCGTGACCTTGAAGCGAGGCTCATCCGAGCCAACGTCTTAGCGAGGAACAAGGTCACGGAAGAAGATGAAAGACGCAGGCTGCAAAACAGCAAGGCCAGGCAGCAGGAGGATGAGGACGAAGACTGGGATTGAGAAGGGACCGCAACCAGGGCCCACACCAAACCTACCCTTGCCAGAACGGTGCGAGGCTTGTCCATTGTTTTGGTTGCACATGAACTTGCTGCAACAAGCGAACCAGCGGGAAATTGCAGTAGACCTCTGTTGCTCACTGTATAACAAGCAAAAAGCCTTTGTATGCTCGGAAACAGGGAGCAAGCTGCTTCTTGACAATCAAGCAGCCATCTTAGCCCACTTCGTATTCATCTAAAGAACACAGGCAAAAAAACATCAAGCAAATTTACACAGCTGTGACATTGCTGTGGTGTGCTAGAGCTGAGTGGAAGCCATGCAAAAAGAATCTGACTTTATTTTACATTACTGAGACGCATTACTTGTCCGTGTCGTTTTAGTCTAGGTCCTTCTGAACATGGACAGAGTTCCAGCTGTGGCTGAGATACTAAGTTTGTGTGGGACATCTACGGCGTGTTTGGTTGGTGCTCTCGTAAAGGATTTCGGCTTGGATTTGTTAAATCAGTGCAACCATCTCTTATCTTTCCCATATCGGTAGTAGAGTCCTAGGAATACAGACGAGTCTTCCAGCCGGAGCTGAAATGCGGAGTTCACGCGGGAGATCTGTGCATAACATGGCGTTTCTGCCCCAAACCTCGGGAAGGTGCTAAGTAGCCAGGGGCGCCTAATCAAGTTTTCAGAATCTGCGGTCCTCTTAGGCTTGTACCATATCGCCTTCGTCCCTTCAAATTCTGTGCCGCACTTGTCTCTTGGTGTTTTCACCTAGCCATGGAGGTCTCAGCCGTGTTCGGCGTTTTAAGTCCCCCGCAGGGCCGACATCCTGGTAGTTAAGTTACACACTAGCAACGCAACTAACCCGAGCGCGATAGATGAACGCGCTGCCGCAGTGCATCAAGTCCGCCCAAGATCTTTACGACCTGCGCTCCAAATACAAAGATGCCTCCGTTCTCATCAGCGCTATATAAGCTGAGTCGATGGTTATTGCGGCCTTGCTCTCTCAGGTTCAGAACTTGCTGCAACATGACGCGCTGCAGAACAAACCTCAGCTGCTCGAGACATTCGATCGAGCACTGACGGGGTGTCGCGTTGTGTATGGGTGTCTCGAAGAGGGGGTGCGGGAGCTAGCAATGAAGGCCGAGCATGACCACCTGAAGCTCAAGGATCGAGCCAAGTTCCTATGGAAGGAAGATACCTTCAAAGAGCTTCTCACGCAGATTCGGGGACAGCAATCGGCGCTTAATCTGCTGATACAGGGGTTACAAATGGAATCTATCGGGGATGCCAAAAAGCTAGTGGGGGAGAACAGCGTCATACTAGACCAAGTCGTCAAGCAGTCGAGAACTTTACAACGGTCGCATCCAAAGCTCAAAGTACCTGAATCTTTGTTCGATCAGTCAACTCTGCTTGACGAGGAAGCCGACACGGAGTCAATCCTGAAGGCCACTGAGTTCACATTCGATGATGAGGTTGTCAATTCGAAGGCGTATCGAAGAGCAATGGCAATGGCCCTTTCGTCACACAAGGTACTTCATGTCTCAGAGACCGAGTATAGGAACGAAGATATGACCTCTCCCGAGCCCACACATGAGTTTAGATATCAGAGCAACAAGATTGTGCGGAAGGGAATTCCTCCGCCACAAACCCAACAGGATGTTCCGACCAGTACACAAGAGCCTGAAGTCAAGCAAAAGCAGATATATCGACCCGCAACACCAAAGGAACATGCGGAGTTGTTTGATACTCTCGAACGAGACGTACTCTTGTCCATGCCTCAAATGATGTCCTTGGTACCTCGTTTAGGTTCGAACAGGGTCAGAAACAATCTTACCAATGTGCTGAGTCAAGATGGTAGCCGATTGAGTTCAGCACCACTAAGACGATTCAGCGAAGAGAAGGGGGTTCGCGAATGGGAATATCCGCCACCACTGCCTCCTCGACGTGCAAGTGAGCAGCCTATATCCCTGGAGACTCGCACTGCTGTAATGCCTCAGATGTGTTCAGTGTCGTCCAGTGATAGCATGTATACTCTCAGCGCGCAGTCCATTCTATCTAGAGTATCATCGGCATCCTCGTACACTGCTTACAGCGCATCACAATCAAGCTTGAATCTTTCCTCTCGACCAACACGGAAACCGGTGCCACTTTCAAACAGATTATCTTACAATGTTTTGAGTGTATCGCCCGAATCTACAGCCATAGATGGGCTAACACCATTTTAAGACTACGATATGTACAATGTTTGGTTGTCACTACTGTAAGCAGAAAGAAAGTTTGTGGACCGTATAATGTTTTACGACAACATCACAAGACAATGGCCTGTCCTCCAGAAGCATCTAGATGCTATATTGGTCGGAGAAAGAATTGCGACTCTCCATCAACAGTATTTATTACAAGCCATAAATGGACAGCTTGCTGCCAACAGTAACACCCTCTGTAACCCATATATATTTGAGACATGGATGAGCAAAGGCCAACAGCTATATCAAGAATATAGTCGAATGATGTCGCATGCATCTTCGTCGCTGCGAACAACTCGAAATACGGATCAGAGGTTTACACCTTTTGTCAATACACTTGGGTTGAGTATCGCTTATTTCGGCATGAGCTGAGAAGACTACCTCAAACTTCCCAATTTGCAGCTGAAGTCATACATCATTGCTCTGCAGAAGTTGATTGGTATTGCTCGAAAACTTCACGAGCCAGTGGCAGGACCAGGGCTTGAGCGCTTGAATTATGCTCTACAGGCCGTTACTTCACTCCAGGAATCGACAACTGCTTTGCTGGAAGAAGCAAAAAGCCGTGAAGACGTTCAAAAAATTGAAAGACGAATCCATACAGATGTCACTACCCTCTGCCAACTACGCCTGTACGACTCGGTTCGTCGCGTTCAGCATCAAGGCGGCATGGCAATGAAATTCAGAAGCCAGGGACCATGGGTTCCAGTTTACGCTGTGCTTCTGGACCATTACTTCCTTTGGGGAAAGGCCAAGAAGAGCAAGGGCGATGAAGTACTGGTACTGAACGCACCCATTGCTGTCGAGAACCTCGAGGCAACCCTTCCATCTGATCCGCATCAATTACAAAAGGCAACTATGCTTGATCAGATACCAAGGGGCTCGGTATTGTAAGTTTCCCGCAATGAAATCCAGAACAAAATTAAATTGACTTGCTGTCAGATATACTATCACTATCAGAGATACCTCTCAGGGAGAAAAACCAAGCTTGCTAGGATTACATGTCTTCCAAGAAAGGAGAATATGGTTTGATCACCTCAGCACCAGGACTCCCCTACAACAGTGAATTGATTTATGATGACAGGCTTTCACGCATCTGGCTATTGGCATGGTACATTTGAGGTCTTAGGCGTGATTGAGTCGAGTTCAGGTACAGTGACTGAACAGAAATCCTAGTTCAGGCATTGTGAGTGAGCAGAAACCAGAGCCTGCTATCCATAAAGACTACCTACTGTTTATTCCTTCGGTTTATTTCTTCTATCACAAACTTGAACCAAACTCTTTCAGCACTCAGCAATCAACCAGCAGTTGGCAATCAACCGCAGCGACTTTCTTGCCACCAATAAAGAGTGCTACCACATCGACTCTACGATTATCACAGAGCTTCTCGAGTACAAATCGATATTTCTCACACCGAGATCAACATGGACGTCCCACAATCCCAACAGCCGGCGTCAACCCTCGGACACCCTCCTATCCCGACTGGTGTCAATCCTGACGATATCGTTGCCATCGTCACAGTCCACCACCCCCAGGCCTCTCATGTCAACCGAGCTACGCCCTTTGCAAAGTCTGAGATACGGACATCCCTATCTGCCTCAGAATCGTCTCTGGATGGCTGTCACATCTTTCTACAAAGCTTAAGTGATAGCCCGGCATACTCGATGGGCCGTGCCACTTCCACTCTGGCCCGTGACGTCTACTTTCCTGGCACTAAGACTGGTCCATACCAGTTTTATCTCGCTCCAATCTTCGAAAGCGACTGTTGGCGCCTACAGTCATACTCTGAGGCGCTTGCCACTGTCAACGGCGTGCCTATTCGGCACCCTACCGCGCGTGTGAAAAAGCTCCTAGACCAAGTCCCACACGCCGTTCATTTAGCCCAGGATTCAGTCAATCACGCAGAGGTCAAAGGCTTGAACATTGAAATTCGGCTTCTGAAGACGGCGCGTCAAGCCCTAATCGGTCACGAGTTCCCCTCCGATGCACCCCTTCCCCAGCTACAAGAAGAGCTGCAAGACGTTACCCACCGGCAGGAACCCTGGGCCCGAGAACGTTACATCCGCACTGGGCAAGTATCTGTCAACTCTATTCGGGTTCTCGAGCGGTTCACTGGCACAGTGCAGACCGCGAAGCTTTACCAGGATGAGGCACTTGGACGAAAATGGAGGGGTGATGAGTTTGGGATGTTTGCAAAGGCGAAGGTAGACGCTTCTGTCGTGCGATTTCTCCATCTGACAGAGATTAGACAAATCCCAGCGGCTATCACAGAAACGCACGAAGGATTCCAGTCATACGCGGCACTGGAAGCTGAGATCAAGACGCTCCACCCGGGCGTCCGGTTTTCTATCGCATCGAAACTCCTCCGGCGACTGTTTTCGGCACTAGCATTTCTTCACTTCAAGGGTATCCTGCATAAAAATGTAACCAAAGAGAGCGTGCTACTCCGTTTAGTCAGCTCGAAGCCAGATGCTGTTCTCCTTGTGGGCTATTCAGCTGCCAATACTTTCCCTGAGGCTATAGCTCCTCCCCTGGAAGAGATGGTCCAAGAAGCGAAGGCCGCGATGCAGATGGTCGTGGACTGTTGCGACATCTGGCAGCTACGCAAGGCTGCTTCCAAAGACGCTCTGAGCCAAGAATTCTGTGCAAAGCGAACAGAGGATGCTCGTAAAGACTTCCAACTGGTAGAACGTGTTGCTGCAGACTTCTTCGATCGAAAGGGCAACTCAAGACAGTCAACCAAGGGAAAGAAGATGCTCCGTCTTCTCGACTTGAAGCAGAATGCGTGGCATATCGCCCAGGCTAACCAGATGCACAACTCGACTCGCCGTGAGATCGGAATGTGCCGCATGCCCATGATCAAGGACATGGAGGAGGATTGGACAAGGGCGCATCCAGCGGCTAGAATTGGCGAAGATCATCACATGAGCTTATCCTTGGGACATTCCTATCTGGACAGCTTGGCGACAAGGATGTACCACGGGCGATGGGATGCGACGCCAATGGATGTCTGTGCGAAGATCAAAGAGCTCGCTGGAGAGATCGAAGAGCCATGGCAGACCATTCCAGTCATGCGAACTGTGACGTTCAATCATGGCGACCTTGGCTTCCAGTCCACTGGTATCTTGGAGTGGCTATCGAGTTACTGCGAAGCGTACCCGGAGTGGCGAGCAGCAATCGAAAACGAATGTGAGCGACACATTCATGACTATGCTGCCACAGTCACCAAAGCAACGATCCGTAGACTGCATGATGCTCTTTCGAACCATGGTACTTTGCCAACCGCCATGGCTGCGACTTTTGCACGTCTGACAGGCGATGAGATCACTACCATCATGAACATCCGTGAGACCCACCTTATTTGGTATCACAAGTCGTCTCGCATGTTCAATGCTACCCAGATCCATCGTCTAGCGAGTTTACCAATGCTCTTGGCCTGCATTAACGAGGGAAAAGTTCCATGCGACAATTACGTCGAAGTCCGTGGTGAGGCCAAGCTCGAGGGGTTGTATGTTCCACTGTCCCTCTTGATCAAATTCGCCACGTCACTGGGATTGTCTCTTCAGGTTCCGGATCATTCGCAGGAGTTCCCATCGTATGATCCGGCAGACTTCAGCAAGGCAGTCCACTTCATTGTTCTGGCTCACACTGGACTTGTGCCATGGGCATCGGTGACTCGGGAGGGCGGGCAGTTCAATTTCCATGCTCCTCTCATGCCACAGGCTTTCGAGTCGCGCGGCACCTTTCTGGCAACGTATTTTGGCAGCATGAAAGTCTTGCCGAAAAGCGTTCCGGGAAGCCGAGAGGTGTATCAACGCCCAAATCACTGGTCTAAATTCAAGACGGCCAGTGAAATCGAAGATGCCGCTGATACAAACAAGCAGGGGATTATGCCAGTCAAACGACTTCGCGGGATCTTCAAATCACGAGCTCATCAACGGGCTATGGTTCCATTGTCCAAAAAGCGTGGCACAGGTGTCCAAGAAGCAGAGTCTGGGACTCCAGCTGGGAAGCGTTCGAGGCCTACTCCAGTAGATGAAGATGCTGCCATTGGGAGCCCGCCGCCTGCGAAAGCTCCTGCGATCTCGACATCGTTCCTAGATCGCGCCATGCACAACTTGGAGCGTCAAGCAGCGGGTGGACCACAATCCTTTTTGGCAGCACCCCAAGTCTCGTTCGACTCGTTCTTCAAGAACGGTGAGAACAACAACCTCTCTGTCGCTCCACCCAAGGATGCAGCTGCTTTGAAGCTGTCCTTCACCATTGCGTCTAGAGGATCTTTCAATCTCAACGACGACATCAAGCAAGCGGACGAATGGCTTGAGTTGATTGGTGAAGAGGACGCGGACGAGCCGGTAGTTGAGGGCCTCTTTGGATTCAACTTCCACCACTCTCTCCGGGAAGAGGAGGACAAAGGATCGGCTACAGAGATCGCATCCGATGACGATGAGCAGCGGTTGCCATCAGCCCAGAAAGCGTCGACTCCGGTTCACAAGCAGAACGAGGTACCAACTGAGGCTACGTCTGACGATGTCGAGAAGTCTTTACCGGGGAACAAGGGCAAAGCTCCTGCAGACAACGGATCGCCTGTGCAAGCTGACAACGACAAATCGTGGTTGCCAGAGAACAAGGGCACGTTGCCTCGGGACGAGCTTTCTCCCAGGTCCCGGAATCAGCTTGCTATCTCAGAGTGGATGGGGAAGACTACTACTCAGTGTATACCATCCACTGAGGCCTCCAGCTCGCCAGTTCAGGAGAATCCAGTAGGTTCTCCTACCGCGTCCATGCCATCCACCAAGGCACCCAGCTCACCGATAGATGAGGATCTAGCAACGCAGATCCAACCATCTCAAGAGGAGCCGTCAAGCCCTATCCGGCCGTCCCCCGCCCCTACGATCGAGGATTTGTTGTTTGAGAACCCGTGGGCCGGTGATGATGACGATATGCCAAATACCGAGGCGGGCGGGTCCCGCAACGGTGATGGCATGCCGGATACAGAGGTCGGAGATGATGAGGACATTACGTACCAGACACCCAGCGGTATGATGAGGTATGACGAAGGTAATGGCATGTCGGGCATGTCGGTTGAGGACGGAGAGAGCGATGTTGGTATGCGACGGTGGTTGTAGGACTACCGCCATATCTCGTCTGGACTTGAAGTAAGCATTTACTATACCTGTACCTGATACTTGGTAAAGTACAGTATTCACTCAGTGAATGTACGTGGGCAGGACAGCCTCAGGTACACAATGAGCTTGTTGGAACTGGATTTCGTTATGATTTAGTAATAATATAATTATGTGATTACCAACCCACTTATATTGACCCATTTTACATGTGACTTAAACGTTCCCTCTTTGTTCCCTCATACGTGCTATTGCGATACCAGACCAAATGGTAAGGTAAGAAAGATGATCATTACCATTATTGGTAACTAAAGCTTGGTTGCTTGTTTCTTTATTAGTGTCTATCAAAGAAAACAACAAACACGATGATTCAGAGACCAAAGCTGGCGTAAGTGATTGTGAGGAGTAAGCCTAATTGCCAGAATGGTGCGCTTACAAGATCGTAACGCATATCGCTCATATACATACATCCGGGTGTCATGAGATACTTAACATATTAGTGTACAAGGGCTACTGTAGTCGCCAGACACGCCTATTAGATGCTTGCTTACCCACACTGTCAAGTATTGACACCCGGGTGCCTCTGATGATAAGATTGACCACAGGTAGAGCATTGTCGAATGTGATTATAAACAAGCCGATGCGGTAAGCCTGATGGTCAGCACAATGCGCTCACTGTATCCACACCATCATTTCGTCACCCATACACATCAGCTCCACGGGTCACAGCAGTAATGCCTCAAGGGAGCTTAGGAGCTTGATCTTTTATCATTGATCTTGGGAAGATTCTCGATTGAATTTGCCATCGTTATGGACTCGCAAGAACACCAAGGACACCGTTGAGCCAGCCTGAACATGCCTTTTGTGAGAGACTGTGCATGTGTGTCTCCCACTTACGGATCGTTCTCTCGCTCCGAGTCCGGTATTGCGCCTAAGTCGTCCACACTACCCCATCGCTTGTTCTATCATTGCGTCCCGTCCCCAGAAATCGTTAACGGAAGTTTATATCGAAGAAGGGTACAGCATGACGCGGACGGAGGCACCGAAGGACTTGGGAGGAAGGTTGTTCTTGAACTTGGCGCGTACGACACCGGAGTTTCCGTGGGGGCGGGTGATCTTTCCCCAGATGACCTTGGCGGTGTTAGCAGTTGGATGGGCGCAAGTTGGGTGGAGGCTCATAGTTGGCGAGCTATCGATTCGGCTGTGGACAGGCACAATTGATGGCTCGCAGAATATGGGCGCCTTCGCGGTGAGGGTCTGGAGGACTTACGCGAATCTTTGAGCCTTGGATCGCTTTTTGTGCGCGGTAAACGTACGCGACCCTCTTGCCGAGATCTGGTTGACGTTCAGCCGACGAGCTTTATGAGGACGGCAAGTTATACTACTTACACCAGTTGGCGTCCTGGACGTTGTCAACACCCTCGAGCTTCAGCAGCGATGTGCCAGGGTTGGTGTTGCGCTGTGTCGTCTAGTCAGTACGACTCCCATGATACGCAAAATTCATCCCCACACACCTTTCCGCGCTGGTAGCTGATGTGCTTGCCCTTGACGTAAAGGCGGTGGCTCTTGTTGTCGGACATGGCGAACGATTTCGGCTTCCGGGTTTCGTGTCGAAGAGAAGGACGTCGTCGGCGGTGGTGCTGTTGGTCGGGGTACTGTGATTGTGTGGAAAATGTCGCTTACCCGTGCTCAAAGACACGCCAAGCCCGATTTGGCAGTAGCGTACTATTCAGCCCTCAGAACTCTGAGTGCCTGGGTGACATAAAATACTTGACATACGACGTGAAAAGGTCGCTGTAGTCGCCAGACACGTCCATTGTGTGCTCACACTTGTCAAGCATTCTATAATACCCGGGTACTCCTGGCCGCGGAACCTGCCAGTAGGCCACTAGAGCCTGAGACACCTCAAAGGATTCCGCGGCCAGCGAGGAGCGATGGTGTTGGGACAATGATGATGTTATTGAAAGCGCACCGCACAGCATCTGGTACATCCATACTGCCCGCTTATTTCCAATCATGCAACACGTTCACCCGGGTGATACAAAATACTTAACATACTATTGCACAAAGCCACTGTAGTCGCCAGGCACGCCTATTATGTGCTTACAAGCACTGTCAAGTATCTTATGTCACCAGGTGCGTTCGGAATTGAGACGTAGATACTGTTACTTGGGCATCGAAGGAGCGATCGCTGGCGCTGTGATGCAAATGACGTAGGTTGAAGCTTGCTTAAGAATCAATGATACCACTCAAGGCAGTGTATTCTCAACAACACATACATGACATGCAAGCACGACCGTATTCGTCGCATACCGGAGTGCGTACAATGCGAGACCGGTTGCAATCGGTCCGGCCAGAGGCATCACTCTTGTCATGTGACTGCCCAAATTGCCAGCGGTAGAATTGCATGCGCACAATCAGCCTCCCATTACCCTGCCAACAGGCGTCAACAGCCCATTGGCGCGAGATGACTAGGCCAGTTCAACTGCAGCTTGTCTAGAGTACATTCTTACCCCACCGAGGCTGCTAGCTTACCTGCATTTACTGTCCGCGGGAAGATTCAACAGCCCGAAATGAAATGCTGAAACGTGCCGATGCTTAGTTATCTCTACTCTAACGATATTCATACACAATTTTGCCGGACTCGGAGAGCTTCACGGCGGGGAAGCCGTTACGTGAGTGGGATGCAGCTGCAGCTCGCCCAAGCGCTGTGACGGTGGTGAGACGGTTTTCAAGTCTTGGGGGTTGATGATAGAGTACTATGCTCCGTAGGTTTGGGCATTTCCGAGTGCACAGCCAAGCAGATCTGGATCTGTTCCTAGGGAAAGGCTTGGTCATGGTGGGGTTCAACGTTGTCCGTCACACTGCTCGGCCTAGAAGTCCCCTCCGGCGGACTTGGAAGCACCTGACTGGTAGTGGCGCCGGATACGTTTCGCAAGACGTGCGCCGCTTACTGATATTTTGATGAATGGGCCAATTGTTTGCTAAAAGCTTGTTTTAAAGGCTCCAGACCTCGCTGCGTGTCTGAGTAAAAGATCCTCTCCAATCCCCTATCGCCGGTGTACGAGCGGCAAACGCGAGCCAACTACGTCAACGTCAACTAAACCGCTAGAGCCAGCTCCGATACCCCACCACATAGGAGCTTTTTATCACACCCACGCTCTATCCACAACCTCTGTCTCTACTCGAGCCCTCTTGTGTAACCTTATCTCCATTGCTTTTACACGATTCCCAATTGAGCTTTGACGCTGCGACCGCCCCCCACATCAGCAACAATGGCGGACACTGTTATCCAGCCCCAACACGAGGAGGTCAATGCCGGGTATGTAATCTCTATCGCCCCCAAGTGAGTGAGTGGGTGAATGAGTGCAGAATCGAAGAAGCGTTTTGCGAATTGCATCGATTTCTTCGTTACCATATCTCGCTCAATAAGCCGGCAGTTTGCAGTGGAGGGGTAGTACGCGTACCCGCTCAACAGCTGGAAGCATTGTGAATCAATAGCTAACTCAAGCGCCATAACAGAAACATGGAACTCAAGGACAACACCGTCATCGTTGTTCTGGGTGCCTCCGGTGATTTGGCAAAGAAGAAGACCGTATGTAAACAATCAATTATACGAGAAGTTGTCAACTAACTTGCTGTCAGTTCCCGGCACTCTTCGGTCTCGTAAGTCGCACAACGACGCTTTCGCACCACATCCATTAACCAATTATACAGCACCGGAACAACTTCCTCCCAAAAAACATCCGCATCGTCGGCTATGCGCGTACAAAGATGGACCACGAGGAGTACCTCAAGCGCGTCAAGTCTTACATCAAGACACCCACAAAGGAACTAGAGAAGCAGCTGGAGGAGTTCTGCGGCTTCTGCACATACGTCTCCGGCCAGTATGACCAGGACGACTCCTTCATTGCGCTCGAGAAGCACATGCAGGAGATTGAGAAGGGCCGCAAGGAGACCAACAGGATATTCTACATGGCCCTTCCTCCCAGCGTCTTTATCGCAGTTTCCCAGCATCTCAAGCGCAACTGCTACCCGAAGAACGGCATTGCTCGCGTTATTGTAAGAACCTGGCATATACCATGCTAAACAACTGTCGCTAACCGCAATCGTACAGGTCGAGAAGCCCTTCGGTAAGGACCTGCCCAGTTCGCGCGAACTACAGCGCGCATTGGCCCCAGATTGGAACGAAGATGAGCTGTACCGAATTGACCATTACTTGGGTAAGGAGATGGTGAAGAACATTCTCATTCTCCGATTCGGTAACGAATTCTTCGGCGCAACCTGGAACAGGAACCACATCGACAACGTTCAGGTATGAGAGATGATGTCCATGTACAGCCCAATTGCTGATCAGTACAGATTACCTTCAAGGAGCCTTTTGGAACAGAAGGACGAGGAGGTTACTTTGACGAGTTTGGCATCATCCGTGACGTCATGCAGAACCGTAAGTATCAGAATGATGGCACAGAGACAAGCAACTGACATGTGTAGATTTGCTGCAAGTGCTTACCCTGCTCGCCATGGAACGACCCATCTCCTTCTCCGCCGAAGACATCCGCGATGAGAAGGTCCGCGTTCTCCGTGGCATGGCCGCTATCGAGCCAAAGAACGTCATCATTGGACAGTATGGAAAGTCGCTGGACGGCCAGAAGCCAGGATACAAGGAGGACGACACAGTGCCCAAGGATTCCCGATGCCCCACTTTCGCCTCTATGGTCGCCTACATCAAGAACGAGAGGTGGGACGGAGTGCCCTTCATCATGAAGGCGGGCAAGGCTCTCAACGAGCAGAAGACCGAGGTCCGCATTCAATTCAAGGATGTCACATCGGGAATTTTCAAGGACATTCCACGAAACGAGCTCGTGATCCGAGTGCAGCCTAACGAGAGTGTTTATATCAAGATGAACTCCAAGCTGCCCGGTCTTAGCATGCAAACGGTCGTCACAGAGCTCGACCTTACCTACAGGCGGCGATTCTCTGACCTCAAGATCCCTGAGGCATATGAATCGCTCATTCTTGACGCGCTCAAGGGCGACCACTCCAACTTTGTCCGTGACGACGAACTCGACGCTAGCTGGAGGATCTTTACACCTCTGCTGCACTACCTAGATGACAACAAGGAGATCATCCCTATGGAGTACCCATATGGTTCGTTGTCCGAAATTGATGAGATGAGATGATAGCTAACTAGTCTGTAGGCTCCCGCGGCCCTGCCGTATTGGATGACTTCACTTCTTCGTACGGATACAAGTTCAGCGATGCAGCAGGTAGGACCTCACCTCTGGAAGGCACGCGAAAACATGACTAATACATTTCCAGGCTACCAATGGCCAATGAACGAGCAGAAGTTGTAGAATGTCTGGGCAGGTCTACACTTGGTGCCGCTGAACATAGGTTCTGAGGTGTTTTGAGCGGGTTTTCTCTGGCACATGCAAGCAAGTGAATAGATAATGAATAAATGGGCATCTTCGCATCATAAATATACGTGTCTGCTCGTGATTTCTATACACGTGTTCTTCAGGCTTGCGAAGGACGGATTTGCGACTAGCCTTCAGCAAGCGATGTAGACTTCCGAAAGCGGAGGACCGGGTGGCGGGGTTAGGCTTAGAGCGAAATGGCATCATCAGCGGTTTGAGAAATTTTTGAGAAGCATCGCGTCAGACACCGGTTGACTAAAGTGCACATGTCACTATGGGCAGAAATGACCTTACCAGTCATCGAGTATTAGAAAAAGTGGGGGGCATCTGACCTGGGAGTCTTGTTGCTCGATGACGCCGTCGTAGCTTCCTTGGACTTGGATTGCAATTACTCTGTGTGATTTGCTGAGCCTTTGACGTGTTTTGGCAAAGAAACTCACTGTAGTGACTATCTCCCGTATAGTAGACCCTGTTTGAGTTATCGCATCCCTCCTCCGACAACCTCGGCGCGCACACACCATGACTCCCGCACAAGACATCGCTGGCAGCAGCCTCGCACGCAGCATCTCCAACAGCCTCAACCTTAGCACGAGCCCGAACCTCTCCTTTCACAGCCCACCCGGCACCTTTCGCCACCCACCGCCTGGCGCCTCTTATGATGGCCGCAACAGCAGCTTCCCCGCAAACTCGCACGCGCAACAGGTCGCGAAACAGCTGAAGCCCTTCGATACAAAGGACATCAAGGTCCTACTCCTAGAAAATGTAAACGAAGCCGGTGTCGACATCCTCCGCGGCCAGGGCTACCAGGTCGAGGCTATCAAAGCCAGTCTGAGCGAGGACCAGCTGATTGAGAAGATCCGCCATGTACATGTCATTGGCATTCGGTCAAAGACGAAGCTCACCAAGAAGGTCTTGGACGAGGCTAAGAACCTCCATGTTATCGGTTGCTTCTGCATTGGAACCAATCAGGTCGACCTCCAGACTGCCGCAAGCAAGGGTATCGCCGTCTTCAACTCGCCCTTTAGCAATTCGCGCTCCGTCGCCGAACTCGTCATATCAGAGATCATCGCCCTTGCTCGCCAGCTGGCCGACCGCTCCATGGAACTTCACAATGGCACCTGGAACAAGGTCAGCAAGGGCTGCTGTGAGATTCGCGGCAAGACGCTGGGTATAGTCGGGTACGGGCACATTGGCAGCCAACTGAGTGTGCTGGCCGAGTCCATGGGCATGGCTGTCATCTACTACGACGTCCTCACCACCATGGGGCTGGGTACGGCCCGACAAGTACAGTCCCTAGATGAGCTCCTAGCTCATTCCGACTTTGTCTCTCTACACGTTCCTGCGACTGCCGAGACCGAGAACCTCATCGGCAAGGAGCAGTTTGCAAAGATGAAGGATGGCAGCTACCTCATCAACAACGCGCGCGGCACCGTCGTGGATATCTCCGCCATGATCGAGGCTAGCCGCTCTGGCAAGCTTGCCGGTGCCGCCATCGACGTGTTCCCCAACGAGCCCGCAGGCAACGGCGATTACTTCACCAACGACCTCAACAACTGGACCAAGGACCTTATCGGACTCAAGAACATAATTCTAACCCCTCACATTGGTGGCAGCACCGAAGAAGCACAGAGCGCAATCGGTGTCGAAGTCAGCACAGCACTAGTGCGCTATGTCAATGAAGGAACTACACTTGGGGCCGTCAACATGCCCGAAGTTAACCTGAGAAGCTTGACACTTGACCAACCCGACTGCATGCGTGTCATCTACATTCATAAGAACGTACCTGGTGTACTGAGACAGGTCAACGGCATCCTCCTCCACCATAACATCGAGAAGCAAATGTCCGACTCTAGAAACGACATTGCCTACCTCATGGCAGATATCAGTGAAGTCAAGGAAGGCGAAATTCGGGATCTCGTCACCAGTCTCGAGGAACTGTCTTGTAAGATTCCTTCTTTACCCCCTCCCTTCCCCCGACTTTTCCTATTATGAGGACTATACTAATCCGCCCATCAGCATGTATCCGTACAAGAGTCTTGTACTAGACGGACACCACCAAGATCCAGCATCGCGGACAAGTGAGACGCAAGCACAGACCTTTTCGCTCTCACACTGCTGCTGCTAATGCGCTCATTCGACAGCATGAGAATGATACCGTTTTGGATATGCTAGCGTCTCTGCCGCATATTCGCGATCTGAAAATTAGGGGCAATAGACTTCAACACGGCGTCTGAGAAGAAGACAAAGGTGGTCTTTCTTGCAAATGCGCCATGGGCAGTAAAAAGGGATTGGAAAAGCACACATTGTTTCAACACCATAGTGAATTTTATTACTAGCATTCCACGTATCAATGCAATTGAATACATGTGAAATTATTAAACAAATAGCCCTTCTTCTTCCTTTTCTCTACACTCCTGGAAAGGAGGTCCAGGGATCTACACCAGGTGGCTTCTCAAGAGACTAGCACAGCCAGGACTTGGTCGTCGTCGCTGTCGCTGTCGTAGTTGTCGAACTTTGTACACTGGTCACGCCTTGCATGTTGCCAACTATACTCCAACAGTCTCTCAACACTTCAACAAGCTTGTATTACATGCAGATTACAATCACAATTAAGAACCACGAGAAGCAAGTCATTGAGAGAAAGAAAAAAGAATTGCATTTCCCCAGCATTAAACACCCAACATCATCATCATACGCCATCCTCCAAGACCCCCGTAATTTCTGCTGCATGTTTTGCCGCCCAGAAGCCAGCCTAGACTGACAAAAGACAGCTACAACTACAAAGCATTGCGGGCCTTATTGTGCTTCGTGTCGGGTCATGTCTAATACCAAATTTCGCTCACAAATATATGCTAACTTCATGCTTCAATACCTTCCTCAATCGTTCCGTGGCCATTCATGCCTCCGCCGTTCATGCCGCCAGTCAGTGCGTTCATGGCATCACCGTTGCTCTGACCGTTGGGTGCTTCGTCGTCAAACTCGAGCTTCTCTTGTTGCGCAATGGCTTGTTGAGAGACGATCTCTGCAAGGCGCTTGAGACGAGGTGTTTGTAGCCCTATAAGACAAATTAGCAAGTGGTGTGAGTGACCTGAGGATGGATGAGAATATAAACTTACATGAGGGCGTGTATGTCTCCAATGCTGTAATGACTCGGGGTTCCGCAATCTCGTACGGGCCACTGTCCTCCATGTCAACGGCTGTAAGCAACAACACGTCGCTCTTCTCTGTTACACGCGACGCAACAGCCTTCATGATCTCGCCGTTGATCGGCTGTTCATAATCAGCCACGAGGTACTGATTGAGCAACTTCTGGATCTGGTTGGGACTCAGCATCCAGCAGATGTCCTGAATAATCTCAATGTCGTTCAATGTAGCCTTCTTCAGCTGAAGCAGCTTGGTGGCTTGCATGAGGTGCTCAAGCTGGAGTGTGCCTTCAGGCATATCGTGAGACTTGCACCACTCTTCGATACGTGTGATGTTGTAGTTGATTTGGAGACCTCGCTTCCAGGAAAGGAAGTTACGGCGCATGAGCAGGTCATTGAACGCGGTGACGCCGACTAGCCTCAGCAACTCGGTGACACACTGTGTGATGATCGAGTCCTCAAGGTAGTATGCCTTCATAGCCTTGTATACGCTGTTGAGCAGCGTGAGCAGATTGTCCATGCTGTAGGCGGGGGTGTTGCTGCCCTGGAGCAACTTGCCAAGGAAGCGGTTGCTTTCGTTGGTGACAAAGCCTGGTAACGACTGCGATTCGATGATAGCAGGAATAATCATCTTGTGTAGCTTCTTCTTGAGCACCTTCATCCATGTGTGATAGATGTTGAACTCGAGACTCTCAAGATCATGCTTGACAATCTCAAGTAGTCGGTCGTACTCGTAATTGTCGGTCTTTTGTTGCTCGTACCAGTCCTCAGCAAGGAACACAAACGACAGCATCTCGTGGACGTTTGAGAGCCAGAAAGCGCCTGGGTTGATTGCGTCTTCTGTGTCGTGATTCATCACCTCTTGTTGAATCGATTGCATGACGTTAGCAAGGAAACGCTCAGATTCCTTAACAAAGCCATTATTCCACATCTCTGATGTAACAAGATTGATAAGGTAGGCAGGGAAGAGGACTTCTTTGTCCGTAGGGGGAGGTGTGGTAGTAGGAGAAGGTATCTTCAGGTTCTTGATAAGACCGAGGGTGACCTCATCGTTCAACATATCCTCCTCGGCAAGGATGTTCTCAAGCTCCAGCTCGACATTATCAAGCTGAGCAAAGGTTGAGCCAGAGAGGTTTTGTCGGTGGATAGTAGAGCCAGGAGCCATTGAGACTGGTCGTGGGTTGTATTGTTCGCTGAAGCGGTTGAGCTCGCGAGTATCCGGCCCGGCACTGCGCCTCTTGGGTTTCTTCGATGAGACAAGCTTGATCAGGCTACTGGGGGCTATGCTGGGAGCATGACCATTGGTGAGGTCGCTGATAGGGCCAGCTCGCTTCATGATCTCAACCTGCTCCTGCAACTCGGCGAGTTGCTGGCGGAGCGACACCTTCTCGGTCTCAGTGATGTTGCTCTTCCTCTTTGACTGCTCAAGGTCCTCGGTAGTCCTCTTAAGCGTGGCACGGAGCTCCTTTTCTTCCTCTTGCAAATGCCGCATCTTTGCGTTGCTCTCCTCGTAGCTTGTCTGCAGTTTCTTGTACTCGTCTTCCATTTGACTGAGCTTGGCAGCGGTGATACCAGCCTGGTTGGCCTCGGCTTGCAACTCTTTCTGACGGTTTTCGAGCGTTCGACTGCGTTCCTTGTACGATTTGATCTGGTTCTCGTAGTTCTCCACCTGCGACTTGAGCGACTTGTTCTGCTCCCTCATCGTACCGAGATTCTGGGTAAGCTCCACGACCTTGTTTTCCAGCTTGTATGAAATATTCTTGAGATCGCGGGATTCAGCACGGAGAACTTTGTATTCTCGGCGGGCCTTCCTTCCCCTCCAGAGCTTCTGCACAGTGATGATGTCGTTGATTTCCTTCTTGTACGCGCGGATATAGCGTTGTTTGCGCCAGTTCCGCTGGATCATACGAGCAGCATCACCAAGTCTCTTGTCCAAGAGATTCTTACGCAGAAGGAAACCCTTTGCGATGGCTTCAAACTTGATGAGCGAGTTGCGGATAACGAGGAAGCGTTTGCGATCCTTGCTGCCGCGCCAAACTCGCTGGATGGTAGTCGCGGCTCTGACTTGCCTCGCCTCCTCAGTCTTCTCCCTGGTCATGTAGCCCCTAGCCAACGACTGCACAAAGATCACAGCTTCCCGCATTTCGAGGTAGATGCGGCGGTAGTACTTGGCTCGGAGGTTCTTCTGGATCATGACGGCCGCATCGTTGAGCCTGGCAGTACGTAGGTTCTCTAGGAAAGCAAGCATACCAGCTCGGAAGAAGATCTTAGTCAGACCCATTTGGTACTTGTCGGTACCGTCGTTTTTGCCAGTACCCAGTGCTTTCTTGAGAATCGCCGTAGCCATGTTCCGGATTTCTGGGGTCCACTCATTGGACCTGACCAACATGTAGTAGCGCAGGGCAAATTCCTCGTAAGTCCACCTGGTGGGGTAACCAGCACAACTGATTCTGACGGTTTCAAGAACACCACAGGCCCGCAATTGACTCAGGACCATAGGCCCATCGAACTGCCAGGCGGCCTTGGCCTCGTTAGGCTTGATGCACCGGATATAGTGGACATCAGTCGAGTTTATCGTCTGCATGAGCTCAATTAAAGAAGACTTAAAGATACCACCAAGTGTAGGTTTCCGGTTGGTAGCCATCCTTCGTCCAGCAGACATAGCAGTACCAGGCTTAGAGGAGGCGTTGTTTGCAGTCTCCTTTTCGCGGATCGATGCTGCAACTTCTAAGACTTGGGTCAAGAACTTGTTGCTTGAAGCCTTAAGTACTTCCATGTGCTCGTCAGGTACAGTATCTCTGTTCTTTTCGATGAATCCGTCCGACTCATATGTGACGTCAATGGCATAATGACAGACAGTGAAGGAAGACTTTCCGAATCGAGGCTTCTTGTAAAACTTGTGCTTGTCTCCAGAATAGTTGTGGTGTAGCTTGGTAACAAACTGCTCGTCGGAACCCATGGGTAACCTAGACTCTTCGTCTAGCAGTGACAAGATACCCAGTTTACCTTCAATAAGGTCGATACAGGGCTGATTATCAGCAAAGTCGATGAAAGTCCAGTCAATCTGTTCGCGCATATACTCTTCTTGTTCTAGCTTGAAAACGTGGGCGTTGAACTCTTGTTGCAGTTTCTCGTTGGCGTAGTTGATGCAGAACTGCTCGAAAGAGTTCTTGGCAAAATGCTCAAAACCATAGATATCCAAGACACCGATAAATGTATGGGCGTTGGCAAGGACCTCTTCGGTGGCTAGACTTTCGTTGGTGCGCTCGACTAGCCAGTCAAACAGACTCGAATAGATGAACTTGGCAACGGAATCTCGAACTACTATAGCTTGTTGTTGAGTAAGATTTGAGACGATCTTCTCTCCTCTAGTAATGAGTTGCTTCTTCACGATCCACTTAGCGAAGGTAGTGGCGTCTATTCCGAGCAGCTGGCATGCCTTGACGAGCGCAGGCTCATCGGGCGAGAGATTTGAATCTGTCCTGGTTGCCGTGATCTTGACGTCTCCCATGTGCAGCAGCGCGGCAAGCAGGCGCCAGATGCCAGACTGGGTTTCGGGCGCTACACCGATCTTTGTCAAAGACTGTCTGGTCGCCTTGAACTCGGCCACGTCATCCATGCCCTCGATTATAGGTGCGCTTCCCTGGTTGAGGTAGCTAAACTCCTCAACCGATTTGAGAGACAGCTCTTCGCGCTCCTCGTCTGTAGCACCCGCGACGAGCTGGTAGAAGACATGGTAGTTGCGCTCCTTAAGCGGCTGGAACACCAGTCTTGACCGTTCTAGCAAGTATGTCCTGATCTTCGCACCAATGATATCCGTCTGCTTGTTGAACAAGATCTCAATGTATTTACCAAACCGGGAGGAGTTGTCGTTTCGCGTTGTTTTGGCATTACCAAAAGCTTCCATGATGGGGTTGGTGGCTAGAATCTGCTCTTCGGTCTCGCTCATCGAGTCGACCTTGCCTCTTCGCTTTCCCGGGTTGTCTGGGGACTCGCGCGTGGCGAAGTATCGCATGATGTATTTGGCACTGACGGTCTTTCCGGCTCCTGACTCTCCGGAGACGACAATAGTCTGGTTCTTCTGGTCTCGCATCATGTCGCTGTGGGGGGTTGGGTTAGCAGCTATTCATGATGGGAAGTGGTGACTGGGAAACCTTACGCAAAAGCTTCCTCAGCAATGGCGAACAGGTGAGGGGCACCATAGGATCTCTGCTTGCCAGCGTAGACCTGGACCATGCCGGGCACATAGAGTGAGTCGACTCGCGCAAAGGGATTTGTCGCAATCAGGACAATACCCGAGTATGTGTAGATTTCCTTCTGGAGATAACGGAGTTTGATGGCCTGGAGCACTGCACACATGTTAGTGTTTGTTCGCGCGCATGTACCGGGGATGGATCCGTACCAGCCGGCTCGTTCAAATGCGAGAGATTCGTAAGGTCGTCGCTGGCCTCGAGCATGGCCGGGTTCATCAGTGGTGGGAGATTCGGGTCCTCGCCAGTCTGAATGGCTGTTACCGTCGTCTCCACAGACTTGGTCTGCACATTGGAGCGTCAGTATTCCTCGACTACAAGACACAGGCATGTTGTTGAGTTGCGGACGCACCTCTCCATTCTCCAGCGTAAACACCAGCTTCACCTTATCCCCCGCAATCTGCTTGTCTGTCACCTCCGAGGCAACCCAGCCCTCAGTGGTGTCGGGCTGCCATGCCCGGGTGCCGATATCGTAAATGTGAGCCATGGCAGGCGGTTGTGGTCCCTCTCTGTTGTCTTCCCCCCCAAATGGCGGTGCGGTGTCAGGGTCCAAGGGCTCCCTGTGGCTCTGGGTCTTGATATATGCCCAGCTCCCTACGTCGGTGCGCGGCCGCTGGCTTCTTCTTGCTCGTCTGCTTCTTTCTCAGCGTCTTGTCGTCAGCGTTCGCTATCGCTGCAGTCACAGTGCTCGATGCATCCCCTGCGGAGAGAAAGTGCATTCGTGTGGTGATGCGAACGCCAGCGGTTGTCGACTTTCTCTGGTCACATTAACACGCTAACGTGCTGTTCACCGCCCGAACCCACATTAGTTAGGGGTCCCGGCCAACCACCACTCAAATCACCAAAAGCCCGTCTCATCTTATGCACGGCCCTGGGGCACCTCGTCAGGTCTGCATATGAAATAGCCTCACTCCAGCCTGCACACCTGCGTCCCCATATGCAGCCTGCAGCCTCCCTCGCCCTTTATGTGCCATGTCGCAACACCGTTTAGCTTTGCCACATGTTGCCCGCTATCCTCAAACACCGCCCGCTCTCCTTACTCGCTGTACCGTTCCCCACTCGTGTCATCTTCCCCTCAGACCTGCAAACGTATCGTGCCTCGGGGAATCGGGGCCTGCACATCCCTTCTGACTTTGGCCACCATTGTGAGACAGGGCCCTCGATTCGCTGTTTCCCGTACACGTGGACAGGAGGCGTGTGTGAGTCTTGGAAATTTACACATGTATCTATCACCAACTGGCCATCTCCTGAACATTAGAAAGTTTAGTGCCTAGGTACGTGCATCTCTATACACTTTCAACGACTTCTTGAACATGCAAGAGCCTGATGGTTAGTACACTCGACACCCATCACGTCTCATTGCATCATCGAGCCCCAACGTAATAGCGTTCTCTCAAATTACTCCACATTTGCCTGTCATCTACGAGCTCGCTACCAGCATCGGACTCAGTTCATTCACATGTGTGAAACGAGCTAGACAAACACGTGCGCTATCTGTAGATGTACGTAATATGAACCAAGTTTCTGTCCCTGCTTGCATTGCACCCGGATGTCATTAAATATGGGACATACCAATGTAAAAAAGCTACTGTAGTCGCTAGAAACGTCTATTGGGTGCTTAGCCACACTGTCCAGTGTTTTATGACACCCAGGTGATTGCATTGACAGAGGTTCCATGACCATAAATATAGAGGTACAAACTAATCACGTGCGATAACGCTTATCCGTCGAGATTCCCCAACAGTGCCCACATGCAGACAGATGCCCCGCTATGCTTACCTAAGTCTATTCCCAATCGCACTTGGTGATGTCACGTGAGAAATCCGCCGCCGAGCTGACATCAGTATGTACACACATGAGTAGAGACGCCTCTCTCATGATTAGACGTTTACTGCACATTTACGCTTTAAATCCGTGATGGCTATGTCACAACTCAACTACTACAACTCTTTTCGACCTTGACTTGCGTCACATCTACGCCATTGTGTGACTACATATCACCACCGCTTCTATTTTAACCCGAATCGATATTGAATTCAGTAACTAAGTTAACTAATATAAGTTGCCTCTATTAAAACTACTATATACGTTTGCGTTCCCACAAACTTGGAATTTGCGGTCTGTGCCAGCTGATATCAACACAGTTCTTTTAGAGAAAAGGATAGCCTGCATGCTCATTATGAGATCAGTTCGGGCTGGAAATAGACTCAGTAGTATCAGTAGTAGTGCCAGCTGATATTCCTGCTGTTGTTTTAACCCGGATATATCCACATCGCTGCACACTAATTATTCATTCTGCAAGATTATTTAATCATCATGACGACTTGTTACAAGCCTGATACAAGTTCTTGTATCGCTAAGCTACGCCCAGACGGATGACGGCTTGCGCAGACACACAGCTTGTGCTTAGGCAGTCCCGTGGGAAATGCTCGTAATTTCTGTTACTACTTATGGACTTTTCGACAATGTCAAAAGTCTGTGACAAAAAAACGACCAAATAGAAAGTCATAGTGACACATGAAAACAAAACAAGTTGGTGGTAGGCCATGGAGGTGCAACGGACAACAACATCGTGACATCGGTACCAGCAGTGCCGACCAGGCTGTCGGGGTGCGCCACACCTGAGCACGGCCCGCTCAGTCTAGCGCGCTAGCTATGTTTGGCATCTTATGGCCTTCCAACGGTCCCGACACGTCCGCATCATCTCGACAAGCGATACGGCCAAGCCATGGAGCTGACGACGTCTCCCCTTGCAGTCTCACGCTCCTCCAGATAGATTCCTTAGAATACCAACTTCCTTTCGCTCACTCGAGTCCTATTCCTTTGTACTCTAATTACACTCTGTTCCTGCGTTCCTGCGGTTCGAGCGAATTCCCCTGCATTGAGCCGAACCTAAACGTACAACATTACCCAATGCGACCTTCCACGTTTACATAACTGCTTATCACAGGAGCCGCACGCGACACAAGGGTCTCGGACTTTTTGGGAAGAGTAATAGCAAGGTGAATTGGCCAAGATGCCCTCTGTTGCACAATGGCAGGGCACACCTTCCGTCAAGGGCTCGACCGAGAGCATGCGCATGGCCTTGCTTACGGCGTCGCTCGTTGGTATCCAGTACGCTTCTTGTTCCCCCAGTCTTTCCTACAAGCACTACATACTGACTTGGATCTAGGTTTTGTTGGAACTTTGAAATGTCCTACTGTACACCCTACCTCCTCGAGCTCGGCCTCACAAAGTCCAAAATCTCCCTCGTCTGGGTTGCTGGTCCAATTTCCGGCCTCATAATGCAGCCCATTGTCGGTGTCGTCGCAGACCGTTCCACCTCTCGGTGGGGTCGCCGACGGCCGTTTATGTTTTTCGGTACGATACTAGTAGCAATGTTCCTGCTATTGCTGGGTTGGACGAAAGAAGTGGTTCGATATTTCATAAAAGATGAGGCAGCGGCCAAGAGCGCGACCATATACCTGGCTGTGTTTAGTATATATGGGATAGACTTTGCTATCAATGCGGTACAGGGAAGCTGTAGAGGTCTGGTGGTTGATACTTTGCCGATTGAGAAACAACAGATGGGCAGTAGTTGGGCGAGTAGGATGGTTGCTGTGGGCAGTTTATGTGGGTATGGGGCTGGGTCAATCGACTTGAGGAGCGTATTCGGATCGATGCTGGGAGATACGCAGTTCAAACAACTAGCGGGTGTTGCAGCAATGACGCTGTGTTTAGCTATCGGGACGACAAGCTGGGCTGTTACAGAAAGGGTATTGATCAGTGATGGATCAGCAGTGGGAGAAGGGTTGAATTTCAAGCAGGTGCTCGGTACTATCGTTCATACTGCTTTGAATTTGCCAAGGAGCATACAGGCTATTTGCACTGTACAGTTCTGGGCCTGGATCGGTATGTTGCGTTCAGTCACTGCTTGGGATAGAAGCTAACCATGACCTAGGCTGGTTTCCGTTCCTCTTCTATAGCACAACCTGGGTTGGCGAAGTCTATCTTCGTTACGACGCACCCGCAGACGTCAAAGCAGCAGGCGACCTCACAGGCAAAGTTGGCCGCATCGGGTCCATGGCGCTCATTGCCTTCTCGGTCATCACCTTTGTGATGTCCGTGCTGCTTCCCTTCTTCGTCCGAAGTCCAGAAGAAGAGGAAACGACGCCTGGCTTCTCCCATTCGTCAAAACGCGCACCAGGTTTGAGCGGACTGGAGAAATATAAGCCAAGTCTGCTCACGGCATGGACGACTGCTCATTGCATATTCGCAAGCAGCATGTGCATGGCGCCCTTTGTGAAGAGCCTGAGACATGCGACCATCATTATTGCTTTCTGTGGCGTGTAAGTGATGACTGCAGTGCTGTGTATGTGGGTTTTTGAGCTGACATCAGGCAGATCGTGGTCGGTAGCCTGCTGGGCGCCCTTTGCGTTCCTCGGGGTAGAAATTAATCACCTGAATACAGCGTCTTCACGCTCAACACATTTGAAGCGCGCTTCAATTGACATGTCCGAGGCCCAGGACAAACTCGAAAAGGCTAACGACAGCACGACGTCTAGCGGAGGGGCAAGCTCCGGACAGTACCTCGGCATCATGAACCTATACACTACATTGCCGCAGTTCATGGGCACAGGCATTTCTTGGGTGGTGTTTTCGATCCTTGAGCCTGGCAAGAGCCCAGAGTTGAGCGATGCGCCGCCAGAGGAACACCACAGGACAGATGGGCCGAATGCTATTGCGGTCTGCTTGTTCATTGGGGCCTGTTCGGCCTGTTTGGCGGCATTGGCTACAAGGAGATTAGGAAGGATACAGGGACGGTTGTAGTGTAGTGGTGCCATGATTACTTTACGTGTCCGCCGTTTCCATGTTCCATGGGCGGGAAGGGCGCCGTTGACAAAGTGCTGAGTCAGTGGACATGATGTAGTGAGCTGCCATGGTTGCGCTTTCCAGGTTCGGGTTTAGGCAAGTGGTACGGCGCTGGTGATTTCCAAGGTTTTGTTCAGGGTTTGCTAAGGATTTTCTAGAGCCCCGCTTTGTTCTAGAAGGCAGGTGTGGCTAGCTGGTAGTGCGTACTGTAAGTGTGTAGTGCGTAGTGCGTAGTGGTGGTGATCGGGTCTATGGAGGCAGAGATGGGATGTGGCCGCCCTGTCGACAATGGCGGGTTTGCTGCATGTCAGTGTCGGTGATGAGTCTTGCATGCCTGCTGCAGGGCCGACTCATGCTCGATGCTCGCGAGGCTAGAATCGGAGGCTTTCGGTCATGTATGTAGGTAGTATTGACGTCCACACGCAGAGGCTGCAGCGCCAATGGATAGCAAAATACATGCCCTCTCCGCCCCTTGTAGCTTCTTCGAGTACCGGCGGCGAAGGTCGGCCATGCCGCAGGGTAATGACCATGTACGGTAGACTACTGCGCGCACAAGCAGCAGAGGCATTGCCGCCAGATAAAGTCGAGAGTCGCCTGCGTTATGTGCTGGGGAGATAGACACGTGCCACGCCTTCACGAAAAGACGGTCAAGGTACAAATAGCACGACGCCCGCCTCTTTCGCGCGCATCATCCCCCCTTCCCATTCACCGGCATCGTCCATTGTTCCGTCGCAAACGTCTTCGGCTCGTCGTCGACCACTTCCAGGTTGCAAATTCCCACTAGCCGTAAATAGCCTTATAGAGGGGCGAACAACCTTGCGTAGTAGCGGCTGCCCTCGCTCAACCCGCCGAACATTTCTGCGCCTCACCAACGACATCCACAACTCCTCCCACCCACCCGCCACCCGCATATCGACGACATTCATTCGCCAAAATGTCTGAGCCGATCCGCAATAAGAAGATGGACTCCATGACCGCCCCGTAAGTCGCTTGCACTCCTCCACCACACAATTTTAGACGCCAAAAAACATCACGACCTCACCCCTCCACCATGGACGTGCCGCATTCTAACGTTTGCCCTACCAGCACCCCGCAGAATACACCTGCAAATGCCGCGCCCATATCGTCGCGCGCTCAACAGCCCGGTGTTGGCACCATCAAGGAAGGTATGTTGCACCATCGCAATTTGCTGCCCCTCCAACCCCCGCCTCGCCCTGTCGTCGAGGGCCTGACCGCTAATCTGACTTTTTCTGCAGAGGAACTTGAGCGCACCGCCGCCGGCCTTTTCGCTGCCAACCCCGCCCTCGTTGCCATGATGCAAAACAAGCTCGGTTCGCTCGTGGGCCGGTCAAGTGGCTACATCGAGTCCCTCCCGGCCTCTGTTCGCCGTCGCGTTGCGGGCCTCAAGGGCGTACAAAAGGAGCACTCCAAGCTCGAGGCCGAATTCCAAGAAGAGGTCCTCCAGCTGGAGAAGAAGTACTTCGCCAAGTTCACGCCGCTATACCAGACCCGTGCCAAGATTGTCAACGGCGCCGAGGAGCCATCAGAAGACCACGTCAAGGTTGGCGAGCAACAAGATGAAGAGGACGAGGATGAAGACCAGCCCGAGCCCGAGCTCAACAAGGATGAGGGCAAGGACGTCAAGGGTATCCCAGAGTTCTGGCTGAGCGCTATGAAGAACCAAATCTCACTCGCCGAGATGATCACAGACCGCGACGAGGCTGCCCTCAAGCACCTGACTGACGTCCGCATGGAGTACCTTGACCGCCCAGGATTCCGCCTGATCTTTGAGTTTGAGGAGAACGAGTTCTTCACCAACAAGACCATCACCAAGACCTACTTCTACCAAGAGGAGAACGGCTACGGCGGTGACTTCATCTACGACCACGCCGAGGGTGACAAGGTCGACTGGAAGGCAGGCAAGGACCTGACTGTCCGCATCGAGAGCAAGAAGCAGAGGAACAAGAGTGAGTAGCTGGTTACATATTCTCGTCCGACTAGGTTACTAACGATTTTTAGACACCAAGCAGACACGAGTCGTTAAGAAGACAGTACCTACAGAGTCGTTCTTCAACTTCTTCGACCCTCCCAAGCCCCCACAGGACGATGACGACGCCACCTCTGACATTGAAGAGCGTCTCGAACTTGACTACCAGCTTGGTGAGGACATCAAGGAGAAGCTCATCCCCCGCGCTATCGACTGGTTCACCGGCGAGGCTCTTCAGTACGAGAATATTGAAGACTTTGACGAGGGGGAGTTCGAAGACGAGGACGATGAGGACGAAGATGAGCTCAGTGACGACCGTGATGAGGAGGAAGAGTCTGACGACGAGGTAAGCCGTAACAGTCACTCATACCATTACGACCTGCTAACACGTGATCAGAACGACGGCACAAAACCCAAACAGGAGGCTGCTGAGTGCAAGCAAAGCTAGAGGTCTCACAAAAGAGTAGTCTCTTGCAACTCCTAGAACACACCACCTATACGTCGTCCGGAGTGGGATGCTCACATGGGCTGAACCAAGCTGGACTCATACCCATCTTTCATCAGCTCTGAGATGCTTTTTTGAACGACAGCACATCCGACTACATGATTTCTCACTAGGCGTAATATTGTATCAAAAGAGCTCAGGGGTGTTTGTTGGGCAATGGTCGGTTGGGGATTCCTTTGCACTACATACCATACTCAAGAACTACTCAGTTCTCATCCCCCTTTCCCTTCCAACTCCCCTCTTCAGACATACCGCTCAAACAGGTTCCTGGGCTCTCGCGACCAACCATCGCTAGCATGCATGGCGTTGTCTAGGTGGGGTTTTGCAGCATGTTTTCTTGGGGTCCAGGGATATTTCATGATCACCCGGTAGTTAGAATGGCGTCTTGATTTCGAAACGTGTGTTACGGTTAAATGACAGAAAAGTTTGAGGTCTCCTACTTGACAAGTGCTATGTTTATCGTGATATATACTGTGATTTTGTTAGTCTGTGTGATAGTTTTCACGTTCTACAGTTTACAGGTAGCCTAGAAACCACCGAATTTCATACTTACATTATTTAAATTTGCGCTGGTACCGTCATGCATTTGCTGGTCGTTCATGTCAAGATGAGTAGTGCGGGGTAGTGGGGGTTCAGCCGGGTGAAGTTCGGGTCTCGAAAATAATTCTGGAACGCGATGGCGTATACCACAAGACGACAGAGGGCGGTACAAACATCTTGCTACCTTGATAACCCCGGATATTCGTTCCACTAGCAATTCACTACCCGTGGGAGAGATACAGAAATCTCTTTCTTCTCTCAACCCTCGCTCTCCCACGACCGCAAAACGCTCTGCGACGAACCCGCCAGAACCTGCTCCAACATGGCACGCCAGAATCCAAACATTGTAATTACAGGCACGCCTGGCGTAGGGAAGACGACACATGCAGAACAACTGGCGCAAGCAACAGGCTTCACACATGTTTCCGTGAACCAAATTGTGAAAGATGAGGGATTCCATGAGGGCAAGGATGAGGAGACGGGAAGTTGGATTGTAGATGAGGACAAGGTACGCGCTGTTTTGGTTCTTGAGTTCTCCTCTTCTCGCACACAGATACGAACGCGCAATCTATTCTAGCGCCAGACTCCCAAACCCAAACCCATCACTTACCCACCCCAGCTTCTAGACCACCTCGAAAATCTCCCCTTAAACAGCACAGGCGGCTACATCCTCGACTGGCACGCATGCGATCTCTTCCCCGAGCGCTGGATCGATCTCGTCATCGTGCTACGCTGCGACTCAACCCTGCTGTACGACCGCCTGACCGCTCGGGGCTACAAGGGCAAGAAGCTCGAGGAGAATATGGATAGCGAGATCATGCAGGTTTTGCTCGACGAGGCGCGGGAGAGCTATAAGGAGGAGATTGTGGTGGAGTTGAGAAGTGAGAGTACGGAGGATGTGGAGGGGAATTTGGAGAGGGTGGAACAGTGGGTGGAGAATTGGAGGAGGGACAGGGCGAGTGGTGGTGGGGAAGAGTGAGGAGTATGGAAAGGAGATGCGCGGGTGATGAAATGATACCATGGTTTTAGATATCTGGATATATGAGGTATTGAGAGTGCTCTAGGTGAGTCTATTCCCACCCATTTCACTTACCTCGGCGTTGGGTGATGAATGGGATACAAAAGTTCTAGTCATAGAGAATTACACATCCTCTTCTTACGACTCAACCTTTTTCGCCAACCACTCCTTCAACTTGTCCAGCGCCTTTGCTCGATGACTTATCTTATTCTTCTCGCTCTTCTCCATCTCAGCATACGTCTGCCCATTGTACTCAAAACATGAGTCCCAGCCTACAGAGACGCACGCATCGTTAGCTCCGTAAGTCTTCTCTTTGTGGTACATTCATTCATCATTACAGCTTGGCGAAGCCCCTGCTAGGCACGGGAGGGGGAAGGAACATTCGAGACTTACCAAAAGCAGTAGATCCCCGACTCTCCACCAACGTGCCATCAGTGCGTCCTTGGAATAAGACGGGCTCGTGGCCTGGGCCCTCGCAGTAACCAAAAGTGCAAATTGCTTGCGCGGATTTGTCGTCAAAACCGGAAAGCATCTTGTGCAAGTTCTTGGCGCCGAGTGAAAGCATGAACCATTTGCTAGATTGGGACGTTTCATGAGTAAAATTATATGGTAAAAGGGTCTTGCAGGAGACGGAAATTTGTGGGTGTCAAGAAAATTGATAGAAGGGAACCTACATGTACGGCCCTGGGAGGCCGTTCATGGCGTTGAAGACGAGACATGTATCTTCCACTAGAACGGGCCCTTGGATCTGAAGGATGGTTAGTAGAGCGATAGTTGGAACGCGGGATTGCGACATGCAGCATCAGCAGCTCTTCGCGCCTTGTCCATGGTAACTTCTTCCACGGTGCCTTGGACTTCGACGAGGTCGACATTCTGGTTTCGGAGTTCAATGACGCCAGCAAGGATGGCTTGGACTTCTGCGAGCTTGTTCTTGTTGCCCGTTATGAAGTTCAGGTGTGCCGGTACCGACGGTGTAGATGCCATCTTCGGCTAATACTGGAATTTATCCGTTACAAGTGGTAAAGGTGGTATGGTAGGGTGGTATGATCGGTGTGGTAAGATCTAGAAGTATAGCTACGGCTGTATCGCCGAAGTCGCTGGAAGGATTGTTAACGGAATTTTACGTCTGAGCAGGAGATTTGGTGCATTAATGTACCTTATGAAAAGGGAAAAATATGCTGTTCCGCTATGGGATAAAAAACCTTCACGGCAGGCACTTGGATGACTGTTGGAGCGGAATTAGCCATCTTCAACGGTGAAGGGCGCAATTCCTGTCGGTGTGGATAGGTAGCACTAAATTTGGCGACCGCTTTGCGATTGCAAAGGGCGCATGCACCCAGCTGGTGAAGTAATCTGCAAGATGAAACTCACATACAGATTGTGGCTATGTCACAGACTCTAAGCGGTCTACAAGTTGGTCAGATCGCGGAGTCCAATTTGGTCCAATCTGCAAAAGGTGGTGATAGTAGGGCTGAGGGGTTGCACGTTTTCGCAAGCGAGCTGAGCAAGGATGTGGCTTCTAGCGCGCATCGAATGTTACCGTGGCCCTACAAACCAACACGTTCAGCCGCATCAATCACACCCTGCAAGGTACATTTCAACGGTCTTCGCCGTCCAAACCGATTGGTAGGAACGCTCAGAAGCCCATAGTCGCCGATTAAGAGCCTCATGGCTTGAGGCTGAAGGCTATCATTCGACTACCCGCACCTTTGCACGCCGACAAACCGTCTCAAGCTGCACCACGAACTACCAGTATAGCCGGAGCGCTTTCCATTTCCTCCCAAAACTGACTCATCGCCAAGGGAGGCGGCGCAGGATACTGTCATTTTTGTCACCGCCATCATGGTTTCCCTTAGGACTTTGTTCCTGGCTGTGTATGCCTCGAACCGCGTTATAAGGACCTTGTTTCTGCCATTATGGTACACCACGCTCTTCAGTCCGGTCGCACTAGCTATCGCTTGGTACTTTGAGTTCGATCAAACTGTCCTACAATTCATTCCGGAAAACTTCTCTTGGTTCGATCTCTTACCTCAATTCGCAGTCTCGGCCGTGTTTGTGCTATTACCAACCAGACTCCTTTCCAGCTCATCAAAAGTCATTACTACGCAAAATGGGGCGAGACGGGTACAATCGCTTCCATACTGGATCCCGGGGTTACAACACTTCTGGAGTATTGCCCTCGGGGGACAGGAGTGGTTGAATGGTATCCGGTTAGTTTAAGAAATTCCGACGAGGGAACTAGTCTGACAAGCAACAGCGAATCTTCGATAACAAGTATAATTGCATACAATGCAGCTGGAACCAAGCACAGTGTCCTTCTCTCGGAATCACTAATTCGCCAACTATACGACAACTGGCATAATTTGGAGGTGCCAGACAACAACCAAACCGCCCTTCTCCGAAATGCATTCAACTTGCCAAAAGAAATGGAAAGCCACTACATTGAACTTCGCCAGGAAATTGACCAAGCCGTCCAAACAGAACTTCACACGGGAGCGACAAGGGAGAACCTGATCAGACTATCGCTGAACATTTTGTCTGACTCGCTCCCCGACCTGACTACTTTTAACTCATCTATTGTCGACCAAATGCCATGGGAGCGCGTATCGAATGTAGACCTCACAGATGGCACGTCAGAAGCAGAATGCGATTTGTTCATATTGCTCAACGAGTTTTGCTGCAACGCCATTCTACCACCGATCCTGGGGGCTCAATTTACCGAATCGTATCAACTGCTTGCCACCAATCTGGCTACCTTCAACGAACGCTATTGGGCTCTCGCTCTCGCATTACCGCGACTATCCCCCATCCAAGGTTTACCAGGAGCTGCTCTTGCAAAAAAGAATCTTTTGAACACATTTGCCAAAATGTTCAAAGATTTGACTAACCCGCCTACGAAGAGGGTCCCAGATGACGACGAGAGCGTGAGCGGCGAGGAGGATACGGACGCCGATACAATAACGCCTCTGATGAAACTCAACGAAATCTTCACCAAGCACGACTTGCCTATGCGGTTACGCGCTTCGATCGCACTTCACCTTGTACATAACATAGTATCAGACGTTGTGCCTCTAGTGTTTTGGGTGCTTCTACATATCTACTCAGCTTCACAAGAACAAGATGTAAAGTCCTCGGAGCCTACGCCAATGCAAAGGATTCGATCAGAGAGCAAGTCTTTAGCACAAGCTGTACAACCCCCGTCAATACATCCATCTTTCCCGGCACCTCCTGAGATACGCTTTGGTCCATCAGCTCAAACGCTTATCGCAAATACCTTGCCTTATCTCCGATCATGCATTAATGAGGCTCGACGTCTATACAGCTGCTCCGTGGACACGTACAAAATCAAGGAGCCTTTTGTTTTGAAGGAGGAGGATATTGCACAAAAAGGACAGGAGGAGAAGTGGGACCTCGAAGCTGGCTCATGCATCGATGTAGGGCTTTCTCGATGCATTATCAATTCCTCGCCAGCAGTCCACACTTCCCCAGAAACATTCAAACCTGATCGCTTTATTGACACGCCATCTCCGACAGCCATTATCGTTCCCTCTGACGAGGCTGAAGCCTACAAATCTGCCCTCCTTGTCTCCATTATAGCAGGCATAGTTCAATTATGGGATATTGTGCCAGCACCAAAGAAGAGCTTCTTCGAGCATATTCAAGAAGCAGGAAACGAAGCATCCATCGGTGCAGCAGCGCTTACCGGAGAGCAAAAGGCTGCCAGAGAAGAGTCAAACAGGAAGAAGCAGGATGGAAAGAAAAAAGACGCAAAGTGGATATTTCCAAAGGCCGTGGAAGGTGCCGATGTAAGGGTTCCAAAGGGTGATATTAGGGTTAGATTCAGAAGGCGCGAGGGTTTACCTGCGAGTAAGATTGTAAGGAGGATTGGCTAGGAGACTTCCGCGTACCTGAGCGCTACAAGCGGTCAAGCTCCGAACAGGGAGTTCACCGGAAATCCGCACAGGGAACATGGAGTTCGCCGGAGGTGGAGCTGTATTTCGGCAAAGAAAGAGAGAGGTAAGAGGGCCGGTGCGCAGACCCGCGAACGGCATCCTCCATCTTCACCGCAACACACAGGGTTCGGGCCGGTCACAAGCAAATTGTCGGTCCGTCTTTCACACATACCTACACATGTACAAACTAGGAAGTCATCATCAAGGCAAGAGGCCGTCGTAACACAAAAGAATCTAGACCATAGCATTGTCTCAGAACTGCGCGTCGCCGTCAAACTTGCCTAACAAAACATGCCAAACCCAACCCCAAGAAGTCCCAACAAACAAACAAAAAACCCACCAACGGCATTCCCCACCCCGCCGGGCCCTTCCGCCCACCACGATCTCTACCAAACCCACGATCTGCCCTCCCCAGTCCCATGTTTCACCCATGGCCGTTGAACAATTAATCCACATGCCCCCGATACGCAGCACAAAAACCTACGCTGACCTGTCTGACGTACGTGGTCAAAGTAGCGGTGAATACCCGCACTAAAAACAAAGCGATAACCCACAACCATGACCCTGAATCATCATACGCCAACACCCGCTTCCCCGTGTGTGTCCCCAGTCCCAAACTTTACAGACGAGGTAACAGAAGACACATCATCATGGTTATCATCACCGATGCCAAGTGCGGGATCAGGAAGGCTATGGTCTTGTATCTCCACACCTCAGCATACGCAGCCCCGTATCTGCAGAGTGTTTGTTTAGCGCGATGCGTACGTCCGTGTTGGCTGGATGGGTAGGCCGGGTGAGCAGCTAGTCTATGTGTTGCAAGGTTTCTATTTTCAGTCTTGGTTTTTGACAAGAAGGACTGGTGGATGCCAAGGTTGACCTCAACTGCTGATCGATGATGAACGTGCTGTTGTTGGGTTACTGGGAACAAGAGCAGTAGCGGGGACAAATAAGGTTAGGGGGTAATACTGAGTTGTACAGTCTGTGTATGCGCAATGGGGAAATCAATATCCGGTCGATACGGTGTGTTGTGTCAGTGTCCAGTGTCGAGCGTCAATCTTACCATTTGCACCGTCTGTCCGAGTTGGGAAAGAGACAGGGTGGGAATCGAGAGGGTACGGTGGCAGGGGGGTTGGTCGGAAGATTCATCCGGGACGCGCTTATTCTAGGTTTGCTTTAGTCTACGGCAACCTTTGGGAACAACACGAACGATGCAAATTGCTTATTACCGAAACTTTCTGGTTGATCCGACGTAGCTTCCTTTTCATCTCATGAATTACTAGACGTAATATTACACAAAAGCAAAGAAATTGCCGTCAAGAAGCTCATGGCTTCTTGAGCCCGGGCCTTCCTAGCTCAGTGGTAGAGCGCGTCACTAGTAATGACGAGGTCGTCAGTTCAATTCTGGCGGAAGGCAATTGTTTTTGCTAGTTTGGTTGGCAGGGTGGTAGTAGGAGAGATCGGCTTTACGGAACTCTGTTACAAGGCTGTGAAGACTTGGATAAATGTTCAATTTTTTGTGTTTTGAATCCACTGTGAAGAGAGTAACATCAATCATTATGGGGAGAGCATCCTCTACAGCACCGACTAACGCCCAGGGCACACAAACTGCATGCACGATGAGAGGACACAGAAATTGGAACTCATCAATGTCATTTCCATGATACTTTTTCCGCATGACCTGAACACCGGATGCGGATGGTACCCCTTACACGCCATCACTGCCGCGGGATCGCATCGAATGGTGATGTTTATCTCTCATTTGTAAACACAGACACCTTTGGGAATGCCGATATCATGCCGCAGAAAGTTGAAAAGACCCAGAACCCCTTGCCTATCCAACGATGACCTTAAACCTGCTCAAGGACAGTCTCCTTGAACTCACGCTCAACCTTCTGACCAGAGTCGTCCTGGCTTGACTCGCCGTGAAGACCGAGGAGAGCACCAAGGTCGAACTTGGGTGCCTTGAGGAGCTTGACCTTTCGTACGTGAACCTATATTACATCAGCATTCGGCATTTTCCCTATTCTGCACAAGCACATACGTTCTGGAGAGGGTAGATGCCCTGGGTGGCCTTCTCGATCTCGCGACCAATGACCTCAGGGATGAGCTTCTGGGTGAGCTGGGCGAGGGTGCACGAGCTGGCGTCACGGGCCATGATCTCAACCATCTTCTTGCGGATAGCCCTAATCTGCGAGGACTGGGCGTATGTGGTCTTCTTGACCTGGTTCGGTCGTCGCTTGGTGAAGGCAATGCAGAAGAGGCGGAGGAGGTAGTCGTCGGTGGTCTTGACAACGACATTGGCCTCAATGAGGGTTTGCCACTTGCGGACGAGGGATCGGAGCTTGTCGGAAGTGAAGTCGAGTCCGTGGAAGTTGGTCAGGCAGTTCTTTCCCTGGACCTCGTCGACGCGGAGCTTGACCTTGCGGAAAGCGTGGTCCTCATCCTTCTGGAGATCGGCGAGCGAGACCTCGAATATCCGGCCCTTCAGGGCGTCGTTTGCGTTCTTGAGACCGGTGGTACGGTTGACGAGGGTCTTGCCGACACTGCGAAAAGCATATAGTAAGCATTGAATCCGCATGTATATGGCAACGGGATGTCTTACTCTCGGACCGCAAAAGTTCCTGGGGCCTTGATGTTGTACCAGTCCTTCTTCGCGAAAGTGTCGGTCTTCTTCTTGAGACCCTTCTTTCCCTTTGAAAGACGCTTGTTCTTGCCGACAGCCATGATTGCGAGTCTCGGTGTTGTCGGGCGTCGAGTTGTCGAGGTTGTCGTTTCGATGATGCCGAGCGAACGAAATCTGGTGTCTGTGGGCGCTATCGCTGGATTACCTAATTATCGAGCTAAGCGAGGTGGCCAGGCACCTGGACAACACGTGACTGTGAAGCCCGCGATCCACATTAGACCCAGCGTGACGATCACCACCAGCACGAGGCGGCTGCGAGCACGACGCACCTGACTTTGGAGATGACTGAGAAAATGCGACGCATCAGCTGCATGCAGTATCCTTCGCGGTAGGCCAAAGCCATACTGCACAGCTGAATACCTAGGTAGCTGACTATGTCTCCGCAAGGGTAGGTCGAAGTCACTCGATACAACAAAGTAAGTAGCCTTGTATCTGCCGACCATGATCATTCATTCCGTGAAGGTTGTGTGTGGTCATAGTTGTGGAAACAAAAGGAGGCATGTCTCGCGACTCAGCGGTTGGGGCTGGACAAGTCGAGATCACCGTGATCACCAAAAGTTGTGCCAGATAATGTAGTACATGATCATTGATGGTATTGTGCTGTTACTACTGATAACTGACTAAGTGCGCCTAGCCGCCTAGTTATGCCACAGGCTAAATGACCGCTCTCCGACACCCTCCACCGCCTCGGGCTAGACGCGCGTTGCATGACTTCGTCTTCCTAGACTCCTCCAAAGTCACCGCCGCCTCCTGTCGCATGTACTGCGGCGCGGGTCGTGTCATCCATCAGCTGAGTGGCTGTGCGTAGAAGCATCACGAGACCCGCCCTCGGACCACGACCCACGTAACTTTCTTCTTCCGCTCGGCATCTCGACTGTCGTACCTGACTTCTACTGGCCTTCGCCCTAACAATAGCGGACATGGCACAAGAGCACCCACGCGGCTTGCCAGTGGCATAACTGATGGTGGGAGGGTCGGATGACGTTGGCTGGCGGCGTCTGGCTTCCAGACACTACTCAGTGCACTATCTGGTAGGAAGAGAATGTCGGTGTATTTGGTGTTGCGGGTGATGGGCATTGCTGGTTTCCTTGATGTTGTGTTGAATTTCTTCTTGGTGGTTTGCACCTTGCTGGTGTCTGCATGGATTCAAGTCTTGACAGTGGACTGTTCTTGCTGGCCATATACGTCCTGGTTCTGGCAGAATTTCTCAAAGTCAGGGAAGCTGATGTAGCCGTCTAAAGTGGTGTTAGCCTTGTGCTACTTCAGTCAGGTTTCACTGGAGGATTCTTACCCTGCTGCCTGTACTGTCTGACGTAACGGTCACTCTCAGTTCTCGACATGGCAGGCCTCTCGGCAGAGTAGGCTGGCTCCGAGTTCAACCTGGAGCGTGGGGCAAGCATGGGGCTTCCGGGTGGTGTCTCTCCACGTGGGGTAGTGGGTGACGAGGCGACCTTTGCCAGAAGGATGGATGCCTTGTGTGGGCTGCCCGACGTTGCCGAGTCCCGTCGGCAGGTAGTGGGCGCGAGAGTTGTGAGGCATGGCGAAGAAACAGTTGATGGAGTTAGAGGTGGTCGCCTGCTACCCGATCGGGACCGTTGGGGCGCCTCAGTGGGGAGCGAGTAGTAGTATCGAGGATGGGCAGACATGATGATGGTGTACGAGAGTGTCGATCAACGAGCGAGTGTGTTAGTCGGAGAATTGGATGGAGATAATTGGGAACTGAAGATTGACAGAGCAAGCGAGAGACGGTTAGTATAAGAATCGAGTTGAAATCGCCTAGACGCTATTCACCCCATACTACCGAATGTATAGTGACGCCTCTGCTCGTTCCAGGCACCCCGGTCGCCCTGTGCTGCATCAGCAGTCCGGAGCTCCCCACTCGACGTCGCTGGCGTTTTGGAACTAGCAAGCCGGCCGAAGTGGGCACAGGCAGAAAACGTGGACATTTTGAATTAGTCTGTTGCCGGGGAGGTGCGCTGTCAATCTCTCACTCGCCCTGACTCGGCTGGGTGCACACAAGACCACCTCACCTCCATTTCTCTAGACTGCCGCATGCTGCTGCAGGTGTGAGTTGGCCCCTTGCGACGAGGCGGATGACAACAACTGGGACGTCTGCCATGGTTTTTGGTCAACAGCGGCACGGTTCGTTAGTCTTGCAGAAGCTTATTGCTCATTGCTCATTACTCGCCCTTGCTCGGCCTTTTGCACGTCGAAGCAGCTTCCAGTGGCAGGTTCTGGGGGAGGATTGTGCCTGATTGGCATTGCGCCCTCGATCCAAGGCTTTGCGGCGCCTCTCGCCGGAAGAGCGGGTGCACTGCCATAGCGGCGCCGTCGCATGCTCAAACCATCACAATGGCGGATGCAACCCGTCAGGCCAAGGAACACCCGTCATTACTGCGTCGTGGTCATGGTGGTCATGGTGGTCATGACAGATTTCCGGTATTGCCTTGGTTTGGTCCCCAGCCGGCCGAGCCTTCCTTGCCGTGATATCAGGAACGGCCGAAGGGCACATGAAGATGAAGGCCAGACTCTGGGGCCTAATTACAGTACGTACTGTACATGCCTATTTCCGTCGTCGTGTCGACTGGCTGGGCCACATCATGGTGTGTGCGACGGCGAGACAGGAACAAGCACAAGCACCGTGACAGCCTCATTCATTGTCAGTACCAAACACTATGTCGGTGACGACATTGCCTCAGCTGGGGTTTCTATTTTGTGCCGTGTCATGCATTGCAGATTGCCTCCCTTTGTCATCAAAGTCGAGAACATTGGACCTCAGGGATCCGTCCACCGCCTCTCCAGCGCCTCCAAGACCAAGACTTGGGACAACCGGTCAACGCGACCAAGATACCAAAGGTCATCACTATATCTACCTGCTCTCCACATAGCCGTCGCATGATGAGACCTGATGAATGACATAGGCCCGCATCTGACATCGGTAGTGTGCCTTGCTACCGCATGGCGATTGAGGGGAAGACACGTACCGGGTCTGCTGTCGCTTAGTAGCCGCATCTGCCCCTCGCGGGCGAATACCACGAAACACACTTCTTGTTCGGCAATACTTGGAGTTTTGCTTTGGGTTCTGGAACCTCTGTCCCCCTCGTCCCAGGATCCACCTCCACGTCAGCTGCTATCACATGTTGTCTGGTTGTTTGGTCAGACTGGTCGCAAGTGTGGAGCGGGCGACCGGCGACCATCCGGTTTGCCAGTTACGTACGACTAAACGATGCATTCCAGTCCCTCAGCTGAGTACTAAACACTAAACGCTTTGCACGTCTCAACAGATGCTACCGTACACATGCTTCCGAAGTTTCCCAGACAGCTCTGTAACAAAGTTTCCTCCACCGTTTAGCACAATGCTCGCAAACCGCTTGCAACCCTCAAAGGGCAGCATGCATGCAGGCGGCGAAGATCACCACTGCTATCTTGCACCCAGTCTGTTGATGTACACAATGTTAGCGACATGGACGTGCAGCTTGCAGGTGCATCGACCCGAGAAGCGGGTACGTCTCCACGCTGTCATAGCCGTTAAGAGCATCTTGCCAGTTTCAGTTGCGCAATGTCAATCACGATCAAAATGCCATTAGTTCGTCTCGGCCCGGTAATCACCAACACTTCGGCAAACTCTTCTGTTTCTTGGAACCGCTCTTGGGATCCAATGAGAAGACATGTCTTGGAACCGAACATCGATGACGCTGTTGAGGCCTCCGAGTATGCCCCTCACTCACCACACCCTCAGCTCTCAACGCCCTGCGCCGATGACCCGAGGGAACTCTCCGTAAATCCAGACGCGCTTCTACGGCACACCTGGCGCCGATCGTGCCCGAATACTGACAACTATACCCGCCCACTACCGCACACTATGTGGCATCCCAACTGAACGAGTAAAGAACGCGTATTACTGCGGCAACCCGTTGGAACGTATCGGGTCAACCTGCCACGATCCTCCCCTAGTGGATACCCCAAAACACTTCCCAATCCACCCGATCACGCTCCCCGATCTCGATTCTCAACACGATATTTTGTGCGAAGATACGACCGAGTGGAGGGGTTTCAGAGAGAAGGGAGTGAAAGAGCGGTAAAGAAACACGTACAGCGGTCAAGGCCCAATTGCGGGCCGCTCCCGGTGTTGGTTGAGATTTCTTCCGCTTGACACCCCACCATCTCTCCCACTTGCATCTACGTAGTTAGATACAGACACACATACACGCGCTTTTGCGTCTAGTCTAGACTGCCTTTTCTCTCTCTCTCACACACCCACACCCTCACCGACAGTCCCTGAACCCGCTCGCAGAGTCTGTCATGCGACCGAAAGCGGGCTCGTGGTGCGGCAGGTGCGGGTAGGGCGTGAGTAAAAGGGACCAGGTATGCTTGTAAAAGATGCTGTAGGTGCTGGTCTAGTGCTGCGTATGTTGCATGCATTTTTCCACGTGCATATGTGAGTATGACTGGGCTGCAATGGATTGGTGGGGTTGTTGGAGCAGCGTTAGCCGGTGACAGTTTTTTCAAGGCGCTTGAGACGCGACATGTGTTTTGTGTTTCAGGTCTCGTGTAAGGGGTACATGATGGGTCCCTACATACATGGCATGTCGGTAGTGGCTTGTGATTGCCGCGATAGGAGTGGGAAAAATCCAAAGGGGTTGACAAGGTGGATACATCGGGATTCAAGAATGCCATCTTCACGCACATGGGTAAGTGGGTTACCCACTCGGACCGAGCAAATCGTTTTACTGTATTGGTATTCGTACTGCTCTTATCACCGCAGTAGCCAAGGCATATGTTGACTTTCAGTACATACTCCGCACCGATTGCATGCAAGGTCGCAGTTCAGATGACCTGCTTTTGCCCTGCTTCTGCTGCAGCTGCTTCGCTTACAACGGAGGTTGCCATTGCTCAGTGCTAATGTTGGGGTCAGCATGTTGTGATTCGAGCAGATAAGAGGGGTTAATCCTCCACTTACATCAATGTCTTCCCAACCACGACCCTTAACGTTTGCCAATTCGTCCATGGACATGACGTGACCAGTCGTAACTGCAGGATATGAATCAGCAATGTTCCCACTCGACTCAACAACGAAACAGAAGCACTTACAGTAACCGGCCTGGATCTTAGCATCAATCTCGACACGGCTGTCAGCCGGAATCATATCGTCGGGAATTGGCACACGCTCGTGAATGGGGATGCCTTGCTCAACAATGGCATCGTGTTTCATGTTGGACATACTCAGCATCCTGTCAATCTTTGTAATGCCGAGCCAATGAAGAATATCCGGCATAAGAGCCTGGAAGCGCATGTCCTTGACACCAGCAATATTCTCAGTTCGCTTGAAGTACTCGCTAGCGCGGTCTTCTCCCCGCTTCCTGGCATTGTAGACGAGATACTTTGTCACCTCGCCAAGAGCGCGACCCTCTTTACGGAAGTAGATGACAACACCACTGCCGCCCTTCTGCGCTTCCTTGACGGCCTCTTCAATACCAAAGGTCAGGTATGGACGACATGTGCAGATATCGGAGCCGAAGACGTCGCTTCCATTGCATTCATCGTGAACACGGAGAGCGAGTCTGGAGTTGGGGTCCGACATCTTTGCTGGGTCACCGAAAATGTAGACGGTCAAACCGCCGATGGGTGGGAGGAAGAGCTTGATATCGTGACGGGTAATGAGCTCTGGATAGGAGCCACCAGTCTCCTCAAACAGTGTTCGGCGCAGAGTTCCCTCGTCTGTTAGATAGTGTCAGCTGGGAAATATGGGCTGTACCATGTGCTACTCACCAATGTTGAAGCGTTCAGCTACTCCTGGAAGGTACCACACGGGTTCAACCGCGACCTTTGTGACAGCGACCTCGCCCGTTTCATTGATGCAGATCTTGCCGTCCGGCACGAGACGCCCCTTCCTCACACTCTCTTCGAGCTCGGGCAACTTCATGTGTGCTCTTGTGATGGCAATGGTAGGTCTAATTTCGACATCATCCTTGTCCATGGACTCCTTGTACAGCCAAGGCGCAAGATGACCATACGGATCCATTGCCACGATCTTCTTCCCGTCGCTCCATTGGGGGAAAGGCCCAATCTTTGCGGCCGGCTCCGTGTTGGTGAAGTCGGGCTTGTGAGTGATGTCCAAGTTCTTGCTTGCTACGGCAAGAGCGTTGTAGATGGAGTAAGAGCCCCCGTGAGCACCAATAGCTGGTCGAGTCAGTGAGCCCCGAACCAAAGGGAAAATCTGGATGACATACCATTACGCCTACGAATAGTATTCGGATGTCTGGAAACAACGACAGGGCCACGAACAGCAGGGTCCTTAGCGCCCCATTCCATGGGCAATGGATCGACACCTGCCTGACCCGGATACGAGGTCAAGATGATCTTTGAGAACTTTGACACACTTGTACGACGTGGAGGAGCATCAGCACTTTCAGGTGGCTGCTCATACTGCTCGCTAACAGCTTCTACGGTTTTCTCTCTCTGCACTTCGCTCGCCTTGTCCTTGCTCAGAGCACCATTGGCAGCTTCATTTGCTGCCTCGTCCTTGATCTGCTTGATACCAGCCAGCATATTTACGCGTCCATTGATCTTATCAATAGAAGCTGCAAGTGAGGAGTTCTCGGCCCGGAGGGCCTTGAGCCCTTCGAGGATCTCCTTAAGGACAGCATCGCTGGTGGGGGTTTCGGTAGACATGATGAGTAAAGGTGGATTTCATGCAAAATCGTATAGATTCCGAGTTGTTAGAAGACGTTTGACAATTCCTTTGCTGTGTGTAACCGACACCTTGAACAAAGACGGTGAGCTCTGGTGTAGGCTAGACGAAGACACACGATTGATGGGGTGATGTGGAAGTAGGAGAAGCACAAGCTCAATCCTCGCACAACGCTGATGGGATCTCAAAAGATGCAGGAAAAGAGAGGAAAAAAGGGTTAGAGAAAGCAACGTGTTCGAGACAAACAAGTCGCTGGCACTGCCAGCACCGAACAGCTGACTACACAGGTGCCTACGGCTTGGGGGGACGCCGATAGGAGCGGGGACGCTTATCGACTATCGACGCATGGGGCAGCTGCACGGCAGCGGCAGGGGTGCCGTCGGTCGGAACCACGCGATACAATGAATCCAAACTTTCGCGACCGCGTCACTGCACTCCAGCGGAAGACGGCAATCCACACCACGACTCATTGTAATTCAGACGACCATCGCGGTCTCAAAGATAGCCTCGGAGTTATTATATCCCGCAGTTAACGCCGTACTGTGGTTGCGAGCCACCTCTCGGTATCACAGAGCTCCAGCAAGGATCACACATTGATTTCACAATACTACCGCCCTCACCTACCTCTCAACTCAAAGTCAAGCGCAAAAAGCCTCATCTAGAGCCATAGTCGCAAATACTACCGAAACTCACTAACTATACAAACAACTGTGCATCGGCGGTGAAGGCAGCAAAAGCAACAAAATGGCATGTTTTCTTCAGCTTCCTTTGAATGCGCAAACTAACAGCAAATACAGGGTAAACGCAAGTCGTCCAGTAAGCCTCAAGGCCCCAAGAAGGTGCGCTACCCCCAAAGTGTTCCTCCCATTGCAGCAACTAATGTCCCTGTAGAAGGAGAAGCTGCCCACCACCTTCCAATGCCTCTTCTGCAACCACGAGAAGTCTGTCAGCGTCTCCATCGAGAAGAAGTCGGGCGTCGGCAACCTCCAATGCAAAGTCTGCGGCCAGACCTTCCAAACCAACATCAACTACCTCAGCGCGCCTGTCGACGTGTATGCCGACTGGATCGATGCGTGTGATGCTGTCGCAAAGGAGGCAGCCAAGGGAAATGCTGAGATGTCAAGAAGCAGCAACCGCATGGGCAGGATGCCGACGGCGCATAATCAGGACGATGACGACGGTGATGGCGGCTTTATCGAGCACGATGAGGCAGACGCCGAGGGCGAGTATGCCGACTAGATTGTGGTTCGACACCGGGGTCGCAAAACAGAATAGTGGCTGGAGGCATGAGCGTTTGGGACCTTGTACAACACATGGGGGGACACGGAGAGTCATGGCTTGCAAGGCGTTTGGGGTATCAAAATGGATTTACTGATAACGACGGTGTATTCGTTACTATCAGCATCAGGCTGCTCTAGTCCGATGCATAATACTGCTGTGCTCCACCTGAAGTGCACTTGCAAAATGAATTACGCACGACCAAGTCCAGAGTCCTATGATGCAGTGTGCATTCAAATGCCAATAGTCTCATGCCAAAATATGCCAAAGCAATTTACAGCCAGCCTACGCCCAACAAATGCTCTCAATCAAAGTGACTTGCTATTGCGTACTTTTACATGGTGTAGAATCGATCACCAAAGTCACCTAGTCCCGGGACGATGTAGCTAGAGACAGTCAGCATCGCGCGAGGAGTAGTATCAGGTTGTCTTACTTCTTTTCGTCTAGTCCCTGGTCGACAAAGGCAGTCACTACCCTAACCTTGGGGAACTGTTCTGCAAGATTCTGCGCGCCTTCCGGGCTTGCAATAAGGTTGAGGAACAGAATATGGTCCTCTGGAACACCCCTGGACTTGAGCACATCAATAGCCATGAGCGCCGAACCGCCTGACTTCATCAGCACAGCTTCTTTTACTGTTTCACATCTCACTTACCAGTAGCCAGCATGGGATCCAGTAATAATACCCACCTATCGCTGATGTCCTCGGGCAGCTTGTCATAGTAAAGCTTTGGCTTGGCAGTCTCCTCATCTCTCTGGATCAAGATCTTGCCGATACGAACACTTCTACAGCAGTCCCTAAGCCCCTGTTCCATGGACTCCCCCGCTCGCATGATGGACACGCCACAGATCTTGCCTTCAAACTTTACACCCGCATAGGTGTGGCCTACAGGCGTAGTGATTTCCTGGGATTCGACGGGAAGGTGGTTGAGACCTTCTTCGACGAGGAGACGGATGATTCGGTTGCTGTAGAAGATGAAGTCTGCACGGCCGGTGGAGCGGTCGCGTATCATGCTTTGCGGTAGTCAGCACTCGACAACGACAGCATGATACATCACGGTATCAAACTTGGGCATAATTCATGGGGCTCTTACGTGAGCAGTGCTATCAGCTGGGGGGTTTGAGGCAGAATGTGAACATTGGCCTGACTGAGGGGTGTGGAAACTGTTGCCGTTGGCTTTTGAGCAGAGTCCCGGTAGTCAGGCCCTACGCATTGCGAGGGCGCCGTGGGTTGAGATTCGGTAGACATTTTTCTTGGTCACTGTGGAGGAGAAACGAGGGGTACGAGGCTGGCTGAAGGTCAGTTGTGATCATGGGCTTCATAACGGGAATATGTACGTCTGAATGCTAGTTGAGTCATTTTAGTCAGAGCCTAGGTGCTTGCTCGGATGACGAGAGGACATACCTAAGCTTTTGGAGTAGAGCCTGCGCTGTTGGTATGCAATCCGTGTTTGACGTGAAGAACTTGGACAGAGGTGGGTCAAAAGATGAACCAAAAGATAGCAGAGATTTCAATTGACAGATGCAGTGCTGAGATAAGAAGGCAGCGAGACGAAATGAGGCAGACGTGGACTTATAGTCTAGGCTCGTGACCATCGGCGAGCTCCTACGGTTCACTGGTTTGGAAGGAGGGACCCTCGCCCCGCTGGCTGGGACTAGCGTGCCTTCCGTTGGCGAGATCTGATAGCGGGTCCCTGCCGCAATCGACCAAAGCCACTCCGTCGGCCGGCTTCGTCATTGCACTGCATGTCAATGCAAACATACGCTTTGAGCTTTGTTTCACCGTGAGACCTAGGATAAACATAATTAATGTGGTGAATACGCGCCCCCGCCAATTCATTGTGAGCGTGCGAGAGCTTTCATCACGCTCCAGCGCACCAAGAACAAGATGCGCGTCTGAAGCAACTTTTTGGCGTCGCCACAACACCACTTCCCTCGACTATGGCGGACACCATGTTCGCCCAGTTTACCACATCAGACCGCCGCAAAAAGGTCGTCTACGGCAAATCGTCGCGTCTGTCTGGCGCCCTACCACCTGCACCGCTGCCAAACGAAGATGCGCCTCCATCGCCCGAGCGACCGCGAAAACAGACGGCAGTCTCGAGTGGGGCGCTGAAAAAGGCAGCGGGAAGCTTGAAGATTGGAAATAGCTCGGGCAATGCGCGCACAAAGAATGATGACATTGACATCTTCGACGTGCCATCCGAGGACGAGATCGTAGTGCGCGCGAAGCCCACGAAGAAGCTCGTAACAAAGCCACGGACGCCCGAAGAAGACCTGCCCATGTCCACAACTGAAGATGACGGCCGTAAAGGACCGAAGAAGTTGGCCAAAGCTAAGCGACCATCGACCAAACCGGAGCCTACGAAAGCTACCGTTATCGCGAAGAAGCTGCCAAAGCCTGCACCCGTGCCACCGCTTTCGTCCTCTGACCCTATCGCGCCTCGAACACTACGCACAAAGACACCCCAGCCGACAGAGCTGCTGAAACAAACTGTGAAGAATGCCGGGTTGGCACAGCGACCCACGGCTTCCGCGCCATCAGTGGTATCCAGGGCGCAAAAGGTGGCGAAGACAAGCACGGCATTGTCTTTGAAGAAAACCGCTGCGAAGCCTGTGGCAAAACCACCGCAAGGCCTGGATGTATTTGACATGCCATCTTCGGATGACGAGGCTCCTTTGACAGTAAAGAAAGCGCCCCGTCAGATGCCAGTGGGCAAGAGGAAGGAGTCTGCGAAAGAGCATCAGACAAAGCCTAGAGAAGGGCGCAAAGAGTCGGCAGAGTCTGACGATTCTAACGCGTCCAACAAGCGGAAACGCCAGCGGTCCGTCTCCTCTACTATCGCCGTAACCAAGCCATTGTCACGACAGAAGTCTGAGCTTCCAGATGCTCAGCGAAGCCGCAAGTACCAGAAGAGCGAGGGCAGTACATCATCAGTTCAGAGACCTCTAGACCAACCACCTCCAAGTCGACCCCGAGATACTGAACCTGCATCGTCGCGGACAGCTGCAGTCAACAAACCGAAAAGGACAAGACAGCGCACGGTACCTGTATTGGCGCCGTCCACGATTACCAAGGGGTCATCTTCGCCAGCCAGGCTCAACAGTATGATTCCGAGCCGCGAACCATCCAAGTCGACCATTGTCGTAGAGGTACCTGAAGTTGCCGAGGCGGAAGACCAGACCATGTACGACATTCCAGACGCTCTAGCTACGCCTGTTCGTCCAGTTCGCACGCCAAAAGTCACAACGCCTGGCTCTGCAACACCGCGGCAAAAGGATCTTTTCGGCAGACTGCTAGGCGATGCTTCATCATCGGCTACACCAATGCCAATGATCTCTGCTCTACAACTGACAGATCGTAAACCAAGATCGCTTATTGGTAGCATGTCAAGGTCCAAGTCGGACGTCACTCACGGTACTGAAACCCGTAAGACTACACTTATTGACACACTCAAACATGTAGAGAGTAGTTCAGAGGACGAGGAAGAGAGTAGTAGTTTGAGTGACCAAGAGCCGGAAGAGCGCCTTGTCGGCGTTCAGTCCATCGCGAGATCTTCTCAAGAAGCCAAGGCCGCTGATTGCGGAGCTGAACTGGCTTCTGATGATATGGAAGTGGATGGGGGTGCCAACGTGGATTCGCAGACATCGCAAACCACTTCCGGTTTTGGCGTCCGTCCGAAACTCACGTACGCAATGTCGCGGTCATACCTCAGAGAAACCGACCCCGACGAAGATCTACTGATCCCAATGGAATTCGATATGCCTGGCTCTCAATCGCAGCGTAGAGACACTGTCTCCGTATCAGAGGACGAGCCGGAGGCAGTGGGTCAAGCGCAGGCTCATCATGAGCTCAAGAGCCGCGGACGGAACTACGTTTTCGAGCAGGAAGCACAGACAATGATCGATGACATTTCCAGCACAACAACCAACAGCATTCGACGTAATGCAATGGCTGAGTTGTGCACAAAGATGGCCAACGAAACGTTCTGTAGTCAATTACTTGACACGCCCCTAGCCCATCATTTGTTCAAGAATATCTCTGCTGGCGGTGAAATTATCTTCGAATTTGCTGTCGCCGTTGCTACCGTCTTCATCCTGCGGATCAACCCCACATACACCGTTCTAGACCAACTCCACGAAACTGGGATTATGACCCGTCTAGTAAAGCTTGTCGGAAACGATACAGAGGTTCAAAAGATAGCGAAAGATCGCAAGACGAACCTGTCGAAGATTGCCAAGGAATCGGTACTGACCTTCCGCACGCTGGTCCAGCAATCCGGCATCTGGCTGTCCACGCCACCGAGCAAGATAACACCACAACTTGTAGCCCTTAGAGCGATTGAGCTCCTCGTAATAGGTCTGCGCAAGGCTGGAAATGCTGGAGTGCTGCTTGATCATACCATGGTTTCGCAGCTTGTTGACATTGCTTCCAACTCGAATGAACGATTGAGCATTAACGAAGGGACCCCTGAGGATGATACGATCATGGCTATGATACTTTCTACATTGGAGTCGGTTTCAGCTACAAGGCAAAGACAGGTTACGTGGTCCACTACTGTCCTTCGAAAGATCGCTGGGTTCATGCCTCGATTCTTCCATCCTGACGCAGCCTCCTCGACCATGTTATCGGTTAAGCTCTGTATGAATCTTACCAACAATAAGCCAAAAGCTTGCCAGCCATTTTCTGCCAAGGCCTTTGTGCAACCTCTTGTGCTATCCGTCATCGAGAGGTTCACATTCCTTAATGCAGGACTGGCACCAGAGAAGCGAACTGAGGTCTTGGAGAGCCTCATCCTAAGCTTGGGCGCTACCATCAACCTCGCTGAATTTAGTGATGAAATGAGAGCCAACGTTGGCGACAGTGAGCAGACGATAGCTACCTTAGTCGCGATCTTTCTAGAGGGTTCCGAGCGAGCGTCACAGGTATGTTCCAAACCATAGTCATGTATTGTTCAAGCTTACCCCATTTCCAGGCAAACTCTCTCGAAGACTCTCATTCCGGTGTAACGATTGGGTATCTCGCCGTACTACTAGGCAATCTATGTCTTGACGAAAGAATAAGGGACAGGGTTCGCGCGCTCCTACCGAACAAGCGGCTCGATACGCTCGTCGACAGCATCAAAGAGTTTGTTCGGGTGCATGAGCATGTTGATAGAAAGGTGGAGGACTTTGAGGGGGCAGAAGGGCAAGAGGCTTTGCAGACCTACACCGCGCGCCTCATGCATGTTGTGGAGAGGTTGCAAAGCGCAACGGCTTGAACATACCACAGGCAGCAGAAGGCTAAATGTCGCCTACATGTGTCTGTTTTGTCGATAAGAGGCCAGCTTGTGTTTGGTGGCATTTATTGCTGAACTTGATTGGTCATAGGATATGAGACAACAGGTTATTTGCTCATATTCTGGTGGTGGGCTCTTGTTGGTTAGTCTTTTTGGCGGCTAAGTCATGATACCCCAATGTATGAATGTGCGCTCATTGTTCAGAATAATATCTCGGTAGATGTCAATGTTGCGACCCAGAGTAGGAAACAAATTGCATACGTCAGGTTGTAGACGTATGCAGGACTACACGAAACGAGTAATATGTCGTTTATCAGTGGGCTTTTTGGCGTTTTGTGTGCATGTCGGGTAGGCAGTGGTGGCTAAATTGAGGCCTGTCTGCAATGTCACACATAGCGGTAGGGCTGCACCCGTCGGACCCAAGAAAGCGGTTGAAGTGACGCAACAGCCGGCATGTGGAGAGCTTTGCCGTCGGGACAATCTATATGATGCCTTCACCGAGCCGCGGTTGCAGCAGCCGTGTAATTTGGTGTGCACAAAGCGGCTACTTTCGCAGAGCCATGCATGTGATTGTTTCGTCTTGACTCAAACATGGTCATTTCGGCTAAGTTGTGTCTCGGGGCACTCGGGACGTTGGTACGTTAGCGGTGGTCTTGTCGAGTACTCGGAGCGTCTTGGTGCTTTGAATGGCTGTCTTGAATGCCTTTGCTGAAGCGTGGTGTGGTGGGGAGGCTCTTGCGGGCACACTAGACTCGAGACGATTGGCAGTACGTAAATGAATGCTTCCAGAAGGCGTGGATTCGCCGGGTAGTGAATGCACAGGTCCGCTTCCATGGCCAGACCGAGACCAGCTACCTGGAGCCAAACCCAAAGCGACGTACATACCATGGTCGCCCAACTTTCATATGCGGACGCGAATCGCCGCTGCTATAATGAGACGGGACCGGAAGACATGACGGCATTAGGGTGCGTGGCTGGTGACTTTTTTTCATGGGCTGCTTTAGGGTGCCTACAAACTTGGTCGACAGCTCGCGTTGTAATCCCCCTTTTGCTACTCGACCCAGTAATCAGTACCAGTACTACGGCCTGCACGATCAAACCAATCCAGTTGTCCTAGACGGCATCACCTGCGGCTCGACGGCGTCATTCCGACCTCCAAGCTAGCTCGCCCAGGCAATCAATCGGCAGGTCCGACCGACCAAGCGCATCTTAGGCAGCGACCTCGCAGCGCTGGACTGAGACTGCCAAACTTCAAACCTGCCAGATCTGGCAACGACTCGTTCAGCATCCTCACGACCTCCTCAACAAGCAAACAACAACATGGCACCACCCAAACAAAGAAAGATGGCCATTGTCGGCAGTAGGGCAGTCGGTGAGTTGCTTCGCACAGCCTGCGCAACCTTCACATGCCAGAAGCAGCCCAGCATTCTGACCCCAGTCTGAACAGGCAAGTCGAGTTTGACGGTGCAATTCGTCGACGGCCATTTCGTAGACAGCTACTATCCGACTATCGAGAATACGTTTAGTAAGATGATCAAATACAAGAATCAAGAATTTGCGACGGAGATTATCGATACCGCTGGCCAGGTACATTTGAACCTTTTTCTTTTCCCCCGCGTCGCGACGCTCAGCCCAGCTCCACGCCCCCACTATCGCCGTGCTTCACGCGTGCCCCCGTAAGAGGCCGCTTTCACTCGCCTCTGGTGCTCCACGGCTGATGCTGTCGTCGAGGATCCTGCTGACTGGGATGCTCTTTACCAGGATGAATACAGTATCCTCAACTCGAAGCATTTTATCGGCATTCATGGATATATGATTGTCTACTCGGTCGCCAGCAAGCAAAGCTTTGAGATGGCGCGTATTATTCGCGACAAGATTCTCAATCACCTCGTAAGTTGGACCCCTTTCACGTCCGCTCCACTCGCTAACCATAGACGCTAGGCTGTGGAATGGGTTCCTCTCGTTATTGTAGGCAACAAGTCTGACCTCCGCCCCGAACAACGACAAGTCACTCCCGAAGACGGCCGCGCTCTCGCTGCAGAGTTCAAGTGCGCGTGGACAGAAGCTAGTGCGCGCTACAACGAGAACGTACAAAAGGCTTTCGAGCTCATGGTTGCCGAAGTGGAACGTTCTCAGAACCCTGGTGAGCCCACTGGTGGCAGCAAGTGTGCAGTAATGTAACTGCAACTCTTGACTGACACGAGTGCGTCTACAAAGGTGTCGGCGTAGACAAGTACGAGGAACTCGACAAGAAGCGCAAGGACAAGCAGCGCAAGCGCGACGACAGGAAACACTAGTGGCGACGTTCTGTTGAGCACTAGAAGGAAGCATTTAAGAGCAAGACACAGTAAGAGGTACAGCACCAAGGCGGGTTGTACATGTTTTCCTTTGGTCTAGAAGACATAGACGGTTGATTCGGCGATCATGACATTTCTGATGCTACGCTCTGGATTCCTCATGGGAGGCATAGTGCGTAATGGCGTAAGGGTGTAAGGGTATGAGCGGGGGTGTAATGGCGTTGTATTTGGTACCCCATGTCACTTATTTCGTAACGCGATGCTTCACAGCTGTAGGTACTGCGAATGACTCATTTCAACAATAGATGGTATATGTTATCGAAACTGAAGACAAGGTGCACGTGGCTGTATTTGGTCGACTAGACTGACGTCCGACCTTGCGCTTGTCGACAAGTGGGAGTCTTTTAGCTCCATGTTACTGGCCTCACGAGTGATGGCACACGCACACGCACCGACCACCGAACACACAGACATCCTTACCCGACGAGGGCCTCGTTTAGGCAGCTCTGAAGCTTTGACGGAAAAGCCACCGCTTTCGACAGATACTCGATTTGGTAGTTTGAAGCTTTGGGACTTTTTTCACGCCTCCGCCCGACTTCATCTGCCGAGTGCTGTTTCCGCTTTGAGGTTTTGACATGGTTTGGTGTTGGTGTTTTGGTTTTACATTGCGCTGATGACACAGCCTACGTCATCTTGAGCAGCATCGTACATCTAGATTGGGTAGGCATTGAAGGGTGTCGATTACAGTCTAGATGGACTGGGAGGCTTTGAAGCACATACCGCATTGGGTAGACTTTGAAGCATGTGGATTGCAGTGTGTTGGATGAGATTGCCGCGATCCCGATTTGGACTGATTTGGACTAGTGCGGGTCACTCAGTCTAATCCCTGTCGGACTTTGAGTGCGCGGGGCGAGACGGTTTGTGAGTAACACTTGAGCACCGCGTTCTAGTAAAGACACTTGACGCGACCAATTCCTCACACCTAAGGTTTGGAGGGACTCTGACAAAATGCTCGACATGTACGTTCATTCAGATTTCTACAGAGTGTGCTTGTATCCGCGTGCACTCAAAGAGGAGGATGGAGGGGCTGCGCGCTTGGGAACAAATAGTGTAGCGAGTTATGAGACTCGCTACAGACAGTCCAGACACCTCAGAGTTGGGAGTATATGTTGAGCGTAGACTGACGGATCTTTCAACAGAAACGATTTCATCAAGGAGCGCGGCGGTCACCCAGAGGTCAGTTTTGGCTCTTCTTGTGCGACCACATTCAGGCGCTGACTCTACGCACAGAAAATTCGCGAGTCACAAAAAAAGCGATGCGCGCCCGTAGAGATTGTTGACGAGATCATTGCCGACTTCGAAGGCAAGAAGAACTGGAAGTTGGCATACATAGCGATTTTGACTTACACCATGTATAGACCACCGTCGCACACAATACGATGCAACACAGTACGGCTCCAAGATAAACACTGTCCAAAAATCGATCGGTCAAAGTTAGTAGAACCAATGGACAGAATACATTTGAGACACAAACTAACATTCTGCACCTTTCAGAGAAGAAGAACAAGGAAGATGCAACCGAGCTGCTTGAGGAGAAGAAGAGACTCGAGGCGGAGAAGAAGGAAAAGGACGCCGAAGCCGCCGAGAAACTGGCCAAACTGCACGCAAAGGCAAAGAGCGTCGGCAACTACGTGTACAAGGACGTCCCAGTGAGCGACAACGAGGATAACAACGCGGTTCAGAAAACATGGGCACCGGAGGGACGGAAAGCCGAGTTCAAGGCAGACGGCATACCACATCATGGTGTGTTGGCTCGACTAAACGGTTACGACCCGGAGCGAGGCACAAAGATTGTAGGGCATCGTGGATACTGTCTGACTGGGTATGGTGTCTTCCTCAACCAGGCACTTATCAACTACGGATTGGAGTTTTTGGTACGTCTTCACGTTCTGCCTGTGTGAACAGGCACTAACCTTCACAGTTCAGCAAAGGTTTTACCCCTAACCAGCCTCCCTTCTTCATGCTCCGAGATCAAATGGCCAAGACTGCGCAACTGTCGGACTTTGATGAGGAACTATACAAGGTTACTGAGAGCAAGGACAAGCCTGAGACCGACAAGTACCTCATTGCTACGTCAGAGCAACCCATATCGGCTCTCCATTCGGAGGAGTGGCTGCACAGCGATCAGTTACCGATCAAGTACGCTGGTTACTCGACCAATTTCCGGAAAGAAGCTGGTTCGCACGGCAAGGACGCGTGGGGTATCTTCCGTATACACCAGTTCGAAAAGGTGGAGCAATTCCTCCTCACACACCCTGAGAAGTCATGGGAGGCTTTTGACGAGATGCTTGCCAACTCAGAAGAGTTTTACCAGAGTCTCGGGCTGCCTTACCAGGTCGTTGCCATTGTTTCGGGAGCATTGAACAACGCTGCCTCGATGAAGCGCGATCTAGAGGCATGGTTCCCTGTCACAGGTGGAGGAGAGTACAAGGAGCTCGTATCCATCTCCAACTGCACGGACTACCAGACACGCGAGCTGGAAATCAGACATGGTATTAAGAAGCTCAACGCTACACGTAAGGAGTACGTCCACGCCCTCAACGGAACTCTCTGCGCCACTGAGCGAACTCTCTGCTGCATCCTTGAAAACTACCAGACACCTGAAGGTTTCACCGTTCCTGAAGTCCTGCGCAAGTACATCCCTGGTCAACCCGAGTTCCTTCCTTTCGTCAAGGAGTGGAAAGCTCCCAAGGATGACAAGCCCCTCCCCGACCGGACAAAGTAGATCTGTGTTGTGGCTGGTGAAGGTTGTACGAAGCTGCAAACATTCATGAAAAGAGAAGGGATGACACGTTTGGGTAGCAGCGAGTTGGAGTTCTCATCGAGTTCGTCTGGAGATGGTGACTAGGTTATGGAGATATGCTTGTATCATAATCTGTAGCCTAGAAGAGACATATATGTTACTCAACGCAGTGAAAAGTAGATAGCCTGGACTGAATACCATCAATATAGGCTATAAGCCAAGCAATATCCTGCCCATCAACTAGTAACATGTACATGACATCTACCCCATGATCCCTTCGTACGCGTCCCACCACTCCTCACACACGCTCCTCCTCCTCACCCTCACCCTCCAGCCTATTCTCCCAACTGCCCAGCCATCGATACCCCCTACAAACCTTTTCCAACCCCACCAACGCCTTATTAACCGCCCTCTCCTCATGCCCGCCCTCATCCTCATCTCCCTTCCTCCCTCTAAACTCTACAAAAAACACATAATTCCAATTCCTCACCCCACTCGGTCTCGTATTAATCGCCGTCAGATTAATCCCATATTGCGAAAACGCCATCAGACAGCTCGCCAGCGCGCCGGGATTAGAATGCTCGACGGTAAAAGTAACGAGGGATTTCCATTTTGCCTTTTCGAGCACATCTGTTGGTTCTGCGTGGGCAATGGCGTCGTCGCGGATGTCGGATTTGCGGCCGTGGGCTGAGGTGAGAGACGATGAGCAAGGAGGGGATGGTGGTGTAGTTTTATTACGGATGATGAGGAAGCGAGTTGTATTTCCTAATTTGTCGTTTATGCCTTCGGCTAGCACGTCGAGGTGGAAGAGGTCGGCGGCCATGATACTGGAGAGGGCAGCTGAGGTACCGGAGGGGTCCTGGCTGGCGAGTTCGGCGGCGCGCGATGTGGAGCTTACGTCTTGTTTGTCGGCGTGGGTGAGGTGGGTGGAGAGGAAGGACTTGCACTGGCCCCAGGCTTGGGGATGGGAGTAGACGGTTTTGATGTGTGTCAAGTCTTGTTCTTTTTTATTTTCGGGGCTTCCATCTCTCGCAGTCTTGTTTTTGAGGGATTTCGAATTCCCTAACAGACAATGTCGTACAGCTACATATGCCTCCCCACAAACTAGTACGTCGGGGTATTTGCCTGCTACGTCGGCAAAGAGGTCGAGGGTAAAGACTACGCTGCCATTTGAGCTATTTTCAAACGGAATGACGCCACGGTGAGCGGTCTTGAGCTGCACAGCGGAGAAGACGTCTTCGATTTGGGTGACGGGCTGGAGGGTTACGGGACTAGACGAGGCGGGGAAGGCAGTGAGGGCGGCCTGGTGGGTTGTTTAGTGTTGGGAGGGGGTTGGGAGTTTATAGAAAGGATAATGAAAATCACAGAAGAACTGGTGTTAGGTGCGGGGTGCGATGTAGGATATAAGTCCCGTGACTCGCACGACGTACTATTGAGGAATCGGGAAGGGAAAGATTTATCGTCATGATAAAGACAAACTCACTTGATGTGTATAACTACCCTCTGGCCCTAAAAAGGCAACAACTGGCTTCTCTTCCTCCGCCATAACTGTCTGGGTGGTGTTTTTACAGATGGGACACGTACTCGCAAGTAGATTATGTATGGATGCAGCACATCAGCTTAGTAGATTCTCGGAATGACGTCGGAACCCGGTATCGGTCACCGATTTGCGCCCTACATGTATGGACGAAAAAGCAGAACGCACTTGTATATGTAGTATAAATAAATTTATAACCTTGCGCTCTCTTCCAAGTTGATTAATTCCCTTACAGTCAAAGACGGGGGCAGTGGATATACAGCATCACACAAAAGTGGATTTTGAAAGCAAAGTTGATTCAGCTGGACTTGAGTGAGCGGCTAGCTGAAGCGTATTTGAACAAACAATCTGCCTTTGTCCCTCCACCTAGGACTACTTCGGAGAAATTCACAGCTGACCAATACAGTAGCCATCCTTAATAACCCCATTGCTTCTGGATGATCGCAGAGCTAAGATAGAGCTTTCTAGATCAGGATTGAAGAGGTTTCGCCTTCGGTAGGGCTGCTGCCTCTCCATGCAAGCGAGAGCGGGTCGTGGTAAGAATGGGTGTTCGTCAACCTAGCGTTGATTAGGAGAGCTTCGGCTACAAGTATCTGCACACATACATTGCAAACCCTCCGTGAGCACTCCCAGCTTACAATCTGGAGAGGCGAAGCGTCGTTGCTTCGACTACTCCGGCCTTGATTCCGGACACGTCATTTTGACTTTTCGCGCGGGTAGCGGACGTTCCTTCACTCGACACGAGTGGGGACGCTACCTCGCAGTCAGCGAGGACGCACAACCGTCAATCATCGTAGAACTCGTCTTCGTCATCGTCGAACTCTTGAAGCTGCTCAAAGTTGAGCGCGTAGCGGAGAATGGCACCGATACCACCAAATCCCTTGACGAACTGGTTACCCTCAGAGGAGCGATCCGAGACGAATTCAAGGTTGGCACCAAAATCGCGATACTTCTCGGCGAGCCACTCGAGCATGGAGCCCTGGTCAATGACTTCCATCTCCTGACCAGTCTCCTTGTCCATGAAGATGCTTCGGTCTTCCTCCTGCTGCTTGGTGGTGTGGAGGATGATCTCATCGCCGGTGGAGGCCTTGAGGACCCATCGAGTGATTTCCAAGTTCTCAAAGACGATCAAAGTCTCGGCAGCACCGGCCTCAAGTGCCTTCAGGGTATCATCAATACCGTAGCAGACCTTGCCAGAGTCTTTGGAGATGTGGTCAAAGTACTCGTTGATGAGTTTCTTCTCCTGGATGAACTTGACGTTGCTGAGGGTTTCACCAGCCAGTTCAATAGCCTGATTGAAGCCGTTCTCGCCTCCATATGATACATCCACCACCTTGATGACCTTGGACTGCAGACGGTTGTCGAACAAGTCGGATTGGTTGAGGTCGTTCTTGAAGTCGGCAGAACCAGCGAGAATGATACCGGCCACGTTGACCTTGTCGGCGGTGATGAAGTTCTGGACTGCCAGTTCGGCGACCTTGCGGACGTAGTTGTGACGCTTTTCCTCTCGCAAACGGGCGAAACGCAGAGCGGACTGACCACCACGGCCGTGCTTCTTGGGTAGATCGACCGAGAATCTGCTGTCGTTAGTATGAGGTATGCCAGGTATCGTGTGCCGCGCTTACTTGTGGACAATCTCACGGGTATTTCCAGACAGCGTGCCAAAGAGCGCACCGTTTCCGTCCATGATGATGAAGCCAAACTTCTGGTCCGACTCGAGCAGCTCGCTCAGGGCCTCAGTATGGAACTTGTTGTCACAGAGGTACAGAGACGTGTTGATGGGCTTGAAAGGCTCAAAGTCGATATTAATCTTGCGCTCCTTGCCCTCTGCGGTGATGATTTCACCACAGTAGACAACGAGGCCATTAGGAGGGACCTTGGAGTACAGCTTCAGACGCTGTTGGGTCGAGGTAATAGCCGAGAGGACGGAGAGACGGTTGACACGGGACTTGATGTTGGAGGCAGTACCCTAGAACGTGGCCGTTAGCTGAGGGGGCTCCTCCTGCATTTGCAGCCGTAGAGGCGCAAAGCGTGTCGACGTACGAATTCTTCAGCCAACATCTTCGCAGCGCGCGAAACCTGATCCTTGGGCGCTGTGCATGGTCAGTTGACGGCGCCTTCCTATTTGGGCGCGCAAACATGACATACGAATAATGAGTGAAATCATGGAGGTTCCATTGCCGCGGGCGGCTTCAAGACGCTTGATCAGCTTCTTGACCTTCCAGATCTCAATGTTCTTCTCGGCCTCGTTGGGCTGCTCGTTCTTCCCGGACGACATGGCCGCGGTGGTGGTGTGCGAATGTGCGGGTTGGGTGTCGGTGGGGTCGAGAGATTTTCTTGTTCTTGTCCAGCGAGGGGCAAGCGACGGTACCGGTAGTGAGCCGACTGGCGGCGGGTGTTGGGCGGGGAGTGTGCTATGCGGCGACGTTGCACCAGGGCTTCTCACTCAGGGCAGTCCACTACCACGATTGCGCAAAAAAAAGGAGGATCAGCCAGACGGACTTATGCGAAAAGATTTGTCGGTGACTGTGTCCGCAACTCAGCACTATGTCAGCCATGGCCCAGAGGCAAGATGACGGCGCTCGCTAGAAGGACCACTAAGAAGGCGACGGGTATGAAGCTCCTGCAGTCTCCCATAGCTCCCGGGGCTGGCAGCGGGGCTCATGCTTTCCCTTGCGATAGCCGTCATGACTTTCTGCGTCTTTCCATGGTTGAAGCATTGCTCGGCGTCTCTTTATATAATCCAAACGGTCATGGATAGCGCTATCACGGCATCCACAACCTTGGAACGCCGCAATCTCAACCCGACGATAACCAGGAATCCGCCTCAGTAGCTTCCCGCCTCCCTGCAGGGTTGATAGAAACGAGATTTATATTATAGTCTTCTTCTCACGCGACACCTGCATTTTTTCTACGTCACACTTTCCTTTTGTCGTGACTGCCAGTGCTCAACATGGACATCAGAGGGAAGCAGCCATCGACATGGGACGCGTACGAGGGCGTGAGCCGAACATCAGTCGACTCGGACACGGAGAGCCATGTACAGTGGGATGAGCTGGAGAGACGACCTAGCGGCGCGAGCAATGCAGGCACGGGGCGATGGTCAGGCACCGTTGGAGAGTTACGGAGACGCAGGTGCGCATGCAGACTGACTTCACATGAGATGCAGCATCAGACGCTAACCACGCCCCCAGGTCTTCCATAGGACAGCAGTTTGGCGCGTTGGGTGACGCGGGCGGCGTTAACAGTATCAACAACTTTGCACGATCATGGCAGCGCGCGGCAGGCTTCTTCGAGATCACGCCGGTGCGGCCCTCGTTCCGCGTCGAGCAGGACGGCGACGATGACAACAACGACAACGATGCCGGGGAATCAGACTTCTCGCGCAGCATCCCAACGCCCATTGCAGACCAGCGGTCGGCCCTGCGGAATGCGCTGCAGAACGAGGGAAGGCGCGCATCCGACAATGCAGTCGCCGATGAGGAGCAGGGCGCAACCGAGCGTATGCCGCTGCTGCCAGGTGCTGTCGAAAACCGCTTGAGAGAGAGGGGGTCGAGCATATTCCAGATTGAGCCGTCGCTCTCGTCGCCATTTGGAGCCAGCTACGGCACTCAGTACGGCAGTCTGGCTTCGCGCGTCAACGAATCTTCAATGCGCCATGCCGGCCGACTCTTCACAGAGCAGCAGCTCAAGGGCGTTGCAGAGCCAGAACAGGAGCGCGAACCGCTTCTTGTAAAGCAAGTCGAGGAAGATGGGCATATCATCAACGTCGTTGTCGGCCAGTCGACCCTTCCGCAAACCATCTTCAACTCAGTCAACGTCCTGGTGGGTGTGGGACTGCTCACACTACCTCTGGCCTTCAAGTACTCTGGCTGGTTGATTGGCATGGTGTTTCTTCTATGGTCGGCCATTGTCACAGGCTACACTGCAAAACTGCTCGCCAAGTGCCTGGATGTCGACGGCTCTTTGATCACATTCGCCGATCTCGCATACGTCTCCTACGGAACAAAGGCTCGAGTAGCTGTGAGCATCTTGTTCTCTCTCGAATTGCTAGCAGCATGTGTTGCCCTTGTAGTTCTTTTTGCCGACAGCATGGATGCCCTAATTCCAGGTTGGGACGTTTTCCAGTGGAAGATTGTGTGTGGCTTGATTCTGATACCGTTGAGCTTCCTACCGCTCCGTTTCTTGTCATTCACATCTATTTTGGGTGTCATGTCTTGCTTTGGAAGTAAGTCAAATCTTGTGCGCATCTCCTTCATCTACTAATCTACAGCAGTTACCGCCGCTATTTGGATCGATGGTCTTGTCAAGCCTGATGCTCCTGGATCCATTCGTCAGCCGACAACCCAGTACCTGTTCCCCGAGAACTGGATGACTATCCCACTCTCCATCGGCCTTCTGATGTCTCCTTGGGGTGGCCACTCAGTCTTCCCAAATATCTATCGCGATATGCGCCACCCGTACAAGTACAGGAAGGCTGTAAACGTCACATACGGCTTCACCTATCTGATCGATGTTGGCATGGCATGCGCCGGTATCCTCATGTTCGGCGACAACGTCAGGGAAGAAGTCACCAGCAACATCTTCTTGACTGCCGGCTTCCCCAAGGGAATCTCCGTATTTATTGCTATTTGCATCGCCATCATTCCCCTGACCAAGATTCCGCTCAACGCAAGGCCCATCGTCAGCACGCTGGAGGTTCTCTTCGGCCTGGACACGCGCTCATTGGCCATGTCAACATCCATGGACGGCATGTCCGGTCTCACTCGGGGAATCCTGAAAGTGTCGTTACGCATCATCACCATCATCATTTTCGTTGTCATCGCCATCGTTTTCCCTTCGTTTGATCGCATCATGACGCTGCTCGGCAGCGTCGCGTGTTTTAGTATTTGCATTATCCTGCCCTTGATGTTTCATTTGAAGCTCTTTGGTAAAGAGATATCTGGTCAAGAGAAGCTGATGAACTATGTCCTGATCATCGTAAGCTCTATCATGGCTGTCATCAGCACCGCCTTTGCATGCCTGCCCAAAGAGATGCTTGGGACTTAGATTTGAGACATGTACACCGTACATGTGTAATTGGGAAAAGTGTTTGCATGGTAGCATCTTGTCAGTCTTTACGAAGTTTGATATCCACAAGACAACATGGACGGCGTTTTTGTAGCATTTGGTCGGCTGCTCTTACCATAAATTGTTCATTTCTTAATCCACTACTTAATCGTTGAGCCATGTGTCTTTTGCGGAGTGGTGTAATGTGGTTTCCTCGAGTACACTAAGTCTTCGCCTAAGGTATGTTTGGGTTGTTCTTTGACTTGCGCTAGAGCAGAAGCTCTGTTTACACCTGGGCAGTCAGGGTTTGAGTCGTCCCTTCCACAAGTTGCTCGTGCCTCCAACTATTCTCTGCGGAGGCAGCGTGTTCCCACAAATCAATACCATGTCGCCTTCAATTACGTATTTGATTGTGGTCGGGCTCGCTTTCCTCGCAACTTCCGAATGCGCATTTGACGCTCTTGTCAACCTCATTGCAAGCTCAAATCTCACCAGGACCGCCTTGGTAAGTGATGATGAGTCGCATGGCCTCGTACTAGTGGCCGACAACGACTTATGGACACTCGCCGTCGCGCGTGGTGCCAAGTTACTGCAGGGCATGAAAGCCAGCGATACCGAAGCTGCCACCCTCTATGGTCTAGGAACCACGGCCGAATCGCCCTTTGACGGCGATCTCATCGACGAGCTACGAGAATGGGGTTACAACGATGATAACGACGCTCTGGCTAAACAAGCAGACCCAGAATGCAACTTCGACAGTCGTGATGGGCACATGCTGGCGAAAGCATTCAGAGAGCTGAAGATCGGAACTAAGAGCAAGAACAAAGGCGGGCCCAATCAATGTTTCCTGATCGAGCACTTCGATGGCCCAGCAGTCAAGAAGGGAGACGGTGGCCAATTGCCAGCAAAGACTGATCAGCGATACGACGTATGTGGAAAAGAGTACAAAGTGACAAATGCAGAGCACAGCATAGGTGCCAACGCAGAATCTGGAGCTTTATACGTCATGCAAATATCCTCTGCCGCCAAAGCAGCACGCCAACTATGGAAACGTGCTCCCCTCGTCGAAGAGTTACCTGCTATTCGAAGCGTCTCTGACATCGCCTGGGCATTCTGGAACCGCGTACACCAAGATGGAGGACTGGACAATATCAAGTACCTGTTTTTCATGATGATCATCAACAAAGAGACAAACCAATATGTCAAACGTGCTCTGGATACACTGTCGCCCCCAAAAGAGGAAGCAGACGGTTGGGCAGGAAATGACTTTGCCATGGACACGGACGAGGGCAAAGCGCTGCTTGGCTCACCTGTTGGACGATGGGCAGGTTACTTTCTTCTACAGCATAAAAGACAGCTTGGAGGCAACAAGTATATCTCCAAGGTGAGGGTGTTCAAGAGCGAGAAGGAAGGAAGCTCGCCGTACTTTCTGTTCTATGTTGAGGGACCGGCGGCGATGGCGGAAAAGAGGGAGGAAAGAAACGAGCCTGAGATACAGAATCGGAATGAGGAACCCAAGATTGTGGGAAGAAGCGTGGATGGAAAACATATCATCAGGGAACATGTTGTCCGAGCAAGGCTGTGATCGTTCAAGGTACTCATCGACTCGGACTTGATCGTGAGAGACTACTTAATGAGCGGAAAGAGGTGGTATTTACCATATTCTAAGTTGCAAAGAACCCCCAGATGAAAACTTTCCGTGAAGCATTAGTTCTCACCCATCTTAACTCCACGTCCTCAAACTACCCATGCTGACTAACCCTTCCCCTCAGCCTTATCGGTCCCGCATAGCAGAAACCTCCGACCCTCAAGTACGTCAACCAAAAAAACAGTCACTAACCACCAACAACCAACGCGACAACAACTGCCTAACGTACCCATTAATCCACCACCCCAATACCCGCAACCCAGCCTCCATTGCCCCTAAACCCTCCCAAACAAACTCGCAACCATGGACTCCCTTGGCGGCGGCCTCGGCAACCTTGACCTAACCAAGCTCTCGGACCGCGACAAGCAAGAACTCCAACAATTCGCCATGAACGAGCAACAAAAAGCTAGGATTCAATCTTGTTAGTTCCTCTCCTCCCTTTTCCACTTCCCCATTCCCACCCCACACCCCATTGTAATCCAACCACCACTCATCAGCAGCCGAACAAATTCTCAAAGTAACACAGCAAACGCTAACACAAAGGAAACAAAGCGATACATTCCCTCACCGATACCTGTTTCCGCAAGTGTATACCCGCGGGCACTGTCAAGGCTGGAAAGTTGGACAAGTACGAGGAGCCGTGTATGCGACAGTGTGTGGATCGGTTTTTGGATGCGAATATGGTTGTGTTGAAGGAGTTGGAGAGGTTGAGGCAGTAGGTGTAAAAAGTGGATGAGCGGGAGACTTGAAGGGAAGATGTACGATATCATGTTACATTTATGAGTCTGTGTACGATATCGCATGGTGGCTGGCTACATATGTACGAGATGCATGTTAGCGTTTGGAAGTACTGTATAAAGGCATGCCATAAAGCGTTTTATCAGCAATGCACTATCACATGAATGAACGACTTGCGCAAGGGCACTTGAAAATGCCAAAGACATTTCAAATACATCACATTTCATCATCACAGGTTACAGATAATATCAAGGACCAAACTCAACATTGGCGTCATGTGGAAATCTGATTCATTCGAGTCACCGTGACTACGTTTATCCCATGAACGCCGGCCATGCATATCACATCGCTTTTCCAGGTATAACCAGACCCATTCATGACCATGCCTTTCCCTTTTACAGAGACAACCTCTTAAACGATGGCAAGCTTGGTGGCCGCAATGTCGAGAGCGTCGACATCGGCGGTGAGGCGGCAGAAAGCCTTCTTTGAGCCGTCAGGTCGGATGAGGGTGTTGATCTTGACGCAGCTGACGTCGTACTGCTTCTTGAGTGCGGCGGCGATTTGGCGCTTGTTGGCCTTGACGTTGCAGATGAAGACGAGGGTGTTGTTCTCCTCAATCTTCTTCATGGCCGACTCGGTGTTGAGAGGATGGATGAGGACCTTCTCCGCATCCATGCGAGGCGCATGGGGGACCGACTTGCGGGGGTACTTGCCGGCGCGCGAGAGCTCGAGGGTCTTGGGGCTGCGAAATTGTTAGCAGACGAGCATTTCCCGCATTGTTGTAGGGCATACCGGTGGAAGCTGGTGTTCTTCCTGATCGCGCGCTTCTTGTTCGCATACGACTGTCATCTCGTTAATTGTGCCCATCACACGAGAAAAACAGCCCGTCAGAGGTATATTTCTGACACGACTCAAGAGGATCAAGGGAGGCTTACGCCGCGGAGGGCTGCTTTGGCGGCAGCATTGGCTTGCTTGCCGGTCTTGGTAGCGGCTGAGAAATGTCAGCAATGATCGCAATTTGGGGAGGCTGATCGAGGCGTGTTTCGCAAAGTTATTTCCGCAGGGCGATGCTGCCTTGGTGCGGTTCCAACTTCGCGATGTATACGTATTTCCTCAATCTTGCGATAGCGATATATGCGTAGACGTACTCTTGGAGGCTGGCTTGGGTCCCATTTTGGCGGTTTGGTAGTCCTGTCGTTAGTGTCGAGAGTCGCAGTCGGAAGTTTTGGAGGATTTTGGGCTCGGGGGCAGTCCAGTGCGAAAACTCGGCTAATGTGCACTAGCACCAAAACTTGCATGTCCAACTCTCGGCATTCCAGACGACTTGCACCTTCTCTATCCTCGCCATGTGACCACGACATGAAATGAAAAATGGCTGTCAAAAAGCGCCAAAAGACTCTGTCGCATGGTCGACCGCCGATCAGCAAGCCCAAAGAGCGCATGACCTCTGAGCGATCCAGGACCATCATCCGCACACATCACCGCCTGCAAAAGGAGCATGCAGCAGCTTTGAAGAAGGGTGACGCCAAGTCCGCTGAAGCAATCGCACTGGCTATTGAAAAGAACGGGGGCATCAAGACATACCAAGCAGCTAGCAAGCAAGGTCAAGCAAAAGACCGAGGTGGTGATTCTAGTAAAGTTCTAGTCGAATGGTTACAGGAGTCGCATGTGTTGGACCCCAAAGCGCGAGGTCGCAGTCGTACTACTGGAGAACCTGAACTGAGGTGCCTTGAAGTTGGAGCGCTGTCAACCACCAACGAGATCTCCAAGTATGCAAGCGTCATCCAGATGACAAGGATCGACCTGAACAGCCAAGGCTCGGGCATTGAAAAGCAAGACTTTATGGAGCGGCCACTTCCAACAACCGATGACGAACGTTTCGACATTATCTCGTTGTCACTAGTACTCAACTATGTGCCCGATGCTGTTGGACGGGGCGAGATGCTCAAGCGCATTCCGGAGTTTCTGAGGAAAGGCGCTGTGAAAACTGACGAACCTACCTCAGCCCTACCAGCACTGTTCTTTGTCCTACCATTGCCATGTGTCGACAACTCGCGCTATCTGGATGAAGAGCTCCTTTTGCAGATCATGCGTAACCTTGGCTTTACCATGCGATACAGCAAAAACACCTCGAAACTGTGTTACTTTCTGTTTACACTCTCACTGGAGCCAGCCATCACAAAGGCTGAAAAGAGAAAGATCAGGGACGGGCCAGGCATGAACAACTTTTGTGTCGTTGTAGAGTGAGGCGCAGGATCAAAGAAGTCGTATACATCACATATCAGGAATGGAAAGTCTAGGTAGGAAGGAAACAAGGTGGATTCATTTCAACGTCTAATTTGCAGCGCGGTCTTCAATAAGTAAGGTATCTTCCCACAAGTTCTACTGCGCATGATGATCGGCAAGCCATAAGGAAATCTAATGCATCGCTCTAAAAATGCTTTGCAACCATACCATCCCTACGCGCTGCCTGGGCAGGAGTGGCCTTGATGATTGCAGCAGTGAAAGATCCAAGGTCGGTAGGCGTAATCTCCTGGCTAGGAGTCTTCCAACCCAGCTCAACAGGTAGACGCTCGTTCTCGAAGAAATATACTAGAAGCTCCTTCTTAGCTGTGCTGGTCGCCCTATCTCCAAATCCCAGCAAGTATGCTGCGCCTTCGCTGGCACTGGCCTGGGTGGCTACTGCCGAAAATTTAAAGTCGGGGTTGTTCTTCTTGGATTCGTTGATGCGGTTGATACGGGCGTTGGCAGCCATCTGGACGTCGACGTTGTCACCGGTCCAATCAGCCTTGGTCTTCGCGAACACAGTGGCGTTGAAAGAGATGAAGTCCTCGCAGAAGAACTTGTCGCAGCGGCTCAAACTGGCATCGTGCTCCAGGATGTTGTGTGTGCTTAGAGTGTCGAGTCCAAAGGTCTGAGCACCGGCTACCGGGTTCGTTGTGATGGCGGCCTTGAACAGGATCTCCGTGAGAGCATCGGTGAAGTTGAAGCTGTCCCTGAGTCCTTTCTTGACGATGTCAAGGGTGAAGTTGCGACCATTGTGGGGAAGGAATCCGTGGTTCGCGAGTGTGTTTAAACCGGGGCAAGGACCGCGCGAGTCACCTGCGCCAGCTGGGTGCCACTCTGTGAAAGAGCCTTGGGCGTTGACGGCAGCAACACTCAGGAGCGCGGTGAAGGTTGTAGATTGAACACGCATGTTTTCGACCGGGTGTTCAAGATAACCGTGAGAGAGGGAAGTTATCGAGGGTTATTAGATAAGATGTGTGTGGTTAACGAATGTGTGAGAGGCTGAAGCCGTACTCGGTGGCGTTCTGACTGAGGGTCTGCCATATCACTTTATACCTCAGGAGGGCTAGAAGGTGTCTGACTACTGCCTCTAGTTTACATCGCGTGCCCCATAGTGACTTGGCCCGGCGGTGAAACCGAATTTTGATGACGTTTTGCAAGCTTCGTGTAGCTATAGCAGGCACGGTAGTGATGCATTCATTCCAGCGATAGTCCTTTAGGTTCATGCCCCGATGCAACTCGGAGGCAACTTAGGCCCGATACACAGTAAAGCAGAACATGTTCGGCCATTTCAGCCTTGAAAAAATGTTGCATTGCGCTGAGCTCCGGACCTCGAAATTGTAGGGGAGCTTAACTTGGGTGCGCAGTGCTTGGCAATCTAAGCTTGTAGTGGAGGGGGACATGTGCCTGCTAGGATGGACCTGGTTACCGGAGTTTGTGTCCAGATACGTACTGTATGGGAATGGGCCAACTCGAAGCGCGTGATGAAATGAGACCATGACTACTACTATGCTGTACCCTTGTGATTACGTCGGTGTACCAAAACGATGTAGCTTATATCTTTTGCTTCCAACTTCATTTTGTGTATACTGGCGCTCAAGTTTACAAGAAGGCCTTCGAAACCGCGCCTTGCAGAAGAACAGTACAGACCCTTGATGAAGAAAGCGTCTGAGCGCAGAAATCTACAGCCCATAAGTCATGCTGCCGCAGGTATACTAGCGTGACGGAGAGTCCGCGCGGGCGCTAGTGGTTTCGGATGAAGGAACAGTGGCGCGCGGAGACCACCACTAATGCGCATCAATATGACGGATATTACTTTCCCACCAGCGTGATTCGTCAGTCAAAGAAGCTCGCCGTTGAACGCTGGGGCAAGGTATCCGCATATCCGCCCTGGTCGCCAATCGGTGGAAGCGACAAGCATAGGAGACATCGGGAAACGCCAGTTTCGTCATAGTCATGGACTATAGGTTAATAACAGAATCGACATACTTCTCCACAAGCCCATAAAAGATGCGCAACGAGATTAATATCCTTCAGGTTGGCTAACAGAAACAGGGTGTTCCCCGTAGTATACCGAGGTATGTTTTACACGCAGAAAGGGTCGCCAAGCTTGAGGTGATCTGGGCTGTCAGCTAGACCCTTGGGAATTCGCGTGCAACACCGCTTTTTACGGTCGAACATCGGTACGAACATCGGTGTTTTCAAAAGAAACATATATAGTGTCGTTCGGCTTACCTTGCTCTTGAGGAGCTGTTCGGCAGTTGGCCCTCCATAGTGCCGCCATGTGCGCGCATTTCTGCTTACGAGTATACGTCAGCTGGAATGACATATGATCGGATGCCAGGAGCGTAATGGGCGCAGTCATGCTCTCACTCGGAACTATAAATGCTTGGTTGTAATGAAACTCTTTGGGTGTTGGTGGAGAGCCTCGACTAGGTGAGGTGCACTACGATAGTCGTCGTGACACTCAGAATGGGACGCATGATTCGGCGACTGGGCTTCTGGAGCGATAAGATGACCACTGAGGGTCATGCTCAGTGGAATGAAGTAGTGACTAATGGGTTTTATGGCTAGCCGATATCTAGTGCTATTGGGTCTCAGAAGAGTCGCCATATTCGCGCCATTGCTATGTTGCCGTCCGGCCATCATCTCGTCGTTTTGTGGCCTGGTAGAAGTGCCTGCTCATAGAGCGTATATGTTCGACATTTGGCACACAGTGAAATGACCAGGAGGACCTGACCGGAACCATAGTCCTTATTTGGAGTCTGAACATGAAGACCTGTGTATCGTCAAAATACGATTGGTCCTCAACGGGACGAGGTGCATCAGTCGATAGATGCGGAAGGAATAAAACCACAGTGAAAATATAGTAGAAGACATGACGTAATTTGGTCTTAGAATTCTGAGCACCAGCCAACAATACAGCAAGAAGCAAGCTGCAGCGGTCAAAACGATATCGAAAATGTTGTTAAAAAATATGTCTGAAGCTTTGGTATAACTTATGCCTAGGTGTGCGGTAAAGCATAAGCTTTCGCCAACTGTCAGGTCAGAAAAATGCGCTAGCCCCTCTCGATGATCTTCTCTTATCTCTTAATATCGTGTTTAGGCTTTCCGCGCGGCTATTGAACGAAGAAGATGCTACGGGTGGGGGCCTAAGGTTTGGCGAAGGAAGAAGCAGAGAGGATGCCGCTTGTGTGATTGGTCGATTCGTACAACAATAGAGTCGCTCTGTAAATCCTTCTGATTCAGCCTTACGACCAACGTCAATCTCCCGTTTCTATTTTGATTTGACAAGAATAATCCTGTTGACTGCGCCTTAGTAGTTGTGGCTTGACGCTGTAGAATGGTGGTGCAACCTGTGGACTTATGCCCGTTTACGCCCGGTTGAGATATTTTGTCTCCTGTTGGAAGGTCTATAGCACTAGTGCTGAAAGGAAATAACGATAACTAGGAATGCATTCTGTTCGGTGATGGTGATTGATTTATTACGAACACAGCTGCTACGAAGGTATACCTAAGCTCTGCGCAAGGTGGGCCGAAGTCGGGCCGAAGTGTCCAGCAGCCGACGTCTCTACCGATACTCACGATCCGACATCTCCCACATATTTGCTCAAGTATCCCACGAGCCTCTCAGAAGTAGGCGTCGAAAGATAATCCCTAGAAGAAACCCAATAGACTTATCACTGGATCCAGCTAAGATGGAGTTTGGGCGAAGATCAAGTGTTCTCTTGTGCCATTGTTGTTGGGCTCTGGACAACGAAGAGTCATAACATGACCTCCTCTTTAGACAATGGTATCCATGATATCATAACACCAAATAAACCTTCTCCCAGACTCAGGATCTGCTCTGAGCTCAAAGTGATTCCATGTTGCCAAATGTCGAGATACGAGTAAAAAGAACACTGAATAGCAAACTCATCGCTTTCTAAGATCGCTACAATCCCAGCTCCCAAGTTAGTGCATGCAGCTTAGGTCTTTGTAGACCAGTCAGGTCAACAACATGCACCGCCCGCGATTTTCAACCCGAACAAGCTAACCGTTAAGAACTTACGGTATCTACTACCCGGCTATCTCAATTATGTATAAAATGGAGTGTTTTTCGCGATTCAAGGGCTATCGTTTCCTAACGTCCTCGCATCTCTTGTTATATCATTGCCGCAGCAGTTCGTTCCAAACACCAAGTTACACATAGTCATCGGCTTACGACTGACGTTCAGTTTCTTACCTCATTTTAGAAGCATTACATCAGCTGCGATGAATACAATTTTGTACATGATCACAAGAGCGGTCAATAAGAATGGTATCGATCCCAACAAAATCGATGTCAACACCACAAACCCTCTCAAAATTGCCATGAGCCGAAGATACTGCAATGTGGGCAAGTGTCCTAGGTCATAGCAGGTTGTAGATTAGGGACCTAATATTGCCGGAAACGTCATTTAGATATTAATCTTCCTTGCTTTGCTGAGTGGGCAAGGTTGATTTGGCATTCGGAACAAGACCTGGTCGTTTATGGGAATTATTCGTGTGGAAATTCTTGGAGAGGTTATCGGATACATTGGTCGTGTCATGCTCAACTTGAACCCGTCTAGCATGAACAGCTCCCTTGTATGAGGCAAATTTGATGATAGTTACGAACTTGGCTAAGACCACACAGCAACCTCATACCTTCACTATTGTGCTCCTCACTGCTGGTATCTACCTCTCTCTCGGTCGCGTAATTGTCGCCATCGGCGCGGAAATCTCAAGGCTGACGCATAAGATGTACACCTACATCTTTGTTGGCTGCGACATCCTTGCTCTCATCCTCCAGGCTATTGGTGGGGATGTGGCCACAACCCCGAAGGATCACAGGGGCTCCAGGAGCGGTGTGAACATTATGATTGCTGGTATGATCTCTCGAGTCATCACTATGGCCCTCTTTCTTGCTCTATGGGCCGACTTCGCTCTCCGCACACGGCATGCGAAGATGTCTGGCAGCTTTTCCGACTCTATCCCTAGCTGTACAAAAAAATGCGCTCTGGTGAGAACTTTAAATTCTTGCAGTGGAGCTTGCTAGCTGCAGCGACGTTAATCTTCATCCGCTGCATCTACCGTGTTGCTGAGCTATGGGATGGTTTCAATGGCAAGCTTGCGAACAGAGAAGCCACTTTCATGGTCTTTGAGGGGCCTATGATCTTCTTTGCCGTCTCCGCATTGACAGTTTTTCATCCTGGTCGGATCTCTGGCGATCTTTGGGTGCCTGCTGGCATGGGTGTTAGATCGATGGGAAAGCTTGGGAGGATGAGGCTAGTCCAGTACAGCTTACTGAGCAAGAGTGAAACAGCACTACATACCAGCCTTTTAATCAGTCTGGCAATGTTGTGTAGCATTTCTGAGCTGGTGGAGGACGCAAACAGGGAAATCAGAACATCGTGACATGGACTTGGCGTTTGGACTTTAGTGGCGTTTGCGGCGTTGTTGGGGGAGGCTGTGCTTTACAATGGCCGTATTTCTGGTTATTATATCCATCGAACTGGAATTCAACATAAGCACCATAAATTGGCAGCTTACCTTGGCTCTGCACTATATGTTCCGGTCGTAAACTTAGATCGGAGAAGTGTCACAGGTTTGGTAAGAATGTCTGTCTTCGCCGAAAAAACTTAGAAAGACACCTTCTGCAATAACCTGAAAGACAGAAGCCCCTTCCTTCTCCGAATACCGTCAGTTGGTCCAAGCCATGGTCTTAAGTCTCATAAATACCATGCGAGCCTACGTCACGAATTGGAAGATCGGGGGGATGTTGCTAGGCTGGCCACTAGCAATCTAGAAGAGCTGCAGACGAATAATTGATATCGGCGAGCAGTAACTCTCACTTCCCCGACAGTGAAAGAGATGGACCTGAAGATGCCCGAGTGGAAGGTACCCCCTATGCTAAGCGACGTCACAAATAACGGTACGCCTTACCTTTTTCAGCCTAGGCTGTCAACTGCCACTCGTCTCTCAAACCCCTTCAAGTCCGCCCTTACTCTGCTTACCGGTCTTCATCCATCTGGCCACCCATACCTGTGTCTGGCGACGAAAGCATTGACAATTGTGTCGGATACTTCCTTGAGAAACGCCCTGTTGCACGTGCCATCTACGAGGCTTATCCGTAGTGCCGCATTCTGGGTCATACAGCCTCCCAATCATCATCCCCTTACACCATGCCGCCTCCTGTCAGAGTTTCAGCAAACGCGCTGTTTTGTACTTGCTTCAACGTGCGTCCGTTTCAGGTTCGCTCGATTTGTACAAGCGAACTGTCTGGAGAACTAAATCAGGAACTTATCGGCCATATTTCTGACCAGATCTGCATAAAAGTAAGCCTCATAGTCTGCAGCTTGGCCAACGCAGCGGAGCCTTACATGTATATACTGCATCGTTGAAGAGTTTCAGGTCGCCGTTTACAAAGTAAGGCGCTTCTTGCGCTTCCCTTCTTCCAACTAGTTATATGATTGCTTCCCATTCCATGAAACTCGATCCGGAAGTCACCATAAGATCATGTTCTTTGTATATCAATAGCGATATATACATTACCAATAGACTTCCGTTCTGCAGCAATATTCGATGGTACGAGCTGCGTCTACTCTCCGGACTCCAACAACTGCGCTTTCCATTTGTCCATCATCTTTTCACGACGAGTTCCTATTTATATCCATTTAAGCTTCATCAAGGGTCCCCCAATAACCGACACCATGGAGAGAGATAGACGACTCACCAAGGCTCTGGAAGCGGCCGGTGATGCTCTGCAGCATCTTTCAATGTCACCAGACTTCGGGTGCCTAGACTACACACACATCGACAGGCTGCTCGCGCGAGTCGTTGATCTGCCAACCGAGGGTAGCCAGAGAAACAGCAGGAGGAACTTGCTAGTTATCCGACAATGGATGGTCACTGAAGGCCCTGCTGTCATTCTATTGGAAGTCCTTGGACAGACGTATTGGCGGCTGAGCGAGCTCAACAGCACTCAGTTTGAGAAATTCAAAACGTCACTTCAACAGCAGCAACCTTATACGTCTTTAGTGCAGAACCACAACGCGATAATGCTGGTAATTCAGCGCATTCGACACATCCAGAGATCTAAAGCGGATGCGTGTGACGACTTTCTGTGCGAGCTGACAAATGGCATCGGTACGAAAGGTAGGGCATTTTAGAGATAAGAGGAAAGAGAAATCGTCTAACACTCTTAGTGGATTCCCCGATGGTCGGTTTGGATACTTTTGGAGCAAGTCCATGTAGTCCGGCGCGGTCTATTTGTTCCCAGGACAGCAGTCCATCACAGGAGACATGTTTCACAGGTCTCATCAAGTACCTCCCATCAAGCCCAACGACCGCCGGAGGCCTGGAACAGATTCTTATAGACTTCTACGTCAAGGGTATCTGCCCAGGTCGAACTGTTTCAACGCAATCGAACGCATACACGTCACTTCTGCAAGTAGCAGATACCTGCCCGAGTACACGGCACGCTCTGCTCAGTCTCTCAGCTTCTTATATAGGCGAACATTTCCCGGGAGAAAAGGACACCTATCACCAAGCGGAATTATACTACTCCACACAAGCTCTCAAGGCTTTGGCGGCACAAATCAGCGAAGGACAAAACTATGAGGGTGCGCTCGCTACTAGCATGATATTGATGCATCACGGCATGATCAACCAAGAAGACTCACCCCTGTGCTGGTCATGCCACGCCAACATATTCAACACAATTCCCCCCGAGGCGGTAGACCACCACTCCAGCCCTGCCCTCTTCATGCGCGCCCAACTCATCCTCGCCCGCACCGCACAATCATCTCGTCAGCTACAAAACACACGCCAACATTTATTCGAAACAACAAACTGGCTCGAAACTACAACACTAACCGAAGCGTCAAAGATCTCCGGCACTCTAGGCGTCTCCCCGCAACTCGTCTCCCTCATCTCATCCATAACCCTCCCCCCAACAAATCCACCCGTCCCAGACAAACTCGCATACGCCCAGCTGCAAGAAATCCAGCTCCACAACCTCAAACAGTGGACTGTGGAACCAGATAGCACCGGGAAAGACGTTTTACTTGCTACGGCTGAGTGCTTCCGTTTAGCAGCCCTCATTTACCTCCGCTGTCGCATCTACGGATACACCCGCACTCACCCCTCTGTTACTTCTCTGTCAGCTGCCTTGCACAGTCTAGTCCTCTCACTGCCAGTCAAAGGCCCTTTTTACACGGCCATATACCCTGTTTGGCCGCTCTTCATCGCCGCTGTGACGACGGATGCTGACAGGAGAGAAGTGCTATACCAGCGCGTTGTGCCGATCAGAGAAGGAGATAAGAACACGCTTCCGGCAGTGTTGAAATGGGTTAGTGAGTTGAGGGTTTGGCTTGCTAGGCTGGATGGTGTGGGGTGTAGGCAGGAAGGGTGGTGGGATGAGATGGTTAGTTTGAGGGTGGGTAAAATGGGGAGAGGTGGGGGACTGTTGTGTTTGGGGTAAGGGAGGTTGTCTTCGAGGGAGATTCTCTTCTTCGCATCGGTTTGTTTTGCTGGCAATACCCCATATGTAGTGTTTCTAGCGTCTCATTTCTGCATCATCGTACATGAATATAGACATTTGCCAATATAGAATTCTAATACCAACGCACACAAATCCATTTCATCTACATCACAATCACACGAAAACATTACAAAGAATCCATAGTCTGTTAATTATAAAGCTCAAACATAACATATCATTCTTCTTCTTTCATCTTTCTCTGGTGTGTGTGTGTGCTCTGCGTGGTATACCCATCGATCAGTCAAGTTTCAAGTTCCAGCAACGAAAAAAAAAAGGTTGCGCAATAACGGTGGCGTCCTTATAACAAAAAGCACGCCAGAGCACCCCCTTTGACCCAACCCGAACCAGGCCAACCCCACCATGCATTAAAGACGCACAGTAAAGTATCCAACAAAGAAAACACCCAAGAAAGAAGACATTGTGAGAAGAAAGCGGAAGAAGAAGAAAAAGAAAGAGTGGGCAGGTGGAGAAGCGATATGCCAAAGAGGAAAAACAGAGGTAATCGATCCTCATTCCTTCTCTTTCCCTTTCGTTATTATTAAGCATCCCTCTTTTCCACACTACACAAACGCCGGAGTGAGAAGGATTTCGCGCTCAGGAAGAACGGGGCAACTCTACTCGCCATTAACTTGTTCCACGACACCGTTTCCGTTTGCGTTTGCGCGGTCGATGCCCATGTACCGCTGCATATAGGTAATGTAGTCGAACTTGGGGAGATCGCGGTCTTCTTGCATGTCTGGGCCCTGGTGCTCTGGCATGGTGGAGAGTAGGTCTTCGATGACTTCGTCTGGGACGAGCGAGTGGCGGAGGTCCAGCTCTGTAACGTATGGCTGATGACATGTTAGCATAGGTGAATGTGGATGAGTGGGAGTGTGGGTTCTGGACTGACCTTGCCATCGGCAACCTCCTTGAACGACTCAAAGACTTGCTCGGCGGTATTTTGATCTTCTGTCTCGTCGACCATGAAGCGGATGAACTGTTCAAAAGTAACATAGTCTCGGCCGCCACTCGTCTCGCGGAATCTCTCATGCATCTCTTCCTCGTCGTAGACTAAGCCTAAACTTGCCAATGCTGCCGAGAATTCCAGTTCCGCCAGTGAGTTGGATACATCGCGGTCGAAATGCCTGAAGACGGATTCAAACTCCTCGAGTTGTATCGGGGTCAGGTTGGTCATGTTACGCGCAACCATTTGGTTCTCCAGAAATGCAAGCTTCTTGGATACCGAGTTGCGAACCAGACCTAGTTCATACTCCAGTTCGTCGTATGTATATGTTGTAAAGTCATTTTCCTCAATGTTCGCTTCGGCGCACTGCTCATCAATGGAAGCTATGAGGTTTAGGTATTCGTCTAGTGGTGAAAGCGACTTGCTGATCTCTTTCGTATGCTCGAGTTGGTCGTCAACGTCTCCTTCCAACGCTGATATCGATGTGGATAGGGTGTTGAGAGCGAGAGCAAAGTCGTTTGCCTTGTCGGCGAAAGATTTCCGTAGAGCGTTCTTGATGTCCCTGATAGTCTCGTTGATGACCTGGGAGCGTTGTCGTTCGGCCTTCATCAAGCCTGTCCAGGCCGCATCGAGTGCTTCAAGGCTGAGCTCGGCTGGAGGGTCGTAGGGCCGTAATCGGTATGTGGCTAGTTTGGTTCTGATGTTACCCAACAGCCCAACTAGATCCGACTTCTCAGCTACCCATGTCCGCTTGTTTTTGCGCTTCCATGCTGTGAACTCGGATGACTGGTTCCGGGCGTCTGTGTAGGTGCCGTCGAACGTGGCCTCCTCCCATTGTGTCTTCTGCTTTGCGATCTGGGCTAGGAGCTCGCGCATGCGCCGTTCGAAGTCGTTCTGCATCTGCCAAGCCCCCTGCATATTGGCAACAAACTTTTCGACTCGTCGACCAGCATTCTCTACCCGCTCCATCTGCGAAAAGGCGTGGAACCAGTAGGCAATGTATGTCATGAGAGAGCGCTCATCGGGCTTCGCTACGTCGCACACGTCCTCGACATCGAGGAGGTCAGGGATGCCAATTTCCTTGGAGGCAATGTCGAAGGCGAGCTGCATGTTTCCGCGGTGGTCGCTCTTGTCGAGACTGTCGTAGTCAATAAGATCTGGGCGGTGGATGTCAAGGAGAGCACAGCTGTATAAGTATTAGTTTTGGAAACGAAACATCTGATGGTGTTACGCACAACGCTAGACCATCGTTCCAACTTGTCGAGAAGTCCCGAACTTCAACTTCGTCGTAGCAGGCCGTCTTCCTCTGACACCATAACAGGAGACCCTCCTTGGCGCTCAGACCTTCTTCGTTGATGTCGCTAATAGTGAAACGCAGAATAAGAGTCCATATCAGGCCGAGGATAATCTTGCTGTTGCCGTCGACGACATCCTCGGCACCCGTGTTGGTAAGCTGGATCCTCCTACTCCGGATGAAATCCAGTGACTTGTTGACGTTCTCAAACTTCTGGACCCGTAGCTTCGGCCGGGAGGCATAGCGACCTAGGGATTCGTTGCTGAGGATCTCGAGGAGGTGTATGAGTATAATCTGAAAGCATGTTAGAGAGACGGAGGTGGGGAGAGCCGGCGTCAGGCCCAGGCGGGGCGGGCACGTACGCCATCGGAGAGGTCGATGATAAGGTCTTTGATCTCAACCTCGCGTATCTTAAGTTTGCTGTTCAGCCTGCAACGGCGTGGTTAGCCGTGGGTTGGGGCCATGGGGAGGGGGTAGGGAGAGGCGTACCATTTGGTGAATGTCTTTTGTTGGACCTTAACCCATTGCTGTTCAAGCGGCGCCATAGTTGGTGTGCATCAGGGTTCCGGCGGAGATGGGGCACATGCGGGTAGGAATATGTATGTTTGGATAAAACCGAATGTTTTGCTGTGATTGCGTAGCCGCGTGTTTTCCGCTGGCCCAAAACAATCAATGGGGTGACGGCGGGCGCGGACTCGGCTGGCCGTCGATGGGACCCTGGCCACGGTAGCGGGGCCCCTAGATCCACTCGGGCCTGTCAGACTGAGGCCAACGTCTGCTTGTCGTTGGCCTAGATCTCTGTCCGCAATATAATCACATCATCACATCACTTTTGTCTGTCCAATCTCTGTCGCTGACATCAGGAAAAGGACGTGGGCAAGAGAGAGGTGCAGCGCTTACATTGTGTCTTCTCTTGGGAGCTGTTGGCGTCTCCACTCCACTCGCCTTGTGGCGCATTGAACTACACGGTATAGGCACCGCACGCATATAGGCGGGCCATTTCCCTTGCCTGCATCATGGCTGTAGACGTGTCTCAAGGTACCGCATCGCTGCCTTATCACGAGCCCGGCATAGTTAGCATCTTGGTACTCACATCGTTTCTACTGTTTTTAAATATCATCAATGCTGCCCTCGATACCCTCTTGCACTGTGGCTTGCTCGGCCAGGTCTTGGTGGGCATCGCATGGGGTGCCCCAGGTGCTCAATGGCTTGCAGCAAGCCTACAAGAGAGCGTCGTGCAGCTAGGCTACTTGGGCCTGATACTCCTAGTTTATGAAGGCATGTCCTTTCCTCCACCTGCGTGCCAAGATTCGGCTGGTACTGGTAGAAGATGATATTGCCAAATGCCGAAGCGTCGGTCATGTTCAACATGCTACTAAACACAAAACAGGTGGCCTCTCTACTTCGTTCCCGTCTCTAAAAGCCAATCTGCTCTTGTTTTCGGCTGTCGCTCTGACCGGCATCGCGCTCCCCATTGGTCTTTCCTACACCCTGCAGGGTCTACTAGATGCAACTCCCGTGCAGGCCTTTGCTGCGGGCGCTGCTTTATGCTCCACTAGCCTAGGGACAACCTTTACACTTCTCGCCTCAAGTGGTCTAGCGTCCTCCCGCTTAGGCGTCGTCCTCACGAGCGCGGCAATCATGGACGACGTTGTTGGCCTAGTCATGGTGCAGGTCATTTCTAACCTGGGCGACGACAGTTTTAGTTGGGTCACCGTGGCTCGTCCGGTGCTTGTCTCGATTGCTTTTGCTCTAGTTGCTCCGCTCCTTTGTCTCTTTGTTGCGAAGCCTGTGACAGCATGGCTCAACTCGTACCGCGAGGCTGATCCAAATGCACCATGGAATAGTCTATTGCAGAAAAGCCAGACAGCCTTCACGATTCATACATTGATTCTAATTGGTCTGGTCACGGGCGCTGCCTATGCAGGCACATCAAACTTGTTTGCAGCTTATATTGCTGGAGCCGCTATCAGTTGGTGGGACTCTGAGGTAGCCCATCCTATCTATCCGACGTCAGAGTTTGTAAACGAAAAGACACCTGCAGGTGCTACTGGAGTAAGAGCAGGTGCATCCTCGAATTCCACCCCAGCCGTCGAATAAGATGGCATCTTCACGAATACACCAAGAACTGAAGTTGATCAAAACAGCGCTTCAAAGCATTCTCGCCAGTTGGAGCCAGACAAAGCCACGCATCAAACCGGCGGCTCTGACATGTACGAGCACTACTACCAACCAGCAGTGTCCAAGATACTGCAGCCGTTCTTTTTTGCATCCGTCGGCTTCTCCATACCCATTACACGCATGTTTAGAGGCGCCATTGTCTGGCGAGGCCTCTTGTACACCATCCTGATGGCAGTGGGAAAGCTTGCATGCGGTCTTTGGCTTGTTCGACTCCCAGCAGTCTCGGGCCCAGGCACGCCCCGTAAGCTCTTATCCAAGGTGCAATTGCCCTCGATACCTCACCTATGGGGAAAGAGCGACCATACACAACCGACTACTGAGGCAGGAGCCACCCCCACGCAGATGCGTTCCCGGACATCATCGACAAACGCCACAAACGCCACAAACGGCGACAGAAGAAGCTCGTGCAATGCACAAAAACCTTTTTCGCTGCACCCGCCACTTATACTAGCCCTCGCCATGTGCGCCCGAGGGGAAATTGGCTTCCTAATCTCCGGAGTTGCTGAGTCAAGAGGCGTCTTCTCCGTTGACGGAAAGGGAACAGATGAGCCAACCGACATGTTTTTGATTGTAACTTGGGCAATCGTCCTCTGCACCATCATGGGTCCCCTCGGCGTTGAGTTGGCCGTTCGCCGGGTCAAGAAGCTAGAATCGCGCAAGGACAAACAGGAGCACGGTGCTGGAAGAGATGTGCTGGGCGTTTGGGGGGTAATGTAAGTAGAGTATGTAAGCTGTGACATGTCGTTATGTTCTGATGTCGTGCGTCGTCAACGGGTGCCGGCACAGGGACATGGGCTGAGTAGTGGGGTTCAGTTGCGGACGCTGATCGATTGGGGGGGGGGGGGGGGTGAAACATGTGGAAGTGGAAGCTGAGCCTAATGTATCGAGCGCCGCGCTGCATCTGAAACATCAACGCTCGCAGAGTGGTTATTTTTATAGCCGTCTGTACCTGTAGTGGGTGGGCCTACAGCAAAGGGTGTGTAGTCGACATGGTCAAGACAGGCAATTTGACACTTTGACACGACGTGCTAGCCATGTCTTCTTGAACATGGCACCACTTGTAATCTCGCACGATCAAGCAGCTAGAAGGCGTAGCGAGCGGCACAGCTTCTAAATAAGCCCATGTAGCAGGTCATGGAAGGTTTTTGGTGCAACCCAGAAGGGTTTCAGAATTTGACTTGCTCGGCCGGGCTGGCGTCTGAAACGCTGAGCGCAATTGTGTATGTACTTGGAGACAGGCGCCGGGCGGTCAGGGTCAGATAATGCCCAACCATGAGACGCATTTGCACAGGTAGCGCACGCGCTGGGCGCAAAGTCCGAGTGCATGGAACAGGCCATGGGGTATAATGCTCACGTTATTGGTGCGCCTCTCTCCCTTTGACGACCGATGCCCGACTAGAGGCACGTGAGAGAAGTTTGTGTCTGCCGTTTTAGCGCGCCATGATCGGAGACGCTCCAATCCAACAAGCCAACCAAGGACATGGGGATCCACTAAAGACACCACTCCAACTGTAGCAGACACGACCGCGCTCTCTTGGACTATACCACAGTTCCCCTATTCTCCTCCGACTGCCTAATGTGGCTTTTTCGCTGAATAGCATCTCGGTGCGACGCATTGTGACCTGGATCGGCACCCGCTCCCACACTCTTCTTAGCATTACTGTCCCGCCGCATAGCAGCCCGAAGCCTGGCTCGTATTGCTGCTTACTTACTCCGCGCGACGCTCCCACCCAAGGATTCCCCGTTCTCCAACTTTGTTCGCAAAACGCCTTCTAGTCCACAAAAGCGGTTTTTCCTTGGCCTGGGCGTTGCCACAAGACTTCTTGCTCACTTCACTGAGCACGGTTCACCCCGCCATTCACCGCAACCTCCTCGACTGCCTGGCTGCATTCGAGGCAGCGACGGCGCCTTCGACGCTCGTGTAGCCAACCTTCCGCTCCTGCAACTATCGTTTGATCAAGTCCTTGCCCATGTAAGTGTTTCAGCCTGCACCCACGACCCTGTGTCCGTGTATCCGTGTATGCTCTTCTGCTACATGCTACAAAACTCGAACTCGACTCAAACTGTACACCGGTAGCACTAGTTGCCCCCCGTTCCTGCCATCTGCCGACCCCTCCGCTAACATCGGCTCCTCAGCATGTACTCGCGCGAACAGTTCATGAACCCTGGTCCCGCACCACGCCCGCCAACAGACCGCCCGCGCCTTGCTCTTACACCCAACACCAGTAGCACCCTCCCGGGGAACATGGCAGGCCTGAGTCTGCAATCCCCCGCCTTTAACAACGGCTCGCAAATGTCTCTCACACGCACCCAGACCGAAAGGTCCGCTTCCTCCACGGCCACGGTCAAGGAGGGAATGGTCAAGGTCAAAGACGAGGGCCTCTTCAAGTCTTTCGTCTGGGCTGACCGGTGGCTGGTCCTGCGCGAATTTGAGCTGAACTTCTTCAAGAGCCCCAATGCCTCAAAGGTATCCAACACTATTCAGCTGCGCGACATCCTTGGCGTCGAGCGATCCGACACGCAGCCGCTCTCCTTCGAGATCACCCGCGCCCTCAACACCAGCAAAGGCTCGTCGCCGCCCCGAGATGGTCCCACCAAGATCATCACATGCAGAGTCGAGACCGACGATGAGGTCTACTCGTGGATAGACAGCATCTACCAGCGATGTCCCAGCATGGGCGGCGTCAGCAACCCTACAAACTTCACACATAGAGTGCACGTAGGCTTCGACCCTAACAGCGGAGCCTTTGTTGGTCTGCCGGTCGAATGGGAGAAGTTGCTCACTGCATCTGCCCTCACTAAAGATGACTACGCGAAGAACCCCAAGGCCGTTCTCGAGGTTCTGGAGTTTTATACTGAGAAGCTCGTCAAGCGAGATGACCAGCAATACCCTCCAACCCCGCCAGCTAACTCTGGCGTGGAGAAACAGCTGGGTTACCAAGGTGGTGGCAATTCTGTTGCACCCCCACGTCCCGCACCCCCTGGCAACTACCAGCGCAAAGACAGCTATAGTCAGGGTCAGGGTCAGGGCCAGAGCCAGAGCCAAAGCCCAGGATACTCCAGTCAGCAAAACTCAGCCTCGCAGCAACAGGAGCGTTACGAGAACGAGAGGAGGCGGCAAGACGAGCAGGCAAGGGTACAGCGAGAACGTGAGCGTGAGAGGCAGAGACAGGAGTATGAGCGTCAACAACGCGAAGAACTAGCCGAGTACAATGCTTCGCTACCGCAGAAGAAACTTCCCCTGGCACAACAGGAGATTGGTGGTGGCTTCGACTCGCGAGACTCGAGCCCGTCCGGCCAGCGATATAACCCAAGTCGTCCAGCTCCCTCGACCCCAGGTGCGCAGCGAACCCAACAGCAGGGCCAGCAACCTCCGGGTTCTCTGCGTCAAATGGCCGCGCAGCGTCCTGCTCCTCCTGCTCCTCAACAGAATGGCGGTTACAGCAGTTCTCCTACAAAGGTACCTACTACCCAACAGCGGCCACCGATCGTGCCTAACCAAAGCTACAAGGGATCGAGTAACAACGTACCCCGCGCTGCCAACGGCCAGCCGCAACAACAAAAACAATACCAAGGCTCTGCCGCACCTAAACCATTGAACGTGGCCAAGCCCAGTGGCGCCCCCGTCAGCGATGCCGTCAAAAAGGCCGAACAGGCACTTACGGCCAAGCCCAAAGAGGAGACGCCACGCAAGGATGTACGCATGTCGAGCATGTCAGAGAGTGAGGTCATGGCCAAACTGCGTGAAGTTGTTTCAAAGGAGAAGCCGCTGGACTCGTACAATAAACAGAAGAAGATTGGTCAAGGTGCCAGTGGTTCCGTGTATGTTGCTCGTATCCGTGAGGGCGCGACTTCGCCCATGGCAAGGAGGGTCATGCAGGAGAATGGACCCCGTGCTCAAGTTGCCATCAAGCAGATGGATCTCCGCAACCAGCCACGAAAGGAGTTGATTGTGAACGAGATTATCGTCATGAAGGACAGCAAACACCCCAACATCGTCAACTTCTTGGACGCCTTTTTGCAAGAAGAACAGTCCGAACTCTGGGTAGTCATGGAGTTCATGGAGGGAGGTGCTTTGACTGATATTATTGACAACAACCCTTCCATCACTGAAGACCAAATTGCCACCATCTGCTTCGAGGTAAGTCTACAAGCCTACGCAATGACGATTTCGTGCTAACTCCAAGTAGACATGCAAGGGACTAGAGTACCTGCATAATCTGAACATCATCCACCGAGACATTAAGAGTGACAATGTCTTGCTCGACGGCCGTGGTAACGTCAAGATCAGTATGTATACCGATAACCCTCTTTCAGTTGCAGTTTGCTGACCTCCACTAGCCGATTTTGGCTTCAGCGCCAAACTTACCGAGCAACGCAGCAAGCGTGCGACGATGGTCGGAACCCCATACTGGATGGCACCAGAAGTCGTCAAGCAGAAAGAGTATGGCAATAAGGTTGATATCTGGTCTTTGGGTATCATGGCTATTGAGATGATCGAGTCCGAACCACCCTACCTGAACGAGGAGCCGCTCAAGGCTCTGTATCTCATTGCGACCAACGGAACTCCGCGTCTCAAGAAGCCCGATAAGCTGTCCAAGGAACTCAAGGCGTTCTTGTCCGTCTGTCTCTGCGTCGATGTCAAGTCGCGTGCCAGCGCAGGTGAGCTGATTAGCCACGACTTCCTCAAGAGCGGGTGCAGCTTGGCGAGCTTGTCTCAGTTGCTAAACTTCAGAAAGAACGGCGGCCACTAGAAACGGTCGCATGACCCTAGAGTGAAGAGGCCTTCGCTTTGAGATGACGAGAGTAGCGGTGGGCATTTTCATGAAGCGTTCTGGACTTGATCGATACCCCTTCCATGTACATTTTCACAGCTATACCCCACATCGGTCGGCCTCCTCACTACACCGAACGACCAACGACACATCGCAAGGCCCAAGCGGCGACGTAGCGTTTGAGTGATATCAGGTTGATAAACTGGACTCTTACTGGCTACTTCGGAAATTGCTTTCTCATTTGCCATATTTATACGCTATTCTCTACGTGCTCTAACAGTTTTCTATCTTGGTGTCAAAGACCTGTCCTCCGGAACAGCGTGATCAAGCAATCACGCATAGCTGTATCCAGCAAACCATGACCTCAGTTTCAGGCATCAGGGAAGCCAGTCCTGGAGACGACGGAGTTTGGATAAACGGGCCAGTCATACCCTACTACGCCTGGCAGTCTCTACGAGCAGCGAAAGAATGTCTAATATGCGGGATTTGCACGTCATACCGATTTTTATTGTCTTTTTCTATTCTACCACTTTCTCTGCGGAACAGAGCAAAGCAAACAATATGAAGGGAATATCCAAGCCGACTAGGCAGGTGCAGGCATGGGTTTTGCGCAAACGAGCGTGTGCATCGAGGCGTTGTTTGTTGCTCTTGTCTAGCTTGAGCGCTTCTTTGCTTCTATTGCTTTTAGTAAAATACAAGACTTTTACATTAGGTTTTACACACGCCTAAGGCAGATGGAATTGTAATATAGATGGCTATGAATGCTATTAGGTTTATTTGAAATCATCTTGCCATCGGGTCATGTTCTCTCAAGCTGACATTCCGACTCATCTTTTCTCATCCTATGCGTGTATGACGCCTACGCAAACACACTGCGGAATTTTCCTTTTCCCCACCCCTTTCGTGACATACAGCCTTGGTACGTGCGTAGTCCCGCCGACCGCAGCAAGCTCGCAACAAAAAGAAAACACGATCGTCCCTCGTTGTGGGTTCTCGTGCGTCGTCGTGAAGGGTTCGTTCGTGTTGGTGTGGTGCACGGTATTCGGACGCTGGACTGGCTAAGTTAGTTAGCGCAACCCTGGCAGAGATGCCCTTTGATGTCCTTGCCGCTCCCCTTGCTTCTTCTCCTTTGATCCCACCGACCGCTTTTCGGGGGGATCTGCGATAATGGTGGTGTCAGCGACGCGTCTTACGCACCCGATTCCTGGCACCTGGTATGGTGGTGGGAGGAGGGGGAAGTAGATCGTGAGCTGACTTTTTTACATAATGGCATTCTCGATGTTGGCATTCTTTCCCATGCTGTTTGCTTTTTATGGGGTCTGTCACCTTTTTGGCTTTTCTTCTTCGCCTAGGGCGGGGCTGATGTGCTTTTTATTTCCATCTCTTTTGCAGTGCTGCGGGTCGGATCGGATCGGGTCGTGTCTGTGTTTAGGGGTCTTGCTTTTACTGCTCTGTGGCTGTTTTTCGTCCTGTGTGTGTGTGTATGTGATGTTGTTTTTCGAGCGAGCCGTCATGCTTGTGATGGTGGCACTAAATTGTAGATTGATGCAGTTTTAGTGGCAAGTTGACAGGAGATGTTTGTGAGGAGAGTACCAATGGTGTCTCTTCTTCTCACTGTTTCGCTATTTGGCACCTGACCGCTCGTTATACTATTCCTGTGCTTTCTTTGCATCTTTTTGTTGTGGGAGATGTAAGTCTATCTTACAGGCTTCGTTGCATGTGGGATTGCTTTCTTCCTCTATTCTCTCTGCCATTACTATCCGCGTAAACTTGGAATATACTACTCTTCACTTCGAAGATATCACTTTGCTCATATGTCCTGGCATTCATATTTATGAATTGACAAGTCCGTTTCCTCTCTTTCATATTCTATGATCTTGCTCCCTCTATCGCCGAGTCTCACCACATAAGTGTGTGCGAATTTCGCCCATGAGATCAGGCACATACAGGCCCGCAGGCGCATCCCAGCACAGACGGCAACATACCTAACAGTCCATCAACAGAACTATAGCATTTCCGACCTTAGAATGCGCGTCTGTCTAAAACGCGCAAACGTACTTCTCTCTTATCTTACCTTTACGCACGTTTTAAACTCTTATTCTTACTCACTTTGATCTACTATACATGGCGCTTGATTCCTTAGTATTCCAACATACGACGCTATGTCATACCTTTTAAGGGATTCGTACAATGTAATAAGAAGGCATTGGCTTAGTTGCGAAAGGCGATGATGATTAACGAGCCAGGGCTGGCCACCATGGGAAGTGCAGTTTAGAATAGTAGTTTGAGCCCTCTCACCGCTAACTCGAGTTATCTCCTTGGGAAGGGTGTTCGGGGTAATAGTGAAAGACGACTAGTTGTATGTTCTATTCTATTGTTCTTATTTTTGCCCTGTTAGGGACGAGGGTTCGAGTTTCATGCATGCACGTGTTTTAGGATTCTATCTAGTGGTGGCGGTAGTGCTGTGTCTTTTTCCATGTAAAGGCGGAGATAAATGTAAGTGTAGGCTTAATTATATGTATACTAGCAAAGTACGTGTCAAACCTATGAGTACTGCTTCTGTTTTATTAGGTGCAAATGCCGGCGAGTCTTCTCTTTACCTTAATTGTAGTAATTAGAATTGTAATACTAGGCGCTCTGTTACATAAGCACGAGTTTTATCGTTTTTTTATATCCTTCTACCTATATATAGATCTACTTACTATCCTCTTACGCTACCGGCTTCTCTATATCTACTGATACGCACATGTTTTTATTACTATAAGGCTCTCTTACTCTCTATACTTTGCCTAGAATATTATAAAACCTAGGTTATAGTGAGCGTAGCATAAAGTTTATATGTCTCTCTTTCTATTAACTGATACAGATCTACCTAAGTTATCACATAGACATGTCCCCTATGTTCGCTAAAAGACAAGTTGTCACTATATTCTATGCTTCATCTCCCTCCTGGTAGTAGAACACGCAAGACTCAGCACAAGGAGACAAGAGTAGATAGACCCATCGACTATCTACTCTATAAGGCCCAAGCAACTACAAGGCTAGGCTAGTACAAGAGTAAAGAAGTAGCGTAAAGGCAGCGCAGATAGTAACTAGCAGATAAATTATCCGTGGGTCATCGATATGCTGTAGAACATACGGTAAGTAAGGAGCATTCCTTCCATGTGCCCCTTGTCATAACATAGTCATAAATAGTCATCACAATGGTATTATACATTTAACCCCCAAGACCTGTAATGCCATTCCATCCGCCTCTTATCCCAAGATTAAACCATGCTCTCAGTTGACACCCATCAAATCCGGTAACTCAATCATGTTCCTCTGCACATGCTTACACATGTCCAAAAACTCCCTCTTCTCTCCATCGGTCGCAAATTCGACCTTGGCCCCACTGATAATGCCTTTCTCCTTTTCTTTTTCCCTTTCTCTCTCGCCCATCTTACCCTTGCCCTTGCCCTCAATGACACTATCTTTCCTACTAGCCCCCTCAATTGGTACTCTTAGCCCTTTGATCTTGACCTCCCTGCCCCCATCATCTTTAACCTTAACAGGATGCGCCGCGTCGTTTAGATAAAAAGCCAGATAACCCTGTCGAAAATGCGCCGAAAAATGTATTAACGCGATAATAGCACCGCTATCGTTGTCTTCCCACACACGCAGGTTCTCCATACCACACATTTGTTCAGCGTAGGAAAAGGACTTACCCACGAGCGACGTGTGTGACCGTAAAGTCTGCTCCGTGCGGAATGTAGCTAGGAGCGTGCGGCCCATGATTTCGTTTTGGAAGAGGGCAGCCGCTTGCGGCGTGTCGAATATGTAGTTTACCCAACTTGTTCTTGCGACGTGAACGGGACGGTTGCCATGCTTGATGTCGTGGAATTTGAGCTCGCAAGGCATTGTAATGGATACTTTGGAGGGGGAGAAGTAGCTCGAGTAGGGAATGTACATTTGGTCGTCTTCCATGCGGAGTTCGACACGCGTGAGGTTGTCGTCGCTGAAAGCCCATATTGACGTTACTACGCGTACTATGCGCGACTCCGGATCTGTGATGCGTTTCCGTATGACGGCTATACGGCATTCGTCAGATGCTTGTAGCATCTCGACATCGTGGGGATCGTCTTGGTTGATGCAGTGTGAGTACTCGACTAGTCTGCCGCGACTGGGGATATGGTTGGTTAGCCGGGGTGGTATCTCCGACGTTTGAGGACATGGGTCTTACACATCACATAGGACGGCTGAGTTGCGGAACGCTTCCCTCTCAAAGGTAGTTTTTTGGCTCGTTGTTGTTGCGCTGCGATGCAATTTCATAATCTCGGGCTGTGAAGAAGGAAATGGACTTAATTTGGCCTGGGATATATTTATCGAGGTCCTTTGAAGCTCATATGGGGCTGCTAACCCAATCACCGGCAGCGAGTGCAGTGATGAATGTCGGTTATCAGCAATCGGGCCTGCTCCGCTTTCTTCCGGGGTCCGTGGTAGGGGTGTTGTCTTCTTTGTTGACGTTGAATGGTCTCGGTTAAGGAAGTAGTCGTTTGAAAACTGCGCGGGACTTTGCCAGCCTGCAGAGCTTGTGCCGGCTTCTGAAGATGCATAACTACTGCTTGAGTACCGGATTGAGGAACCACCGAAGCTAAAGTCTGACGTGCGAGATGCACATCTTCGAAGGGAATCGGAGGTTCTAGCCATGGAGATGGTCTCCGTGGGCGATGGTTCAGATGGTGGGCTAGTATTTAAGCTAGCTACAGTGGGTTGGTTGGGCGAGATTGGATGTTGAGGGAATCGAGGTAGTGAAACCCTGTTGTTCGGGTGCCGGGGCGACGAGAACGGTGCGAATTTTGAACCACGCGGATTTGGTGTTTCGGTTGTTGGTGATCGTGCTGGATTCTTCGGAGGAATTGGTGGTGTTTGTGGGTCTTGAGGAGTCAAGGTAAGATCTTGCACGATGCGATGTACTTGATCAATCTGTCGATCAAGAGTTGCATTTGCGTGGTATGTGATATCGGTTCGCTCTACCGTCGGTGTTACTACGCTTTTTAGACGAGTTGAAGACTTGCTATAAGAAGTCAGTTAGATGTAGGTCACAAGGTTGTGTTCACTAGCCTTTGGAGTGCCTGCATCAGGTCCGTTATGGAGTTTATATGCATTTTCAACATATCCCTCAAGTTTTGGAGATCCCCCCCCTCCGTAGTCCATATCATTGTCCTATATTCTGACAGGACCAGGTCAGTCCATGATCGCTCAATGGCGAAGCCTCCGACGGTGCGGTGCTTTTTAATGACTTGATACTGGTCGACAAGCGAGTCAAGATCATCCACCGTGCGTTGACAGGAGAACAATATTGCGCCTATGCCATCTTGTACCTTCTGGTCAGCACACTGAAACAGCTCTTTCTCGGATTCGGCGTGCAGTGTCTCCGCCAGGAGCCTGAGTGCTTTTGCCAAGTCACCGATCTCCGTTTCGACAGACTGAAGCTCGGATGGGGCATTTTTATGACAGGATGCGAAAGCCCGGCCAATCTTCAATGCTTTCTGGGACAGCATCAGAATGTCCCCAACCTTGGGGACAGTCATGTTGCCGGATGTTGTCGGATCATGTAAATTTGCCGATAGTCAGCCCGATACCTGAACCGTACGGTGAGCAATACGAGTGCGAGTAGAACGGGAGCGGTGCGGGCAGTCCATGAGATCTGAAGAGTGATGATCCGGGGGAAGCTTGCGATATACAGTGAACGCAGACGGGAGACGTGGGGGCCATTGTGTGAGCGTGAGCGTTCGCAACACAGCCTAGAGCAGGCCCAGCGCCATGCACCTGGATGCACGACCCCATGGCCCTCATTTTGTGGGGATAAGTGGCCGGTTATTCAAATTCAGAACAGGTTGGGAGGGGAGGAGCAGGCCACGACGCTCAAGTGGGCGAACCGGGATACCACGTGGGTAGCTAGCGTATCATCATTGGCGTCTTTAGTCTACCACACAACCGGCAAGCTGCCCCGCCCAGCAGTCGAGTATCACTAGCTCACCGGCAGCTGGCTGGAGTGTACACTATGCAATTTCCAGCAATTGCGACACGCATGTTCAATGCATATGTGTGTGGTGCGAATAGCAAGCTGCAGCTACGGCTGAGCGCGCCATGACGCAAGCCTACTGCAGTGTGCCATTGATCTATCTGCAGTACTCTGTAATATGAAAACAGGAAGGTCAACTCATGTGGAATATGGCTTGCCGATTGTAGTGTGGCATGAAAGAGTAGAGGAAGTGTGAAAACCCCAGTATATCTATAGACCGCTATGCCAATCATGGCAGGCGACATCATATACCCGAGAACCCTGGCGCCTAAGAGTGTAATATTGTACAATTAATCGCAATTGGCCGTTGACGTGTCGTTGTTGCATCTTTATGCGAGTGGAGAGAAAAGGCTAGATATGTTAGCTGGTTGCCCGGACAGGTGGTATTACGAAAATGACAGTGTCCAGCAGCCAATATTCCGTGGATCCATCAAGGCACAGATCAGCGGTATAAGCTACGAGCATTTCTGCAGCACATCTAGGCAAAAGGCTGCTTCGTTCTCTTGACCTTGTTTTTGTGTACCGTGCTCTTTTTTGCGACCCGTCATGTGTGAATGGGAGGAAATGCCACCAACTCACCGGATGAGAGAAGGCTTGGGCTCGCTTCGGGAGTAACCAAGGTATAGAATTAGAGGGAGGTAGCCGTAGTGGATAGCGACACGGGAAACATCGATGATGCGTGCGATGCGCTCCTGGTGGACAGTCAATGTCTGTTCGCTATGCTTGCTTTTATCCATGCGAACATACTTTGGACTCTTCGGATAATTGATACATTTTTCTTATGTGACCGGGACTTTATTGGGCGAGGTTGGGAGGTTTGACGAGATGGTCGATTGCGGGCTTGGTGGAGTCGATTTGCGATGATGCGCAAAGGTCAAAATCTTGGGATCCAGAGCACGGGCCGGAGGTTTGGGCGGTATTAACCCGATTCTCATTAGCGTGACGAGCTCCAAAGATCTTCGAGATGTGCTTCCCCCAGTCTTGTTACATCCACCAAACTCACCACTATAGAGATTCTATTTTCGACCCAGGAAACAATTGAGCCACGTGTTGCGACCCAGATAATCGACTTTCAACTGTTTCGGACACAAGATCTTCGCCATGTCGGCTCCTAGCGCCCGTCACTGGTAAGTTACACAAAACATCTTCATTGTCAGGTCGCGGCTGACAGATTCGCAGGGAGCAAAACAAGGAAGCCACCGTCTACGTCGGAAACCTCCATGAGCGCGTCACACCTCGCATCCTTCACGAGCTAATGCTCAACACCGGCCGAGTACGAAACGTCAACATGCCTGTTGATCGCGTCAACGGCCAGCACCAAGGCTTCGGTTTTGTTGAATTCCACACCGAAGAGGAAGCCGACTATGCACCAAAGATCATGAACAACGTAGCTCTATATGGAAGTCGGATACGCGTCAACAAGGCATCCGCCGATAAGCAAAAGAATGTTGAAATTGGTGCGGAGCTATTCATTGGTAACCTCGATCACGGCGTTGACGAGAGGACACTCTACGATACCTTCGGGCAGTTTGGACCTCTTGTGAACGCACCCAAGATTGCGCGCGACGAAGTCACATCCGAGTCCAAAGGATACGGTTTTATCTCGTACGGCGATTTCGAATCCTCAGATGCGGCCATTGCCAACATGCACAACCAATATATCATGAGCAAGCAAATCACAGTACAATATGCGTACAAGAAGGACGGAAAGGGCGAGCGACATGGAGACGAAGCTGAGCGATTGCTCGCGAAACAGGCCAAGGCGCATGGAGTTGCTCCTGCTGTTCAGCCTCTACCAGCGCATCTCTTCCAACTCCCGCCCGGCGTGGCTCCAAGTGGTCCAGCAATGGGCGGAGATGGCCGAGGTGTACCTGGGGCACCGAGCGGACCTGGAGGAGGCTATGGACTTCCTGGTCCACCTCCCGGTGCACCTCCCAGCTTCAATCCAAACGGAGCTCCAGGTTATGGACGGCCGCCCCCCGCAGCTCCCATGCATGCATCACTTCCACAGGCTCCAGCTGGCTTGCCCGCTCGCCCACCAAATGGTGCCCACAACAACTTCTACCCTCCCCCGCCTGGACCCGGCTTTGGGGGCCCACCTGGCTATGGACCTCCTCCTGGCTACCCACCAGCACCAAGGTAAAGTAGACTGGAATTGAATCCAAGATATCTTGCAGTCACGTTCTGCATCACACAAATCCGTCTCATATACCTAAGACATTTCTGAGGGTACCTCGAGCGCTTGCTGGAGCTGGTCAGACATGTTTCCTATCTGCGCGGCGAATTCGTCATTGCGTCATCTTATTGGCAAGAGCCAGGTTGGGGATTCCGAATCACAGATGAAAATAGCGTGTTCATAAAACTGTGCGTTTGATAAGGGAGACCTTGAAGGTCACTTCGAAGAGATGCAGGAGGTCAGCAAAAGAGATGAGAAGTAGGAAAGTCGGGAAAGAAACAACATCCGGCATCCAAATCTGAACCCATACTCGCAGGCTTATCTGCCAAGCCAATCCAAGCAGAAATATACCAATGAATCCAACAAACGAAATGTGATGATTTGCCCAACCTCTGACAAAGGAAATAATATGTGATAGTCTTGTGAAATGTGACCCCACTGAAACCATAATTCCTGGTTCTACGAGAAGCTGACAAACTTGGGGTCGCGGGGTACGCCGTCGGCTCCAATGTTGTTCTTCTTGAACCTGTCCTGCATGAAAATCCTCCGGGCCTCATCAAAGTCGACGCCGCGTCTCTTCATGATGCGCATGACCTCTTTCTTGCCTGCGTCATCCAGGCCTTGGCGCGAATCACCCTCTTCCACATTCCCACTAAGATCGAACGCTGATGAGGAGAGGCCGGCTTCGATATCCTCACGGAAGGAGCTTGGTAAACGCGTATAGATGGGTTCAGGGATGGGTACGAGGTGTAGCCAGTGGTGCCGGGTGAAGTAAGCCGCTGCGCGACGTTAGTACGTGGGCTAAGGGCAGTAGTATGAGCAACGTACTTGTTCCCACCACGAGGGCAAGGAACGAGAGATAATAGAGCATGTACTGCATCTTGGCACCGGTTTCTGTGGCTTTCACCACGGTTTATGATGTATGCGACAAGGCGGACGTCTTCGGAAGTGGCTAATAATGCCCGCGGGTGGTGTCGCGAGTTGAGTGAAGAAGACAAAAGAAACAGGATATGGTGAATTACACAGGAGTGTGTAGAAGCGAAGCTGGTAACGTCAGAGGCATTAGAAAAGGATAGCCGGACGACGATGATGCCATGTAATCGCTCGGGGTCGCGGACAAAGCATCTCGGCTGCACCGCCCCATAGCTGCTGCGCCTCACGTTCCCAGCGGTGCCCCGGTCTCGGTACCAATGTTGATCCATCCCCGAAACACGCACTAAGCGCATCCGGTCACGTAGACGAGATATCCATTCAATATTGGCGTAAACTTCCAGCGACAAGCCCTCGACACGTCCGTATCCACATTCCATACGACAAAATGGCCACCACTATTTCGCACGATCTTGCCTGGGAGGTTACCAGTGAGTGAAGATTACGGACTGGGATTTGGCAAAGGATTGGGGTTGACATATGGCAGAGGGACGCAGCTCTACGCTCGTCAAGAGGGCGAATGGCGTCCAGTTCTCGCGCGATCCTCTTAACCTGAGGAACGTGTACAGCCGCAAGGTATGCAAGAATTCCTGGCATTTTTGGACGAGCAATTGGCTGACTGTGCACAGAACGAGGGCTCCATCGCCAACAAGGTACGACTACCACGAAGCACGGATGCACAATGTTGGAGAAGACGGGTATTGATTGTATTTGATTAGGCTATCGGTGTCATTCCAGGAAAGGAGGGTGGTGTCACACTTCTGATCAAGAAGGCCAACAAGCACCACCAGCCCGCGTCCTCCATCCAGACCACCACCTTCGGCCCCGCCAAGTCTACCCGCAAGTACGTAGTTCCAAGGCGCAAACTTTATACTTTGAATGAAGCGCCATCCTCAAGTGTTTTCGGGGGAACATCCACTGACTATTGCAGGACCTACTCCGCAATCGTCAACTCCACCACCAAGCGCAACTACCGCCCCGACCTCCGCAAAGATGCCGTCGCCAAGGCTTCTGCCATCCGCAAGAGCCAGAGACCCGTCAAGGCCGACAAGCCATCAAAGGTCCGGGGTGTCAAGGCAAAGGCCGCCGCTGAGAAGGCATAGAGAATCAACGTGTAAAGGATGTGGTGCATGCACAAATGGACGGAGTTAACTTCATTCGGTTCATCATCTTCTGGGATTCGGAGCTCATGAAATGAATATGAGCATGGGTTGCATGAACGAACACCGCTAGGGTCTTCATAGCGAATAGACTCGGCGAGAAATGAAATTTGCTTCGAAATTCCAAACCGGGTTACTGGACGGTTGTCACACGTCGTACCGGAATCTCAATATTGTTTTATTCTGCGATCCTACTACATCCTATCAACCTTACTCAACTCCTCTACTCTTCTTTAGATTGCTGATTTCCTCCCATCCTCTTCACGCGAGAGTGAGTCCTACCTGACAGAAACACACTTTATGCCGCCCCGCGACACCGTCCTAGGAGGATACTCGTTCTCCTTCCAACCCCTTGAACCACTAATACACGTAAGCGTCTGACCCATGAGCAGCGGACGTAGTTGAACGAAGTCACATCGAGAGTGATGGTGCATCGCTGTTTCCAGGGGAAGACAAGAAGAGCCTTGCACTGATTTTCTGGGTACGGTCGTAGGATCTGGCGTGATCTTGTACCCTAATTTTGGTGTTCGAGGAGGTTGGAACATTGTCTTGATGACAACCATTCGGGTTTGTGTAATGACATCTGTGGCGTGATTACGAAAGGCTTCAGAGCAGTGGAGGGAGATGGGGGATTGTGCTGGGTGATGGTGAAGAACTAGATCGTTGCTCGGGTATCGAAAGAAAGAAAGGCAAAGGTGCCAAGTAGGTTTATTGAAAAGACCATGTTGGGACTTATGTTGCGAGACAGGGGCATGGAAAACTGATGGTTAGGATAAACATGCCAAGATGTATGTTGGGGGACCCTTGGAAGTGTGGATTTCATTGTACTTGATGAGATTTAGTTATCAAGATATGGAACCATGGTTTGTGGCACGGCTCCCCAAAGAGATCTCAAGTTTGATTGCAAGTTGATATGTACTCACAAACAGGCCAAGACGTATGTTCATATGTGTAGCGTCTCATGTATGCATACTATGCGTGGCTCTTCCCTGGGTCCAGACATATCCAAAATTGCTAGGACAAGCGCACAAATTAAGCACTACTGGAAACCTACCGCTGAAATGGTTAGTGATGGATCGCATGCGATGATGATGTAACTGAGATTAGACTATTTCTTATAATCATTTTCCTGCTACATAAAAGCAGTGTAGTAGCAAGCCATATATTCACTGGGGTGTTCGTGGCTGTGTTAAAACAGCCCGAATGATTAAAATTCGTTCTCTATGGGTTTTGGAAGTATATAAGACGGCTCACATCAATCTAAAGTTAGCAAATCTAGACACAGGCTTGCGAATCGTAGTCGGGGGCTTTTGCTCTTAAAGGTCGAAGTAACGCAATAATTAGCTAAAACAAACACAATATGGCGTATGCAATAGGCCGATGAAAAATAACACGTTTGGTGTCCAGTACATCTGACCATGAGTGGAAATTAAACTATTAGCTAAGAGTGAGGATGAAAGCACTCTGTTGAGCAGGCTAACCGAGTATCCGGCACGCTGCGGGCCGCGGGCGTGGACCCATGTCAACGCTCCTCGTCTACCAGCTATCGTGGCAAACTTCCACCGGCATCTCATCATCCCTTCCCAACAACGACTGTACGTGCCGCACATTGTGTATTGGCAATTCGATTGGCAAAAGATCTGTCTGAGTCAGTTCAGCTTGTAACCACGTCTGACCGGCATTTCTACCGCTCCATTGCGGTAAAATGCACAAACAGGGATGTGCTGGGTATAGCAGATCAAGCCCGCGTGTCACCAAATCATCAAATCGTCAAACCCACTATTTGCCGAGTGGCCTCGTCCTTCCACGTCGCACACACATGGCGTATCTCGCCGGTCAATCGCGGCCGCCTGGCTCGGATCCGCTCATAGCATCGCTTTTAACGAGCTGGGCTGCATATACCTTGCAGGCGGGCCGCTGGACGTTCTGCGATTGGCCGTGCCAAAGCCCTCGTTTGCTTTCTGATTAACGCCTAGTACCCACAGGCAGCTAGTGTCTTACCGCGTGTCTTTTAGGACTGCCGTTCGGCCCACCGCTGTTCTTACTAGAGAGACAATACAAGGCTGGTTGCCACCAACAATCTAGCATTCATACTACCGGACCACGCCATCAGATCCATCCCAGCGACATGTCGTGGACCCAGGTAGACTTCAGTTGTGTACGGTACTCACCCGTAGAAGGTACACACTATTTCCATGACCCCGCATACCCTGCTTCCATCCAGTTCCTGCTTTCCGGTCGCTGGGAATCATGGGACGTCAGCTACGTAAAACAGTACGTCACACTCTCTGAGTACGAAACTTGCGTGTCCGTGTTAACATTATGTAGCAAGGCCCAGGACCCTGATATACGCCGCATTGCAGAGGAAGCCGAGACGCGACTTATTAGGGATCCATACGCAGGATATGCTCCCTGGCCGTCTCCACCTCCATCCTCTACAGGTCCTCCACCGCTAGGTCCTGGCCATGGACAGGCCACACCCGACCCTAACATACATCCAGCTCTCCTTACACCACCATCATCTACGGCAGTCGAGCAAGCTGTTCCACCATCGCCACGAGATCTTAGTACACCCCCGTCAGCGACGGCCCCACCTACCACTTATGCTTCTCCATATGCACCCCGACCTGTTATCAATGATGCCCCCACACAGTCGGCGGAGCATATTCCAGCGGGGCAGACGCCACCAAACGATGTCCCTCACAACCACAGCAGTAGTGGACCATCGCCTCCACAGTTCAGGCCCATCACATGTGATCCCGCGTTCGCTCCTCCAAAAAGAGCGGAATCGCCCCAGAAAGCCATCCTCTCGCGTACACGTGAAACCAAGATCTTGCTTTCAATTGATGGCGATGGTATCCGAGGATTGTCTGCTCTTCTTTTGGTCGAATCACTGGTCAATGCAATATGTGTCAAAGTCGGGCAGCGCCTAGACAGTCATCAGATCTTTGACTTGACAGGCGGTAGCTCTCTCGGTGGTGTGATAGCCATCATGCTTTGCCGCCTTCGCATGCAAGCTTATCGAGCCAGGGAAGCATACAAGCAGATTGCAAAGCAGGTGTTCTGTAACAAGCGAGACTATTTCAAGTATCTGGATCCTCACGCACATTCACGAACAGTCGATGACACTGCGCTGGAGAATGAGATCAAGAATGTCATACAACAAGAGTTGGGTAACCCAGATGAGATACTTCTGGACGTACGCCCAGATTCAGGAGATGTGTAAGTCTATCATCCCTACTACTTGCGGAGACTTTCTGACCCTGCATCCAGCTTTGCAATCACTACGCAAATGGATATCGGTATGTACCAAACCCGAACAGAGCATCGGTCTTTTGGGTGCTATACTGATAAATACAAGGTACCAACCGAGCAGCACTGATACGGTCGTACCAAACTCGACGCATTACCGGCCCGGACCTAGACCAAAATATGCCCATATGGAAAGCAATGAAGGCGACCTCTGCCGCCTCAAGATACGTACAATCAGAGCCCGGATTCCCCCAACGCTTTGTAATCGAAAAAGGCCTCGTAGATCACGGAACATCGAAGAACAACCCTGTACGAGACATACTCTTCGAGTGCCGGAAGCTATTTCGCTATGCCAATGACATGATGATTGTGGTCTCCGTCGGTACCGGTGTAGGTATAAATCGCAACAATGAAATACCCGAGATGGCGAATAGCGTTGAAGACCGAAAATCTGAGGCGAGAGCATGGAGCGAAAAGTTTGAGACGGAACATAGTGCTCTTATGGAGAGGAATTGGATGAAATACTTTAGGTTCGATGTTACGGGCTTGGAGGACGTCCCGCTAGAGGAGTGGTGCCATGAAGATCTTATCATGAAGAAGACGTCAGAATACCTGGCACAGGCTGAGGTGGGAGAGAGGTTTTATGCATGCGTGGACGCAATTGCGGCGCTGTTGCTAGGTCCGCAAGGGAGGTAAAGAAGGAAATAGTTGTATAGATAGTAGCAGGGATATATCATCGTCCAGTAATATTTAGGTAGTTACACGAGGCAAAAGGTTAACTCTACAGGTTCTTGTCAAGTGCATGGGGAACAAAGCGTGTTATCACAATTTACCAACAGTAGAGGGTTTATCTTCATTCCTGGGATACAAAAGAAAACATGGGTGTATAGACCCTGCAAGCCGTACACTGAATTTGCATGAATTAAAAACAAGGATACAGCCCATGAGAAGACAAATGAAGCCCCAACACTACCACCCCCGCCGCTAATAAACTTTCCTCCCTTTCCTATATTTCTCGGATACCACCACCAAGTCCCACGAACCCCACTTCTTCTCCTCGCTATACCACACAAGCTCAATGGTCAGCTGGGGTCTCGCCCTCCCCAAAACCCTCATAGCCCGCATATACTTTGTATTTCCTCGCGGCACCCTCAGCTTCTTCAGGCCCGGCGCCCAATCCGGGTTCTCAGCCGCCTCCAAAAATGCGGTTCCGGTAATGCCCGTGCCCGTAATTTCGAGATGTGTTAGTTTTTGGCACCAGGCGAGGCAGTCGAGGAGGGCGTCGTCGTTGAGGTTGGCTCCGGGCAGGGAGATCTTTTTGAGCGAGGGGCTAATTTCTACGAGGGTGAGTAGAGCGGTGGGGGTTATGCCCTGGGCGTCTTTTTTTGGAATGTTAGTTTGGGGAACAATGGGCTGGAGGGACGGAGAGGATATATACCGTTGTGGGCCTTGTAGTCGACGTCTTTGTAGTCGAATTCAAAATCCATGTTGTTACAGACTTTGGGACCGAGGGAGACTATATCGTTGATGCGGTTGCTAAGGGAGAGGGGCTGTACGGTTAGTTTTTATCTTGGGTTACGTACAGCATTACCAGATAACCAGGCGGTTTTGTGTATCATAATCATCGATCATAATAGGTAGTCACCAGGTCGTAAGTAGATTCAACATACTCTGCTAATTCACAAGCATATCCAAATTTGATTTTTTGTGTCGACGTCCCAATGACTCTGTAATACTGGCCGTCCCAATCCCTCCTCGAGTCCGTGATGACAACATTGCGTTCACCCCGGACTAGGGGCCTGAGAAGACGAGGCTTGGGCTTTGCGACTTCTTGGACAGTAGGGACTGACTGTGAAGTCGACAATGCTTGTTGTGATACTACGTCTACACACGAGTACGAGTTGCTCGCTGGTGAGGAAGGTGGGAATGGAAGTGCAGATGCAGGTGCGGCGGCACGAACCGCTGCTGTCACTAGCGCATCCTCTTTGGGAATAGGCCTGAAGCCAAAGGCTGCGAGACTGGGTACGCCTCGCAGAGGAGAGGAATATTTCTTTTGTGTGCGAATTGGCGGCATCTTTTCTAGGATTGAGAACTGTAGATTGAAGTGATAGTGAAGGAGGAATGAAAGGAAGGACGAGTTTATTGTGCATTTGTACATGGAAATTATCCTAGTCGGCGATCTTCCCAGCCCCGAACGCGTTCGCGAAATTTCGCGATGAATGTCTCAGAGCGCATACCTTGCTAGCGTATAACGTATTTCTGTATCCGGGGCTTCCGGTTCTAGATGACGGACCGAATTGCTTCTGGTGGTATTATAATATTGCTTTGCCTGAGAGGTCTCATGCACGGAAAGTTGGGTACGCGTTCCGTGTTTAACGCGCCAGCCGCTGTAATATTTCACACTATTGCAGTGGCACTGAGATTGTACTTTCATTGCTAGAAGCTTTTCGTGGTTGACATTAAGGTGTACATTGAGAGCGATGGTATCGTCAGTGTACATACTACCACCACCACCACCACTCCCTTTCTTCCAGCCTGGACTGATCTTCTATCCCATCTCTAAGGAACGAGCTGTCTTAGAAACAACTCAGAGAAATCATGCCTCAAACGGATCAATCCGGGAATCGCCTGTCTCCCTCGACTTACACTCTTTCCCATTCTTAAACGTTTCCGCTGTGACGTCCAACTCCCAGTCTCCCCATATCTTCTCCTCCCTCGTACGCATCAGCTCAAACGTAAGTTCTGGCCTCTCTTTCCCCAGCTCCTGCAACAGCTTGGAAAGAGGGTGGCTACGATCAATACGCAGCGTCTTGAGACTCGGTGCCCATTCAGGATGAGCACGGAATGTTTCGATCCACTGCTCCGAGGTGCTCCTGTGGTTTCCAGACGCATATGTGAATTGTAGGTATCCGAGATCGGGGCAGTGCTCCAGGAGACTGAGGTTTGCTTCGTCTCCTAGGTGAGATGTACCAGGCAGTTCTACTTTGTTAAGCTTGGGGCAGTGGAGTGCGAGTCTAGTTATGCCGGCGTCTGTCAGACCGATTGCATATGTGGCTGAAATAAATATAGGTTCGAGAGCAGGACTGCCGTTGCATGGCACACTCACCGTTATGAGCTGCGTAGCTCACATCCTCATATGTGAACCCGATGACCTCCAAATCCTTGGGAGACGCCAGACTCAATCCCAGTAGATCATCGATATGCTGACTGTTCACCCAACGTCGTCAGCAGAGTTTTTCATGCCCACACCCAAGGTCATACACAACTTACTCAGTCAACTTGAAGCCCCCACCAAACCACAGACGCTCTGTCGTAGTACCAATGCGCTTCTTGAAATGCTTATCCCACTCTTCATTTCACGAGACTTTCACGCTTCTAGTGCCTTTGAACGACGATGGCTCACGGCATGCTTTCTTCGGCGTTTTCAGCGCTGGTTCAGCGTTCGAGGAGATGTTGTCAGCGCGACTTCATTTCCATGCTGCCATGATGATTATGTAACCGGGTAAAGAAAGAATTAGAGAGGCTTAGATGACCGGTCGGGGAGATTAAAAAAACTCTAAATACAATCGCCTGCTATTGTGGGAGGGGGTGCTAGCGGAAAACGATTGCTCGCTGTCGCCTGCTACCTACCGTACTGTTCGACTAACCGCATTGGGCGTTTGAGGTGGGACGGCCGATCGTCATACCTGCATTCTTAGCCCCGGGTAAGGGTGGGTTCATGCACAACGTCTTAGAGAACACGGCAGCACCGAATTACACTTTTTAAACATTTCTGCCTTATTAATCTGGCATGCTAACCATATTCTGCCGTGACTATCTGTGATCCTCTCATGGGATCCGGACAACGACATGTAAACTTTTAGTTCCCTTCATCCAGATAACCTAGATGTCCGCGACAAAGTGAAAGCCATCATACTGATCCCGGAACAGCATACCGTCCTGCTTTCCATACTAAACACATTCTAACGTGACTATCTATGATCCTCCCACGGGATCCGGACTACGACATGTAAACTTTTAGTTCCCTTCATCATGCAGATGAGCTAGATGTCCGCGACAAAGTGAAAGCCTCCATACTGATCCCGGAACAGCATACCGCCCTGCTTTCCATCCTCGCGACTCACCCGCTTTTCCAGGGCCCAGTCAGCTTCTTTTGAGATAGCGCGGTACTGCTCAATTGGGCCAAGCTCACGGTCCTCTGCATCCACGCCATCCACGCCATCCACGCTACTTGACTTGTATTTGACGTACTCGCTGAAGCGACTGAACCTTAGACTGCCGTCACTATCGCGGACGGGGAGGCGCTGGGAAGGATCTGGGACGAAGCGTGCGGCGAGGGGGGAATCGATGGAGAAGTTGCGCGGAGTACCAAATCCGCAGGGAAATCCGAGACGTGCTTCGATGGAGCTGGTCTGACTGCGGGTGGTGGATGTAGTTGCTGTGCTAGCGCTGACGCGGTGACTGGAGGAGTAGACCATGCGCACACCAGCCTCTTGCATGAATGCCAGAGTCTCCTCATCTAGGCTCTCGGGGCGATCGGGGCGAGTCGGTGGCGGGCCAGGACGCTTCTCAAAAGGAACGGTCATTGCGTTCTCTGGTATCGGGAGATTGCATAGCTGTGGCATGGGTTGAGGCCGCGAGATGGAGATGCTGCGACCTTGAGCGTGGGGGAGAGACGAACGAGAACTTCGAGCTGTGGAATATGGCGTGAGAACTCGTCTGCGCGTCTTGGGTGCCACGATATCGACCGGAATCTGTGGCAAGGGCGGAGGAGGCGGCGGTGAGTGCGAACAGTCAACGCCTTTCATGCCACCGAAGAGACGTGAGCCTAGTTTCCATGTTAGACTGGCTTTGCAGAAGCGAATAAAGTCGGTGATTGTCGTACTCTTGTTCTTCAACGCTGAGAAGCTGGAGCGGGGTTTGATCTTGGGCGCCTTCGACTCATCAACTGTACAATTCTGCTCTGGAGTGATGGATGAGTCGTGTGAAGTTGAAGCAGTTTGAGACGACTCTGCCTCATCCTCGTCGTCGTAGTCTGGCAAGTCGTCGAAACCATTTCCGTTGTCACAAGGAGCGACCGGCTTTGTGACTGAAGCGAGTAGTGTAGATGACGACGAAGAGGTTGACGGCGGAGTGGGGAGTGGTTTGTCGAGCTTGTCCTTCTTGCGACCAAAGAATCGTGACGCTGCAGGCGATGATTAGAGATTAGTCGCGTAGTTGAGAGTTTAGACTTACGTTTTCTCGTCACTTCTGCGCTTTGTATGCCGGCATCAAAGTCTACATCTGACGCGTCGGTCACGGCGACCTTCTCATCCGGGGTTGGGCTATCTCGAAAGAAGCGCGAGGCTACATCATGATGAGTACAGCTTATCAGGAGGGGACTGGATCGGAAGAAAACACTGTAAGTTGCTTACCTTTGCTCCGGAGGCTCTTCATGTTAGCTGACCGCAACAATCAAGCAGACGCAATGCGTTGATCAGGATGGAATGAAAGTCGAGGCAAGAAGTGTCGCTCGGTTGGACCTTGGGCCGACAAGCGTGGAAGCACAAAAGACCTTATGCGATGAGCGCGCCGTGATGATGGTGAATCAGAATTGCGCCCGTTTGAGCACCTCACGGTGTGGTGCACTATAACCGCTGCCAAGCCAGCGCGAACATATAGCGCACGTGGAAACCTTTGAGAGCTAGTAGTTGGATAAGCTCGTTATCTGTAGCTATTGGCTGAAAGAGGAAATACTGTACGGTATTTTGATCATATGCACCCTCTACGTCACCGTCGAAACGACACCCTCAGCGACTAATAAACCGAATGGGATCATCCAGTCAACGAGACAATCAAAGAGAAATCTGGTAGGATAACTGTGCATAATAGAAATGAGGCCGATGGAAACCATCTCACCGTCACCAATGAATACTGAGGGGAAGCGAGTGTTGGACATGAAAACTCTGAGCTTCCCGAGGGAAGCACCAGAGCCGAGCATCATGCCCTTATTTTTTTCTTGATTTTTACTTGAGATTTGTGGTGTTGTAGTGTTGATGGTCGAGTCGTGCCTAGATCCAAAGACATGGACAGCAGACGTTGTCGGGAGAAGCTCACTTCGCACAGCCAGTTGAGACAACTCCAAAAAGCGCTTGTACACAAACGCAGCAAACATGATGACGAGAAAACCCACCATCCAGCTCTTGGAATACCATGTTCATGTACCCATCAATGAACAATGACAAAAGAAAATCTTGTGCTGGGTCGACGTACCCGAGGCATTCCCGTCAATCCACACTACATGCACCGAAAACTAATGACGTATAGTCATTGGAAACGCCAAACTCCAAATGAACAGAAAGCACTGTCATGAAACATGACTACATGGAAACGCTAGAAATCCCATATGAACAAAACAACGCAATTGAAAGGAAATGTGCCTAGATATGGCGTGTTTATGAACAAGTCGACCAAGATGGCAGATTATCTCACGCTGGACGTTTCGCCAGCCGAGTTGAGATTAAGTAAACGCTTGAGGTCCTGCTCCAAAGATGACGAATCGGAAGGTGTGGAAGTTTTCATCTGTGGGGCGGGGGCAGCAGCGGCTGAAGGGATAGTAGCCGGCTTGCGTTTCGCAGCAACAGATGCGGGGACGAAGGACATCATGGTAACGGCAGGCTTGGGTGCTGACGCAGGAGGACTGTTCATGGCTGCCTTGCGAGGTTTGGGCCCCGGACCAGGACCAGGACCAGGACCAGTCATGTTACCCCTGGATGGGTATGACTCAGGACGCGCTTGATAGGGTTGCCTACCAGGTGTCTTCCTGCGGTTGTTTGGGCTCTGCTGAAACGGCTGCACAACCGGGGCTGACATATGACGCGCATTTGAAGGTGCCTCATGGTTGTGTCCTGGCTGGTCCCGAGAGAAGGTGTTGGGATCCATGACGTGTGGAGGAACGGAAGCAAATCCCTGGAAGGTACCCTGTCCTATCATGGGGGAATCGGCAGTGATTTCGGTACGGAGGCCAGAGTTGCGCTTTGGTGACTCACCCTTTGCTGCTTTGAACAGCGGAGAGAGGTTTTTGTTCCCATAGAAAAAGTTGGCGGAATCCTGGTTCGGGGGCTGTGTCTGGGGAGTAGTCGGACCGGAGGCACTTCTGACCAGAGGCCGTCCATCAAGGAAAGGCGAGGGTGTTTGACGCGACTGTGAAGCCGGCAGAGCCTGAGTGCCTGGTTGAGGCGGTGTTGCAGCCGTTGAGTTCTTCTGCGACATGGATAAGCGGCTAAGGAGGTCCTGCATGACATCATTTCCATTACCTGGTTGATGCATGTCCTTGAGCTGTGGGACCTTGTTGGGATCAGTCACAGAGCGTTGCGAAGCTGGTGATGCCGCCGGGGGTGGGGACATGTGCGCCTTTTTGCTTTCACCGTCAAGCTCTAAAGGAAAGACGCCATTCAGCGAATGGTATGAGTCATGCTTGAAGTGATGGGGTCTGGCCTGGTGGAAGGGACTGTGGGGAATAGGGCCTCCGAAGTTGTTGTTGGCTCTCTCAGCTGCATCGGCCTGAAAAAGCAGATCCAGTGGAGACTGTTCATTACGCGGGGGAAAGGTCACTGGGGCACGGGAAGGAGAAGCAGAAGGACTCGGAGAAGCAGAGTCTGAACTATCTTCTGGTGGAGGCGTTGGTGGACCAGCACGTGTCTTCGCCGGCACAGAACGAGAAAGAAACTTGGGTATGGGAAGAGCAGAGGGCGCAGGCGAGGCATGAAAGGTAGGCCCGGCATATGCACCTTGGATCTTGACCGGGGTGGCAGACGGATGGATCGGAACAGGAGCTGATTCCGCGGGAGAGAAGACGCGGTCGGAGGCATAGGCTTGGTGGTGCTTCTTCATGCTGCGCGGCGCTGTCGGTCGCTGTGACTCTTCGCCCGAGTAGGCGGCGCTGTCGGCGGCATCTGCGGGCAAACGACGCGGCGACGCTCCCGGCGCATTCTGGTCGTTGTGCGAATTTGGCGCACGCTGGTTGCGCGGCTTCCGCTGTGACTGCCGGCCGGGTGTCTTGTTGGGCGCTTGGGCTGGGCTCTGCGGCTTGCCCCTCGGTGCGCGTGGGGACGCGGCAATCTGGGCAGTCGACATATGGATTGCTATTACTGTGTTTACGGTATTAGGTTTGTAGTTTGGTGTTATCTGGCTGGTCGTAGGCGGACGGGCGAGGATGGAGATTCAGAGGTGGGCAGGGCAGTGCGCGATGACGCGATGGTTGTTGTGGTTGTTGTCTGGATGGGTGGGAGTGTTTGTGTGAAAGCGTTGTTGTTTGAAGTTATCATGTCCAGATTGGCGGGGTATAGATAGGCACGCGCGTCGGGTGCTATGAAGCGGAGTGATAGAGAGTGGGAGTGAGTGGTGAATGCGTAGTGGCAGCGTGGAGGTGGCTGTGGACAAACAAGGCTGATCTCGGCGAGGCGCACTGACGATTGCGGCGGCGTAGGGCTGAGGCTGGACAATAGTCGCAGCTGGGCATAGACGTGGGCGAGGGTGAGAGGCTGCCATTGTATCTGAGACGTTGCGCAAATGCGGCGTTGGAACTTCTGACACAGTTTTCACCCTTGTGCTTGGGCGATTAGATGTCTGCCCGCTCTCATCTGTCACGTTGAACCGTACCTGAGGAATACAGGGCCTGGTCTTGGCGTTTCGTTGCTCTGCTCGCCGCTGTAGCCTTCCGCCTGCAACTTGCAGACAGGCCAGGAGCACTTTCTCCACCACCTCGCTACTTTCCATAGTAGAGCGTTTGAGCTGCAAGACAACCCAAGTCAAGCGCCACCAACTTGCACACGGCTCTCGCATCACCTCTGTGCCCGTTCCACGAGCTCTCACCGTCAGGTTAACCAAGTCCCCGTACACCCCCCCACCACCTGGATACATCACATAATCATGGCGGATGTCGACATGGCAGATGCACCCCCGGCCAAGACGAAGACGGCCAAGGCTGGTGGCAGCGGAGAAGGCGACAAGAAGCGCTTCGAAGTGAAGAAGGTAAACAATACACGACAGTCAATATCAAGCACGTGGGCACTCTGCTAACAATACTCAGTGGAACGCCGTCGCGCTGTGGGCGTGGGACATTGTTGTAGACAACTGCGCCATTTGCCGTAACCACATCATGGACCTCTGCATTGAGTGCCAGGCCAACCAAGCGTCAGCGACAAGCGAGGAGTGCACTGTGGCATGGGGAATCTGCAATGTACGTATGGTTGCTGTAATCCATTCTTCATCAACTAACATATACCAGCACGCCTTCCACTTCCACTGCATCTCACGATGGCTCAAGACCCGACAAGTGTGCCCGCTCGACAACCGAGACTGGGAATTCCAGAAGTACGGCCGATAGACGCTCGCAACAAGTAGCTATAGGGAGAATGGCTTCACCGAGGACACGTATTTTTGTTTCGTTTGGACGTCTGGCGTTAGTACGGCCTTTACAACAGGGCTACGAGAGCATGATGTAGTAGCATAGGTGGATATGATTGAAATGAAGTCCCATTGTCATGATGAAGTCCCTATGACTATGTTGACTATCCCACCTTCTGCCCGTCTACGGCAATGTTGTACTGTGACGTTGAGTTGTGCGGCGGCAGCCAGTCCTCTGGGTTCTTGTTGTAGAAAGGCCACGGTGGCACAACGACGAGGAAGGTGAGAGCGGTGCCGGCGAGGCCAACGTAAAGGGCGAGGCGGATATCTTGTTGCATGTAGCCGATGACAAAGGCCAGAATCTAAACCAGTCAACCTCACAAGCTTGCATGTAACAGAAAGTCGAAACCTACACCAGCTGCACCGAGCAACACTGTACTTAGCATCTCTGCGAGTCGCTGGCCCTCAAAGTCCTGTGCATGTGTTAGTTTTTCTTGTAGGCAGCGCAAAATGTCATTATGAAATGCTGGAAATATCATACAATCTGACCCTCTACGGCGTCACGCACTTGCTCCAGTAGCTGGTCGGCCATGATGCTGACTACGGCGGATGATGGAGAACCGATGTATGTATGTGTGTGTGTGTGTGTGTGTGTGTGTGTGTGTATTTGTTGCAATTTGAACACGACCAGATTAGAGTTGGGCCGGGTCGTCACTTCCGTGCTTGTTCCAAGGTTGTCTAACGAGTGGCTTTGTCACGACAGGTTCGGAAGAGGTGGCTTATTGAGTCGCGACTGCTTCAGGCATATGAGGCTTTGCGGCGACCGGGGTCCTGGGTCTTGCCCGCAGCCGCATTAGTGCCGTCACCGTCAAAGGTTCCAAGCTGGTCCAAGATGCCTCGCCCGCGCCCAGGATACATCAAGGCAAACCATCGGAGCATTTTATTGCACGTCCCACGGTAACCCCTTCATACGTCTGTGGACCCTACGTCAGTAGAATACGCTGCTCTTGGATATCCCCGGCTTCTGGCTAGGAACGCGTCACATGCACGAGCCGCGTCGGCAGTAGCGTTCACTTCGGCCCAACTGGGGGCCACACGGCGACCTCGCAGCCTCTAGAAAAAGCTTGTGCACGACCCAGACGTCGCCTACAAAATCATAACAAGTTCCGCACCATCGCTCAACATTTCACCATACGTCCCACCGGACACCCGCCACCACTTTTACAAATATCACTGCCACAACGCCCGCAGTCCCATTTGGAATTTGGAGACTGCCACCACACGTCTGCGACTCACACCACACACGACAACTCACCGCTAGCCGCCGTCCACGACTGCGACTGATCGCGAACCCATCTTTGTTGTTTTTTTTCGTCTCAACTCCCCCTTAGGCTTCCTAGACGCTACGGCGTCGTTTATACAAACCACCAAGTTGGCGGGACTCTATCTTCACAAGTTTTCCTCTCTCCGCCGCTCCGCCCCAGCGTGGGTTTACGGAGGCGACTACAAGAAGCCGCCTTAACTGGCCTGTAACGAAACACAAATACTCGCTACTGCACTACTGTCTTTACAACTCTTACCTTTCTATTTCTGGAGAGGGTGCGCCAGTCTGGATACCGGACACAGTCACCCGTAGGCTTAGTGTAGGGGACGACCCTACGCGAAGCCATCGCCAAGTTGAACGCGCCTTAGAGGTGGGCGCTCACAAGCGACTCACCGTTGTCGTGCGTCTTGCTCTGTAACAAGACGCCGAGACCTAAATCTTGGCCTAGTCAAAGCATATCAGATCCAACCTCCCACTCATCGCCGCAAGAGTAGCCAGTATGACTGACACTCCGAGATCCGAGACCCAAACCCGCTTCAGCACCCCGGTATCTGACCTGGACGACCACCGTCACCAAGCTGCCTCTCTTCCACGTCCTGCCTCTTTTGCGCGAGGCGATCCTGGTTCGCCCTCCAGGTCTCGCCGACCGACCTTCGCCAGCGTTCACAGCCAAGACCGCCCCAACGTACTCTTTCAAGTCAACGAGGCTCTCGAGTCAGACATAACTCGCCGCGACTTTGAATGCGCTGTCGTAGATGACGACCAGCACTTGTCCCCGGATACCTACTTGCGCCGCGAATCGCTGAGTCACAGCCCACATGCTCGACGAGAGACATTCAGGCGCCCCCGCGACGCAGGATTGGAAAACACTACTAGAAGCAGAGCTTCCTCAACCACGTCGCGCTCCGTATCCCCTCCCAATTCCGTCGACGCTTTTGCAGGGCCTCGGCGCCGGGACCGAGCCAACACCCTACAGAGCCACGCAGGCTCTGAACAGGATCTAGCGCTGCACAGGACGCTTTCTCGAGGCACAGCATGTCGCCCAACCATCAGTGATGAGCGACCCCAGGACCTGCACAACATTGAGGTGGCATCTGCGCACAGTTCTGCAGAAGAGGATGTTTGCTTCCCTGTATCTGAGGACACAGGTAAGACCACAAGATTCGACTATGAAGAGTTGGAAGAATTTGCCGCAGAGGCTCACGAGAAGACGCCCATTGGCCAGCCCCTTCGTCACCAGGCGAGCGTAGCCTCCCGCATGTCTACAAAACCCAAGATCTTCTCGGACCTTCGCCCCAAGTCAACTTCTCCGTCACCAAGGACCGATTGCGACAATGCTACTCTCAAGAGCCTGGATCCCGCTGTTCAAGAGAAGCTAGCCCAAGAAGGCCTCTCACACATGTTTGCTGAGAAGCAGGCGCCCGATGTCAAGGTCAACCGATGGACCTTTTTCTCATCTGAGCTTGATGATACCATTCATGCCGCTGAGTTGGGCGGTCTGCTCATGCCTGGCGAACGTTTCCGGGACCTGTTTGACACTCCATCAGATGGCGGCGTTTGGTGGCTCGACATGGTCAACCCAACAGAAGAAGAGGTCTTCGCTATTTCCAAGGCCTTTGGGGTGCATCCTCTTACTCGCGAGGATATTTGTATCCAAGAGCCCCGTGAGAAGGTAGAGTTGTTCCACCAATACTACTTTGTCTCTTTCCGCTCCTTCTTCCAAGCCGACAAGGAATCCGAGGAATACTTGGAGCCAGTCAACTTCTACGCCGTGGTTTTCAAAGAGGGCATCTTGACTTTTACCTTCTGCGAGAGCCCCCACACGCTCAACGTACGCAAGCGCATTAGTCGGCTTCGCGACTACATCAACCTCAACGCTGACTGGATTTGCTATGCTCTGATCGACGACATTGTCGACAGCTTCGCACCTGTTATTCGGGGCATAGAAGATGAAACCGACGCCATCGAAGATCAAGTCTTCACTGCCCGCATCGAAGACTCTCGCGCCATTCTCCGGTCGATTGGCGAGTGCCGCAAGCGTGTTATGCAGCTTCTGCGTCTCCTCGGTGGTAAGGCAGACGTCATCAAGGGTTTCGCTAAACGTTGCAACGAGTCCTACAGTGTTGCCCCTCGTGGTGACGTGGGCATGTACCTCAGTGATATCCAGGACCACGTCGTCACCATGATGTCCAACTTGTCTCATTTCGAGAAGATGCTCAGCCGAGCCCACTCCAACTACCTGGCTCAGATTTCGGTCGACCAAGTCATCCAGGGCAACGACAGCAACGCTACCCTTCAAAAGGTTACTGTCATTGCAACGATTCTCGTCCCGCTCAACTTGATCTGCGGTCTATTTGGTATGAACGTCAAAGTCCCAGGCCAGGACGGCAGCTTAGGCTGGTTTTTCGGCATCCTTGGTGTCATTATCCTCTTCGTCTGCGTCTGCTTGGGCGTTGCGAAGAAGATGCGGTTCATCTGATGTTGTTTCCAACTTCTCCTTCTTAAAGACACTTTTTCCCTATGTTGTTCTTATATCTTACTCGTATACACGATAACGAAAGCGCTGGAGTAATGGGATGGGTACTGCCATAGATTTTGGCTCTAGTAGATGAAGCAGGATGACGAGGTCTCTAGATTATGCTGTATACGGTTCAGTTGGACATTACATATACAATGTGAAATCGAAAAGTTTTGTTGAACTGCGTCTGTATCTTTTCACTAATTGGTCAAAGTTCAAGACGAAGTCGGGCCAGGGGCTAGTGCGCCAATGTAAGATGGTCTAGTTTGGGGGTGGCGCACGGTGATGTGTGGAAAGTATAATGCATGTGCTACCGCTACCACGAAGATGAAACCCCCCTGCAGTGCCTGGTGAGGTGAGGCGTATTTGGGTATGCCGATAATAGTGCAAAAGAACAAAGGAGACGAACACAGACATGAATTGTCATGAGTGTGTTGCGTTTGTTGACATGCTATGTACGTAAAGTCGCACATGTCTGTACGGGATGCACACATAAGAGCATGGCAGTGCAGATGCACGAGGTATGCCTCAGGTGTATGTGATGATATGAGTCGTCACGCGAGCGACAGGGGCGGCTCGTTCATTCCGTACCCGTTCCTATTCGTTCCGAAATCGGAAGGAAACAATGGCGGCCTTGCCATTGTCAGCATGCGTTAACCCAACTGCAACTCGGCCGAAGAACAAGAACCGCAGTGAATAGAAGTTGCTGCAGACAATACAAGGCAAGTAAAGGTCCCCACTCGTTGTTCTGCAAGATCGGAAGCGGTGAATTAGGCTCTTTCCGACGCCCGGGCTAGGTAATCCTTGTTTCGGCGAGAGCATTCGATCCGTGGATCATGCAGCGCCTCCAGCGGACGGACTCCCTTAAAGTACAAGTCTCACCCTCCGCCTCTCTCTCACTTCTCACACACACTCCACGCTCTCTCAACCGCAACCGCTCTCTCCAGACGCCCAGCCTTGCTCGACCGACTACCTCCGCAGACACTGTGCTGTCCCTGCTAACCCCCACAAACACCACACGCTCCAACAAGGACCTCGGATCGCGATGGCGGAAATGGCGCAGCGAATACTCATGAATGAGTTCAAGCAGCTCAGCAAGGAGAAGTGGACCAATATTGAGGTAAGTCGCGTTGTCATTCCCTCCAGAGCCACGGTTAGCGTGGCAACACAGGAGCGCCCAGCTAACCACGTCACAGCTCATCAACGAAAACGTCTTCGAGTGGAGCGTAGCCCTCATTGTCTTGAACGAGGAATCCATGTACTACGGCGGCTACTTCAAGGCCAAGATGACCTTTCCACGCAACTATCCACATAGCCCACCAGGTACGTCACACCCAATACGTGGTTCCAAGGATGGAAGGAGTCGCCGAGTCTAAGGAAAGAGCTAACAGCATGCTAGACTTCAAGTTCATTCGCCCACTATACCACCCCAACATTTACCCCGACGGCCGCCTGTGCATTTCTATCCTGCACCCGCCCGGCGATGACGAGATGTCCGGCGAGACTGCGGCGGAACGTTGGTCACCTGTACAACGTGTCGAGACGGTCCTAATCTCGATTCTGTCACTACTAGACGACGCAGAAGTCTCATCGCCTGCTAATGTCGATGCTGGAGTCATGCTGCGCAACAAGCCTGTAGAGTACAAAGAGATGGTCCGGAAGGACCTGGAGCTATCGAAACAGGATATTCCTGCAGACTTTGTCATGCCGACACATGAGACTGCGTGGAAGAAAGAAAAAGATGAGGGGGAGTTTGACATGAGCTGGGAAGACAGCGATGCAGAGAGCTTGGACTTTGGTGGTAGCGAGAGCGACATGGACGAAGACCAGGAAATGGACTCTGACTTCGAGGGCGACGAGGAGGACGAAGATGAAGAAGACACCCCCATGAAGCGCTAGGTGCCGCCTAGGGAGTCGGGGTCTCAATCTCTCGTCTACCAAGCATCGCAGGATGCAACGGGCTGGTCGCTCAGAGGTGGCGCATCTTACACGGTTCAACAATGGCTCGCCCTTGGTGAGCACGGCTTGGATTCTGCCGACTCGGATTCTGACTGCATCGGCCCCCCGTTGGCGCCAGTTTTTCGTCCTCCACTGCTCCGTCGGATCTACTACGACCCATCTTTACCCCCATCCCCACTCTCATCTCCTCGTTCCCAATGGTGGACAATAGCGCATTAGTGTATACGCGTTTCCCACTCCCCTTCCCTCTTTCAATTCCATACCCCCAAGTTTTTCTACACTTTCATCTTGAGCGAGGCGTTTGGTATCGGTATATGGCTCCTGGCGCAGCGTCTTGGACGCTTGACGCCGTCGGTTCGATCACGGTTAGGGTGGTATTTTACTGGCATGAAACGGGAGTTTTTAAGGCATGTTTCCTTTGTACGCGACGCTGCTGCTTTGGGTCTACGGTATGCGGTTTTTTGGCTCCGTAGTGTCCCTCCTTAGTGTCAACGACTATAGAATACCGAATCCATGATTCCAAACCGACCATTTTTTATTCTTTCTATTACCTATAATTGTGACGTCGCTTCTAATCAAACTCACCCGCAGACTCTGTCACCTTTTCTCTTCCAAGGTTATCCTTGAAAAACTGACGCCGTGTATGTATTTCCTTGGAACCAACTCGTGAGGAAATCGCTTAACAAACCTTCTCCCCACCCTCCTTGAACCAATGCACCACAGAGAGCGGATTGAAAGGCTTTATTCGCGATATACACATTGCGTGTGTGTGTGTGGATGAGATGCATGCATGAGTCAAAGGGAAATTGGATTGATAACGGTTATGAGAGAACGAGGTTAGGACTGTGAAGTTCAATAGTCACAGTTTGGTTGTTTCACCACCCTATACCTATGGCACTTCTTACTCTCATCATAGTCTCTTCAGCGATATTTTCTGCTCTCTTTGCGCCGCATTCTGCATGTTGTACCAACTCTTTCTGGTCTCCACCCATCAACTCTTGATACCGTCCTCTTATATCCTTGATCCGCGCATCTATTATATCCGCTGTTCTCGCTTTCAGTGCGCGCATACTCAACCCTACCAAGTCGCCTGCCAGCTCTTCCGGCGATGCAGCACCTGACTCATCGAAATGATACAATAAATCGATCAAATTGGACACGCCTGGTCTCTTCTTCCGGTCATAGCTTATCCCCTCCTTTGAGTCTGTAAGCGCCGTCTTCAATTTTCCGTGTATCTCCTCTTTTGAATCCGTGATCAATATCTGACTCTTGGGTTTGGGGTCGCTCTTGCTCATTTTCTTGGTTGGGTCGGTCAGACTCATGACGCGTTTTGCTGGACTTAGCATTGTTTGCGGGACAGTCAATAGGGGCTGTTCCTGAGGATACAGATGATTAAAGCCAATGGCTAGCTCGCGTGTAAATTCGAGGTGCTGGGCTTGGTCTTCACCCACGGGGACGTGGGTTGTGTTGTAAAGGAGGATGTCTGCGGCTTGGAGGACAGGGTACGAGAAGAGACCTAGTTTCAGGGCATCTTTGTTGTTGGAGGGGTCGAGAGGGGAGGCATTGTATGGTAGAGAGAGTTTACTCTATTCAGATTAGAATCATATGTTGGGTGTGAAACTTGAAGTTCGAGGCATACCATACCTTCCACTGTGTCATTCGGCCCAGATAGCCCATACTAGCATTGCAGCTCAACAGCCACATGAGCTCTGCATGCTGCTTAACGCTGCTCTGGGCGAATATGATGCATCGTTTGGGATCTAGTCCTACTGCGAGAAGACTAGCCAGCATTTCCTTCCTCCATCTCGCCAATTCACTTGGATCCTGTTTGATGGTGATGGCATGCAAATCGACTATGGAGAAAAGAAGTGTGGTATCCGGCGATGCCTCGTCTTGCAGTTTGACCCATTGTCGTAGTGCACCGAGATAGTTTCCTAGATGTGGTACGCCAGTGGGTTGGATGCCGGAAAATATGACCTGCTTCCCGGCATGTTTAGGTGGCGAGGTGACGGAGTATGTGCGCCGACAACTGGTACATATGCGTAGAGGTGAAGGGACTGCACGATGCAGCGAGCGGAGTGAAAACATTGAAGTCGGGTATGTCAAGCGAAATCGGAATCGGAATCGTTGGGTTGCTCAGCCACAGGCAGCGTGACCAGGGTGTCTTTGTAGCGTCGTCATTGCTGCAAGCATTCAGGAACATCGTCTCCAGTGAATCCCGCTACTCTCCCCACAGCCACAACCACAGCATCTCAACTTGACCTGACGGTATTAACACCCACATAGACTAATAACCACTTGTATACCCGAGAATACACAGGCGACACCACAATCATGTCTTGGACCGGTATTGCAGCCCAACCACTCTCATGTAGGAAGACGGCGGCTTACACCAGGCAGGGTTCAAGAAAGGCGTCAATCGCGCCACGACGCAGGTTTTGATGAAGACGGGCCAGGTTGAGCGCACAAATGACCGCGACTTTGAAACCGAGCAACGGTATGTATCTTCATCCTCTCCCCGCCACCACCCCTCCATCCACGGCACCCCGATTGACAAAACCACAGCCGCTACCGCACCATGGAGACGGCCGCCAACAAGCTCCAGAAAGAAGCCAAGGGCTATCTTGACTCTTTGCGCGCCATGACTGCCTCGCAAATGCGCATAGCCGAAACCATCGACGCCTTCTACGGAGACGCCGGCACAAAAGATGGCGTCTCCCGCTCATACAAGCAAGCCGTGACGGACCTGGACGCCGAAACAATCAAAGCCCTCGATGGTCCTTACCGCACAACCGTCCTTGACCCTATCCAGCGCTTCTGCTCCTACTTCCCCGACATCAACGCCTGCATCACAAAGCGCGAACACAAGCAAATGGACTATGACCGCATGCGCGCTCAGGTCCGCAAGCTCACGGATAAGCCCGACAAGGACGTTACCAAGTTGCCGCGCGCGGAGAAAGACGAGCAGCTGGCAAAGGCTGCTTACGATCAGCTAAACGATACACTTACGACTGAGCTGCCGCAGTTGATTGACTTGAGGGTTCCGTACCTGGACCCTAGTTTCGAGGCGCTGGTCAAGATCCAGCTGAGGTTCTGTGCAGAGGCGTACTCGCGGATGGCGCAAGTGCAGCAATATCTCGATGCGAATACGAGAGACCAGTATGCACAGGGTGAGTTGGATGCGCGGGTGGAGGAGGTGCTACAGGAGATCAGGGATCTGAGTATTGCGGGGACTGTCTAGTATGACCCAGGTGTTAGATTAGGAGGGTTGACCGGCTTGAAGGGTTTAACGTGGATTTTTGTGAATCGTCTTTGCGGCATATTACTTCTGGGTCTGATTTCTCTGGGAATAGAGGACTGGGTGGGGATACGAGAGGGGTTGAGGGGATGTACTGAAGACTCACAATGTACATCTTGATGTGTCATGAAGCATTCGAGTCTTCGTGTTGATGTGATTCTTGCTGTCTTTATATACGCACTATTCCAACTTCCTTTCACAGCTTCAGTTTATAGCGATACATCATAATTAGGCAACTCCCCCGGTATCTTTGTCCGTATTCGAGCATCCAACTCTAGTCTCACATATTTACCTATCTCGAAACCAATATGGCAGCACTCGAGACATACCCTGCTGCTATTACAGGAGGAGGACCCGTGGGGCTGGCATCATCTATCTTATTGTGGCTTCGAAAGATGCCACACGTTCATTTTGGAGCGACACTATGGTACCTTAATCCACCTAAGAGCAAGGGTCTGAATCAAAGAACTAGTGAAATATTCTGTCAGATAGGAGTGGAACAAGCAGTTATTGCCTATGGAGCTCCCACAGAACTAGGCTCCATGACTGCATGATTTACCTCTGTTGGGCCAACCGGCACTGAAATCATATCGCGCGATACCTGGGGGCACCTCGGTGGTAGAGAACAAGAAGGCAATGGAGATCCTCTTCGATAAAATCCACCAGGAGCATGCTAAGAAGTATTCGGACGTTCAACTTACACTGGCTATCCTTGACACCGAATTCAAGGCACTAGGTGCAGAGAGTGAATGGTTCTATCCTAGTGCCGACATATTTGTCATGATGGTCAACTGGACGAAAACGGAGAATTGATATGGACAGAGTATCACCCTTTAACCATACCCGGACACCACCTTCCCCATATCTGGCTAAGAAACGACCATCGTCTTGTCTCTACTCGCGATCTTTTGGGGCTTGACAACCTTGTTCTCTCACAGCCAATCCTACAGCCTAGAAGGCAGTCGAGAAAGATATGGTTAGTATTGTGGCTATCGATGGTAGAGAGTGGGAGGATGTTGACAACAAGTGGGGCCTCGTTTTTGGGGTTGGGGAGAACGGTACGGTTCTGGTGAGGCCAGACGCGGAAGAAACGACTGTTGTGCTTAAGCAGATACTTAGAATGTAGTCTTGTACTTAGGAGAGAATCTTGAAGGGATAGGTATAAATTCACAGTTGTTCAGTAGAACCTGGAAAACAAAGCAGTATAAGGAACAATGTGAAAAGAAGAATAGAAATCAAGAACAAATCGAGCATATTGAACCTAGATAAGGAGCACCAATGAAGCCCAGTCAATAGCAAATGACATACAACCCAAGTCATAGAGAACGTACCCAAAGTCGTCTCACCTGCCTTGGACCTCTTTCTTAACGCTCTTCTTCTCACAGATCTCTACCAAAAATTTGATATGCTTGAACACATCCGGGAATGCCTTGATTGAAGCCGTGCGCACGTTCATAAACGGCTCGAGAGATCCTTTGAACACGTACGAGGCATCGGGTTCAGGATCGTCAACACCATCCATAAGCTGCACAGTCACTACCTTGTCCCAGCCCTTGGCGATACGTCCTGCATCCCCCTTCACGCAAACATCCACCTTTTTGCCATCCACCTTGAGTACCTTGCCAATCATCCGAAGGCAGCATCCTTGCTTCGGTTCCACAGTTTCTGGATCCTTTAGGTCGCCGACTTGGATCACAGGTGAAGCAGAATGCGTGTTGAAAGTAAGTTCCATTAAAGTGGTATGTCCCATAAATCAAGTTCCTCAGATCCTCTTCCCAAGGATACTCCTGACCAGTGATTTTGAGATCAAACAAGTCATCACTCAGAACAGTTCCCCAGGGCCACCCACATGGCAGGATTGTAATTTGGTCGCCTCCCTCGTTTCCGAATTCACTCAGCCTTCGCTCGATGCGAATGACTGTCGCGGCGAAGGCTAGGTTGATTGGGTTGAATCGTTTGGTGAACCTTGAGTCGTCGAATATGTCCTTGCAGTCGTCCAAATTAAGTTTCTTCGCACCTGCGTGAGAAGACAGGACGGCGGCGGAGTCGGTCTCCTCCCAATAACACAACGAGCTGGAGCGTTCATTCATCTTCACCATGCCCTTTTCTATCTTAGCTTCATATTCGAATATGCTAATTGCGCCTGGCTACTCGAGCTCCAAAGCTCTCTCTAGACTTGGGTGACGGTCCAAGTAGGCTTGCGGTAGGTCACGCAAAGCGGCTCAAAGTTTGTGGCGTTTGACGATATGATCATGCGCTCCTCGCCAGTGACCCCAAATGAGATACTGCTCGATATAGCTAGGCTCTGTAGCATAGACTTGTTCAATCGTTTTCCCTTTATGCCTGCCGAAATCGAACTTGTAGGGACGTGGAGAACTGGGTGCTTTGCGGACTGGAGCCCGTTTCTTCGGAGGAGGAGCGGCATCGGAGGATGTGCCTTGTTGCCATCGGCGTTTCATACCGGCAGGCATGGTGACTACCACAATGAAGAATGTGCGTGTGGAATATGTTGAAGGTTAACAAAGACTTGCCAACCCCACCAGAAGACAAGAACTAGGCCGATGGACTTTAGAGGGAATCACAGTGCGAGAGTGGTAGCGAGCTCCAATGATCTCAGACGGAATGATGACGCGTTTACAAGGGTCATAACACGTCAACGTGTGGACGCACTCTAGCGAAAGAAGTAGAGGATAACTGATAAACTCGAAAAGACCTGGAGGTTGCTAATGACGTTCAAAGTGAATAATGATATGAAACAGTAATGATGCGAGACGAAGAGCAGAGATGAGAGGAATTTATCTTTGTGTCGAAATGAAGGTCTGAAGCTGGTCGTATGGCTTATCCTTGCACGGGTTGTGATACTTACGGCGTCATTTTGCCCAACCAAGCAAATCGAAAAGAACTTTCTGGAATCCAATATCCGGCCCCCTCAACCCTCTCACTCACGGGAATCCACGGAAACCACACATGGTGAAACTCTTGTAGTATTCAGTTTTTCGACGATGCAGAACAGTGTGCGTGAAGGGTTTAGCTCAATTCTCATTCTCATTCATTATTCTCAAGAGCTATCATCACAGCATCCTGCGTGTGTAGTTCAGACGCTCTTTGAAGCGACGTCGCCGATCATGTCATGCACGGGCTTTGCAACAACCCCTACTTTAGAAAGTTACGCCGAAGGGAATGCTAGAGGGCACACGCTCGCGAAGAGGAATACCACCTCGTGGAGCCCATTCCAGCGCATCGGGCGCTCGAGGATGCGCAATCCTGTTTATGTTGAAAATCCTCTGCTTCGCCAGCGCCACGTCCTTCTCCATACTACCATCATGACTCCTCAGCTCGGTAGAATATACGCCTAAATAACTAATCTCAACCCAGTCCTCCTCATCTCCATCTGCCAAAGGTACTCCGACAAGATCTCGCCACACTACTCTCTCAAAAAGATCGCTGACATAGCAGAAGTCGGCTTGCTTCAGCAAGGGCGCGTCTACAAGCTGGTCCAAGACCGGGAGCCAGTTATGCTCAATCGAGCAGTGGTGGAGTCGCAGGTAGACGAGCGTTGGAAGCTGACGGTGGAGGAGGTTCTTGATACCCTCATTGCACATGACCCAACCTGAGAGTACTAGGGATTGAAGTCTCCAGGTCTGTATGTCGTGTATCTCATTCCAGAGAGCCGTTGGCTGCGTGTTGTTGTCCCATGCATAGACCTTGCTAGCTTTATCCAGATAGAGGCGCAGAACCTTTAGGTTGCTGCAGTTACCCAAGAAACGCTTGAGTGCGGATACATTCGCCGGGTTTTCGTCAACGATGAATTAGTAATGATATACAGATCAACAGAAAATGGACTACTTACACTGTAGTTCGGATATGGTCAGAGTCATATTCACCAGCGTGGTAGCTAGAGGATGAGTGCAGGGAAAATGGAGGGAGGCGTGTAGTCCGATCCCGTCACTTGTACCCCAACCATGATGTCTCACTGTGTCAACACGGAAGATTCTGATAGGGCATTTTGCCCGTAGTATGGCGTCAAGGATTACTGTCGGTGGATGCTGTTTGATGCTATCTGCCAACACCTCGTACGGATAGCATTTGTTGAGGCTCTGGGCGACACAAATAAGGCGCAAAGTTGACGGGAACTTCTTCAAAGCCTTGACAAGCATGGCAGCTTTCATGGCGCCCTCTTTCGACGACTTCTTCCAAGATTCGTTGTCGATAGCCACGACAAGGTTTGACGTAGTTTGACCGGGAATTTCTGTCGTCGCCATGTCCCGTGCCGCTACGAACATGAGCGCACGGACCCGGTTCCGAGTAGCGGTCTTGGACAGACACAGCAGCTTCCGGATGCCTTCCTCACTGTACTGCACAATGTGCGTTCGGAATCCTCTGGTGAAATAGTGGTCGACTTTGGCGGCAATGGTCCGAGATGTCAAACCCAGAGGAAGGAGGTCGTTGCATTTGGATTCATGATACTTCTGTACGTACAACAATGGTTCGCCGTGATCGTATAGATGGATGAGATAGGAAGCTATCTGTTGTACCAGCTCTGTAGGTAGACGTTCGAAGTGCGAAAGTGGGTGCAACGGTGTGAGTTCACGGCTGATAAAACTTCCCGCGATGAATCCAAAACTCGTGAGTAACTTTTTGAGCATGAGTGTAATAGTTGATACTGTCGACTTTCCTTCAAGCGCTGTAGGAGTAGCCTCGTGCATGAGCGTTGAGTTGTCTAAAACTTTAGTAACGGCCGTGCCTGGCTCACCTGGTGGCTCCATGTCGGCAAGAGCGTTTGCCATCTTCGGTGTCGATGGGAAGTTATGGTCGGCAACTGGAGTTCGAGAAGAAAAAGATGGTGGTGGATTTACAGGGAGCTCTGGTGGCAAGAGTGGGGCTCGGAAGCAGCAGGAGGTGAATGGGAAAAGTGAGCGCGGAGCTACGTCACTTAGTCACCGACGAGACTCGACTGAACCCTGTGCAATCTAGAGTGTACCAGGTACACGAGGGAATTCGAGATGAAAGAAGAATGATGCAATAATTCAGGGTGGGGCTTGGTGAACGTTATCGCTCAGAATAAAACAAAAGATAGACATAACATCGATGGCAAAATGGACCACTGCTCAAGTGCATGTCTGCTCCAAAATGTTCTACCAGATCTCAGGTACCTTGACCTGCCGCAGATACATTACCGACTTTGTAGCCAAATTTCAACAAGTCCTGGCTCTCGATCTCGAACTTCTTCTGGAGCAGTTCATCGATATCCCATGTTGCACCCAGTAACCTTCCGCCCAGCCACATCCGCTTCTCATGGCTTAGCCATACACAGAACGCACCACAGAGGCTGACATCATCGGTGAGATCTACGCGGTCAGAATAATCGAGAAAGAACAAGAGAAGCAGACTCACAAGGTCGGAAGCTATCTGGGGTGGTCTTATCTGCCATTTCCGTATTAACAGCGCCTGGGTGCACAGCTACAGCCAGAATACCGTCTTTGCTATACTGTTCCGACAAAAACTCAACCAGTCGAGCTTGTGCGAACTTTGAAATGCAGTACGCAGTGTTGGCGATATGCCCGTTGATGATGCAGGAGGCAAATGAATTAATAGCAATGAATGTCTTAGCGCCGTGACTCTCTTTCAACAAAGGAATGAAGTGGTGTGCAATAAGATATGCTCCCTGAATATTGATATTGAACACATCCTGGAAATCTTGCGGGTTGCCTTCATCCATCTTGAGTACCACCGGTCCTGAATACCCAGAGTTGAAAATGACAATGTCTAGTCTCCCGAATTCCTCTCTCACGCTTGTCGCAAGCTGTGCGACACTTTGATTTGAGGTGATGTCGACTGGTAGACTCTTGACGGAGACCGAGGGGTTCAGAGCTTTAGCTTGCTGTGTGACTGCTGCTATTTCTTCGGCGGAGGAAGGCCGTGCCGCAAGAATCAGGGAGGCAGCACCGGCTTGCGCGTATGCGCATGCTATTCCGGCCCCGATTCCACGAGATGCGCCGATAACGAGGACGTTTAGCGCATTTGGCAATGTATTATGGCGAGGATCCAGAGCTTGGCTTGGTTTGCTATGCTTCGTACTTGTGAAACCGCTGGCAAGTGTAACATCTTTCGGAAGTGAAGACATGATCGGAGATTCTTGTTGTCAAGTTTTGTCAAAATGTAGTATCTCGGGGGTTGAAGTACGATCTTCATCTCGTTGTGCCTATCTCGCTAGAAAATGAGTCATGTTGAGCCATACTCCACAGCACATGAATCGGCCCAGTCCAGAACCTAATCACTCGGGCTGTATTTGCATCTGAGTTAAGAGCTTGACTCCAATCATCAAATTGTGAAAAGTGATACGACCAAGGCGTGACGGTATCTATGTCTTCTAACTCGTGAGAGCGTCTGTAAATTGCGTATGCCCAGGATATAGGCGAAAACGTAAGCGCACTATATGGCTGCAGAGAACGAATTACCAAGGCCTTGGTACGGCTTTATCTACCCAGATAGTTTTCACACTGAGGTCTTTTAGTGGACTGAGGCCAAACTCTCTGATTGCCCATAACCGTAGGCTTGAATATTGATGTGTACCTATGCCAAGCAAGCACAGCAATCCAAGATTGTGTGATCTCTAAGCAACTATACATATGCACGCATTAAGATTCTCTGTCTTTGCTCATTTGATGGCGATAGAAAATGCGATGTTGCGACAATTGAATTGCACGATACTCGTCTGGAAGGGGCGCGGTGACAGTATCCTGAACTGGGCCAGGCTGGAATGGGTTTAGTGGTGGTAGTAGCGGTGGCGGCGTCGTCATCCGCCAAGTGCACCGCCCTCCTTCAGCCACAAACTCCAACTCGAAGAGGTATCTCAGCGCCGGAGAGCCTCATATCGCCAAGAATCCCGCTAGACATTTAGGTGCCAAGTATTTGATAGAGCTATCAGATTAAGGCTTCCTGCATCCTCGCACCACTCAGACTCGCCCAATATCCGCGCCTTCCGGCCCAACGTCACAGTTCCTCTACATAACATCAACACGCCCTTGGCAGCACTGTACACCTGCTGTATGTTCAGCTTCAGCAGGTCGTCATAGTTTCTAGGACTTTGCGCTGCTTGGCAGGCATCATAATTACGGCATTACGACAAATAAGCGGCTGGCTGCCCTGTCCGAACTCGATCATGCCCTATCTCATCGAATACATCCACCGTTCGATCCAAATTTCAGAGATACTACGCGAACGATATCTACCATGTCTAAGCACCACCCGGGAAGTTGGGTCGCCCACAGCAAAGCAGACATCGACCCCACAGACCTCCCATGGGCCCTCACAACACATCTCCTCGCTATCAATCATCAACAATTCCTCCGCGCAACCAAAGACCCCTTCCTAGAGCGCGCCGCAAAGGGCACCCTGCCCAAGCCATTGATAGCGCAATGGCTTGCCAACGATAGACAGTACCTCCAAGGCTATCTCTCTACTATTAGTAATACCCTCAACCTGATTCGCAGTACACATAAACCGACAACTGCTCCTGGCGCTGAACCAGAAATTGAGACTCGCTTGATCTCGTGGCTGGAGGCTGGCATCAAGAATGGCGAGAGGGAGATGCGCCTCTTTCAGGAAGTTGCCGAGATCTACAACATCGATATCCATCCCTCTCCTTTGCCGGATAATATTAAATCCGAGGGTCTACGTCGCTACGAAGCTCTCTTCGCAAATGTAGCGTCACAAGCACCAAACCCTTTTATCCCCTGGCTAGAAGGCGTCGTTCTACTTTGGTCAACCGAAAAGGTGTACTACGATGCATGGTCCTGGGCGCGTCGCCAGGATTCTCAATCTTTACCCCGAAACTACGAAAACGACCAAGACGGCGGTGCTATGCGTAGGGAGTTTATACCCAACTGGTCAAACCGCGACTTCATGATGTTCGTTGAGCAGCTTGAGCGCATCCTCAATGAAGGCGTGACAAGCGCCGTGAACCGCAACGAAGAGAGTTGGACGAGCGTCAAAAGCAGAGCAGATCCCATATGGCGAGCGCTGCTTGATGCCGAAGAGGCGTTTTGGCCAGTTGTGCCTGGTGGTGAGGGGAGCTTGGTTGAACCTGGTGTCAGACGGGGCGCAGACGGGAAGATGGACGGAACCACACTACGTAGCACTGGAGATGATGAGGTATTGAATGAGAAGCAAGGCGTTCGAGCGGGTGATATCACGACGCTGCACAGCAACGAGCATGGCGGGGCTATAATGGATGAAAAGCATAGGGTGCAAGGTGGAGATGTCAAGTGGAATGGCCATGTCCCGTTGGTATAGATAGAGGTGTCTGTGTTTTCTTGCTGAATACGAACAATAATATGATTTTGCAAAATACCCATTCCTTGATGTAGAAACCATGGGCATAAACGCCAGAAACTCGGGCCGATGTTAGTCCGTCTAGGGGCGGTTAGCGTGGTTCCATAGCTTGGACTTGCGATTTTTCATCCAGCCACAGCGAAAAGTTCGAGATCATTGCATCGCCAATTGCACACCACCAACCAATACCATAATCGCCATGGCTCTCGTGCAGACCGACCCCGACGCGTATGTGATTAAGCCAGCGGCGGCTGCGCCTGCCATCGACACCAGCGACTGGCCGCTGTTGCTCAAGAACTATAGCGACTGTATGCTGCAGCTCCCGATATAGCTCCAGAATACTCTGCTAATGGCCGTATAGTGCTCGTTCGCACATCCCACTACACTCCTATTCCTAATGGATGCGCGCCATTATCGCGAGACCTCAAGTCGTACATTAGCTCTGGTGTGATCAACCTCGATAAGCCCTCCAACCCGTCTTCGCACGAAGTCGTGTCATGGATCAAGCGCATGCTGAGGTAGGTAGAGCCGTAGTAACCCGTCGCATGTAGAACCAGCTAACATTACTTCAAGGGTTGAGAAGACTGGCCACAGTGGTACTCTTGATCCCAAGGTTACCGGTTGCTTGATCGTTTGCATCGATCGCGCCACCCGTCTCGTCAAGTCCCAGCAAGGTGCCGGAAAGGAGTACGTGTGCGTGATTCGCCTGCACGATAAGCTGCCTGGAGGCGAGGCACAGTTTGCGCGCGCCCTTGAGACGCTTACCGGAGCTCTTTTCCAGCGCCCGCCGCTGATTTCTGCCGTCAAGCGCCAACTCCGCATCCGAACCATCCACGAAAGCAAGCTCTACGAGTTCGACAATGAGAGGCAGTTGGGTGTATTCTGGGTCAGCTGCGAGGCTGGGACCTACATTCGTACTCTTTGCGTACATCTTGGTCTTTTGCTTGGTGTTGGTGCGCATATGCAGGAGCTTCGCCGTGTGAGGAGTGGGGCTATGGACGAGACCAAAGACCTTGTCACTCTGCATGACGTTCTTGACGCCCAGTGGCTGCACGACAACAACCGTGACGAGGCCTATTTGCGCAAGGTCATCGCACCTCTCGAGAGTCTTTTGATGAGCTACAAGCGCATTGTCGTAAAGGACAGCTCGGTAAACGCAATCTGCTACGGAGCCAAGCTCATGCTCCCGGGTCTGCTGCGATTCGAGAAGGGCATTGAGATCCACGAGGAGGTTGTTCTCATGACCACCAAGGGTGAGGCTATCGCGCTTGCCTACGCGCAAATGTCAGCCGTCGAGATGTCTTCATGCGACCATGGTGTAGTTGCGAAGATCAAGCGTGTCATCATGGAGCGCGATCTCTACCCCAGGAGGTGGGGTATGGGCCCAGTTGCTACTGAGAAGAAGAAGATGAAGGAGGCCGGCACGCTCGACGTAAGTTGCTACCTGCTTGATCAATGAGAAGGAGCTAACATGTTCAGAAATTTGGCCGACCCAACGACAAGACGCCTGCCAAGTGGAACACTGAGTACAAGGACTTTAACAGGAACGACGTTGACGGCGCCTCGGCACCCGTTGCTCAGACTACATCGACTGCCGAAGTCCTCGCTGCTCCTGCCATCCCTGCGACCGGTCTTACCTCAACAGAAGAGGCTGAGGCGGAAGCCGAAGCCGGTGCTGCCGATGCGGACTCGAAGAAGAGCAAGAAGCGCAAGAGCCGAGGTGACGGCGAGGAAGAGGCCGACGAAGACAAGGCTGAGCGCAAAAAGAAGAAGAAGGAAGAGAAGGCTGCAAAGAAGGCGGCAAAGAAGGACAAGAGAAAGAGCAAGGGCGGTGATGACAGCGACTCCGACTAATCGACTACGTAAAAGATGCAAGCCGTATAGCGAACAGCGCTTATCGCCGTTGCCTGTATAGGCGTTGTACACCAGGGCTGTGTACATGTCATAGCTACTACTCTATCTCTGGATACCAGCTTGTTCAATGTAGCATACGGAAAATCAGCGTGTGGGAAAAAATGGCGTTTGGGATTTGGCATGGCGGCGTTTTCTGGCGCGTCTAAAGCTTCTGCGACAAGGTGTGGTCGATTGTGTTGATGTGCGACATAGCTCATTTCATTCACATGTTCAATTCACAGTTTTCAATTACGTTCACACATCAGTGTCTGTGCCTTGAAAGTGAAGGTTCGACTGCTCTAACATCATTGCGCTTTCCCACCCCCCCACGACGCGATCTGATGGGTGCAAGCAGCACCGCGCGTATTTAGGTCTAGCAAGCACGGGCAGTTCAAGAAAACTCGATTCGAGCGAGCCCACCTGACCTTGTAGTGCGCTAGTATGGCCATGTAGCTGCGTAGCAACAGTGTAGTCTGCGCATGATTCTGACGACATTGGTGGTAGATTGAATGTTCCAATCGAAGAACGCGCAGCCATCGAGACGCTCAAGCAGGATGTTGCATCCGATGCTGAGTTTGTTCTTCCCTCAGGACATGGATAGGTATGTTGTGTTGTCGCGCCACACTGGCTGGTGACGTCGGTCGCTATTGATTTGGCAAGAAGATCAAACAACAGACCAGCCATAGATGATGTAGTGATAGTAGTACTTGGAGTCCCACAATAAGTTTTGTGTATCAAGTCGGTCATATCAAGGCGGAGTGGAGGTGAAGCTGTTCGCCCTGGGTGGGCGATACACATCAAGTAACACAACTAAGGTCGGCAGGTGCGCGATAGCATCCCACCAACACGTCAGTCAAATGCCCATGGTAGAATTTACCAGGTTTCTAATTCCGATGCGCATGATGTATGACATGGCTTATTGTCCTAGATGCTTTTGTTGAGACAGATCATTGTAGTTGAAGCTTCGAGAAGCTTCTCTATGTTCCCGAGTTGCGCGACGGGCCCCGACGTCACCACTAGCGCCGTTTGACGAGTGGAGAGACATGCGAAGCTCGAGTGATTAAAGCGACAGCAATCTCAGAAGCATCCACCATACACGTCTACCTTTACTACCCATACACGGAGTACGCTTCTTTCTTAATCAGTAGAGTTCAAAATGGTCAAGGAGACCAAGCTTTACGACTCATTAGGTATGTTTGCCTCGGATGTGCCCCTCCACCGCCGTGCTTCATTCAGTAGGAAGCGGGCAGGACAGGATGCATGAGCTTTACGGTAGACAAGCAGCCTTTGCTAACTATTCTGCAGGCATTTCAGAAACCGCGACGCAAGATGAGATCAAGAAAGCATACCGCAAGGCGGCGCTAAAATGGCACCCCGACAAGAACAAGGACAACCCGCAAGCTATGGAGAAGTTCAAAGGTATGTCTAATACCTTCATATACGTATCCTATACAGATCTCGAATACTAATGACGTATGCAGAATGCTCACAGGCCTACGAAATCCTCTCCGATCCCGAGAAGCGCAAGACCTATGACCAGTACGGCCTCGAATTCATACTACGCGGCGGCGTACCACAAGAAGAAGGCGCGGGCCCCGGGGCCAATCCGTTTGCAGGTGCAGGAGGTGCAGGAGGTGCAGGAGGCTTCCCTTTTGCATCGTCCGGCGGAATGCCCGGTGGCACACGATCCTTCCATTTCTCCACGGGCGGCGGTGGAAACGGCTTCAACTTCTCCAGCGCTGACGACATATTCGGAGAATTCATGCGCAACAGCGGCGGCGGCGGTGATGAGTTCGATTTTGGTGGCTTTGGTATGGGCGGCATGCCTGGCGGAATGGGAGGTATGGGCGGCGGAGGCGGTGCTGCAGGTGGAAAAGGCGGGCGATTCAGGGGTGGGCGACGAGCACCAGAACCCGAAGTCACTGTTGTGGAAAAACCGCTCGCTGTAAGCTTAGAAGAGCTATACAACGGCACGACGAAGAAGCTCAAGATCAAGCGCAAGACATATGATCAGAGCACAGGGAAGCAAAGTACACAAGACCGGATTCTCGAAGTGCCTATCAAGAAGGGGTTGAAGGCGGGCAGCAAGATCAAATTCTCAGATGTTGGGGATCAAGTTGAGGGCGGCACGCAGGATCTTCATTTTATCGTCTCAGAGGTAAGCGCTATCCATTTTCCTCAGATTTCGCGAAGAACTCCAACTAACATGGCCATAGAAACCCCATGCCATGTTCACCCGCGAAGGCGACGACGTCAAGCACATCATCGAAATCGATCTTAAAGAGGCACTCACCGGCTGGCGTCGCACTGTACAGACTATCGACGGCAAACAACTCAGCGTTGGCAGCGGCGGCCCTACAGGCCCCAACTGGACGGAACGATATCCCAACCTGGGCATGCCCAAGTCAAAGAAACCAGCAGAACGGGGAGACTTTGTAGTAGGCGTCAAGATCAAGTTCCCAACCAGCTTGACAAGCACGCAGAAGGAGAAGCTAAAGGAGATTCTGTAGTTACAGAAGGACGCAGAAGGCTCTATTTCTTGGTACATGTTCTTTCTATTTTCTTATTTTTTCATAAATATTTCGACGGACAAAACCGCAAATGCTCAAAGCGAGCGAGAGCAAGGAAGGAAGGCGTTTATTTTACTTTTCGGTGGATGCTTTGCATACGACCAAACTTTTAGTTTGAGAAACGGGGCTGGGTGAGGGAAGGTGGGGATGTCACGAGCAAAGCACAAATGCTGTGCGTGTGGGCTGAGAGGTCGAGGACGAAGCAACGAGAATACGATATGATAGATGAATCAACGAACTTACTTCTACATAGTTTTGTACCTGTCTAGAGATCAACTCTCGTTTTGGTACCTAAGTTGGCAACACATGAATAACTAATCGCGGCATCAATGTCTCCGCAGTTTCTGCGTCTTGCATCGTATTTGTTCCTGTCTAGAACCCAGCTGCCAATGCATGTAATCACCCTAATTATGGCGTTACGTATGATGCAGTCGGAGTTGGAGACCCCGACAGTGGTGGCGACATTGACCCTGGGGCCTGCGCCTCACTTAACCTCGCCTTCCCCACACTCCAGGCACTCACCAACCTCTCCTCTCCTGGTAACACAAACCCATCATGGCACCGGCCGCGGTGCATTTACATAGACTGGTGGTCAAGAACGCGAAAGCGTTCAAGTAAGTTTGCGTGGTATACCTGATCGTTGGGTCGCGTACTGACAAGCACAGGGCCGCCTGGAAACATGCCGCGAAACTCATACAGAAACAACTACCTGAATCCACACGACCCGCGGATGCGGTTCTACAGCCCATTCTTGCTCGCAATGTGCCAAAACACCCTCTTCATCGTATTGCCTACCTCAAGCAAAGCAAGGGCCGATGGTACACCACCCACTGCCAGATCTCTGCCGCTGTTCGACGATTCACTACCTCTGCTGCGCGCAACTCGGGCGTGAAGTACGAAAAGGCCTCTTTCCCCAAGTCACGTATTGGAAGCATCGTCACTGCTCAGGCTGGTCGCGCACCGTTTGCATCGACTCTTCGCCCAAACCTGACTGGTGGTACACTTGGACGCACCTCGGGAGGTTATGCATGGGGCTCCGGCAGGGCTGGAGGTGCGCGATACTTCTCGCATGGTCCTGCAGCGCCAGCTCAGGTCATCAATAACGTCTCTCAGGCCGTACGAGCCTTCCTTGTTGGGGGAAACAAGGCTCAGTTCGATGGAGTCAACCCCCACAATGGCGAGAAGCGCTTCAAGACAGTCTCGGCGCTTCAAGATCAAGTCAACCGCACCCTGAACAAGGTACCCAAGACTACACCGGGATCCTACATCAGCTTCAACATCAACCCCACTGTTACCGCTCTTACTCCCCTGAAGGCTGTCAAGGGTTTTGCCTCGTTCGCGCCGGAGAAGGAGACCCTCAACAGCAGCGGCCTTCTTGACGTTTTGTCTGTCGACTTCTCACGGGCAGTCAAGGAACTCGCTGCAGTCCTCAAGGATCTGCAACAATTAGCACAACTAGGTGATCTACCTATCACGTACGAAAACTCAAAGTTCAAGGTGCACTTCCCTGGCTGCGACGCGCAATCAGTAGAAACGATATGCAACGATCTTGGGATTACGCGAGGTACAGTACATGAAGACGAAAGTTTCAACTCGTTCGTTGGTACCGACATCGCTCTCATGTTCCCTTTCGCCCCAAGTCAGACACCTTCGGAATGTTCTTTCTACGAAAAGCCTGTTGAAACCCGCCAACATGTACAAGCCAACATTGACTGGACAAACATGCTTTCACCCTCCGTTACCGACCCAGAAGACTACTCCACTCACTCGGAACAAAGCTACGACCCACTTGACGACGTCGTTACTGAGAATCCGTGGTTGTCGGTTTCCTCGCCTTCAGGATACGACAGCTTACATACTAGCGAAGCAGATGACATGGACATGGATATTCCATTGGAATACCAGGGTGTCGAGGGTATGTATAGATTCATGGCTCACTGCGAGTCGCGATAGATGGAGTTGATGAATGATGATACCTTTTTTGCTTAGACTGACGGACGGAGTTGGGCAATCTTTTCTCTCCTATGTAGCATCCAATTAAATACAACAAACTAAACTCATCAATGATTACTCATAGTTCAGGGCGACCGGCTATGCGCGCCGGTAACGGCGATGGCCCCGTCATCATCGTCATTGCACGCCCGCATCGGATTGTGTATTGCTATTCAGACGGTTACTACCCTAGCACAGCCGCCTACCTGTCTGATTGTAGTCTCCAAGGAGCGCTTTTTCCTTACCTCTTGAATATGCAACGGACTTGTGTATTTCCGTATTCTGATGGGGACGTGATTGCCCCCAAACTCGCATTAACCGAATTCGGCGCCGAGGGGCGTGATAGCGTCAAATTTTGGGTTATTCCCGGGTAAAGGCGTAGAATGCAACCTCCGGAGGTTGAGTTACAATGACTCCCACATTTGCGATATCGTTTGTGCTCTTCAATCATGGCTAGTCCCTTTCATTCAACCTGACTTCTCATCATAGATATCCATCGTCATCACTCTTGACACATTCTTTCTGTTGAACCTGGTGTGCAAACCCGTTATTTCCGGATTGAGAGCAGCCATGACGCCGATTCCATCAGAGCGACGTGATCAAGAGGAGGAATTGCCTGGATATACAAAGGACGAACAAGTCATTATAGACGGCACGCAAGAACGGACACCAGTCAACGAAGCTATAGAGGAGAGAAAAGTCGATGTGCCTCCCAACGGTGGCTATGGCTGGGTATGCATAGCAGCCGTCGCAATCATCAACGCCCATACATGGGGCCTAAATTCAGCCTACGCAGTCTTCCTCGCCTACTATCTATCCAACAACGTCTTCCCAGGCGCCACACCCCTTCAATACGCCTTCGTCGGCGGCCTGTCTATCTCGCAAGCACTCATCATCGCCCCCATCGCTACACTAACTACCCGCCATTTCAGCACACGTACGACCCTCCTCATCGGCGTGGCTTTGGAGACGTCCTCGTTCATCGGCGCGAGCTTCGCTTCCCAAACCTGGCATCTGTTTCTCAGTCAAGGAATCTGTTTCGGCTGGGGCATGGGCTTCCTATTTGTAGGCTCAGTAGGCATACCCGCGCAGTGGTTCTCAACGCGTCGCTCCCTTGCAACCGGGTGCTGTACTGCTGGCTCTGGGCTCGGCGGCCTCGTGTACTCGCTCTCTGCACAGGCTATGATACGCAATATTGGCCTGCCCTGGGCGTTTCGCACACTGGCTGTTATTGCGTTTGTGGCGAATACGGCGAGTGCACTGCTTATCCGCGACCGCAACAAACAGATTGGGAGCAACCAGCTTGGGTTTGACTATAGGCTTTTCAGGAAAGTCGAGTTTCTGGGTCTACTGATGTTTGGGTTCTTGTCTATGCTGGGATATGTGGTTTTGCTGTTTTCGCTGCCGAATTATGCAAGGACGATTGGGCTTTCGAGTCAGCAGGGCTCGGTCATTGGCGCTGTGTTCAACCTGGGTCAAGCGCTTGGTCGGCCGCCGATTGGATATTTCTCTGATTCCATTGGGAGACTGAATATGGCGAGTAGCATGACGTTTCTCGTCGGCCTTTTCTGTCTAGTCATCTGGATGTTTGCAAAGACGTTTGGGGTGCTGGTGTTTTTTAGTTTGGTGGGTGGGACGGTTGCGGGTACATTCTGGGCGACAGCTGCACCGGTGACGACGGAGGTCATGGGACTGAGAGATTTGCCGAGCGCGTTGAGTATTACTTGGCTGGTGCTTGTGCTGCCTACTACTTGTATGTTCACTTGATTGGGTAACATTGTCGTTGCTAACGTTTCTGACAGTCTCGGAACCCATTGGTCTAGAGATTGTGGCTTTCAACGGTGGAAGCTATACTGGTGCTATATTGTTCACGGGATGGATGTACATTGGTGCAGCGGTAGTCTTGTGGCTGGTAAGGGCGTGGAAGATTGGGGAAGATGAGAGGATGGATGATGTTGCGGCCAGGAAAGGGAGAGAAAATGGTGTTGGAGCTGGCACTGACAATGACAAGGGAAAGTTGGAAAGGAGTGGCTTTCTGAAGAGGATGTTTGTGATTCGCAAGGTTTGAGAGGCCGCGAGACATGTCACATGACGTCATATTGCATTAGTGGCGCATAAAAGGTGCTGTTATGATTGCATTTGCGTGTAGAGTTCGAGAGACCAAAGTCTGCTAGTTGTGGAGTGATGAGTGATAATTTCGCTCGTAAGTCAGTATGGTTGAATTTCTCCGCCCAAACGTACAGTAAGAAACCAGAGTTTCGGCGGGTTATTTTCATCTATGCGCAGGCCGCAGAGAGGACAGATAGATGCGTATCCGTATCCGGGTCTGTTGCTCTGGTGGTCTGTTCACCAGAAAAAGCCCATGCATTCTACAAAGTTGATTTTACGTTTCACGCTGCTGAAACTGCAGTATGATACTGCCTGCAGCGTCACCCCCATCTGTCACTGGCCCGGAGGAGAAGAAGGAATTACGGCAGCAGCCTCGAAGCATCCATATCCCTGCCGCAGAGCATTAGTTCCCGCCGTCTAACAGCTAGTCAGGACCCCTTTCTGCATGTCCGCCCATTTGCATCGTGGTTCGCATGCAAAAGCACAGTGTGATGGTGGTGTCGAGACGGATGCGCGGGGAAGACTGGAAAGATGCAGTCGCAGTGGTGGACAGAGGACTGTCATCCAGTCGCTACCGAAGTGCTAGCTCCCACTGACGCACATGAAAATATGTCGTGCCAGCGTGTGATTGGCTGCAAAGGGCAGATCCATTTGCAAAGCACCCGGGACTATTGGCCTCGTCCAAATATTGTGGTCATGGTTAGTCAATATCGTGCACTCAGCCCGTCTAGATGGATGGATGACAAGTCGACTCTCCGCACATGACAACAACAAGATTGAACAGACAAAGGGCCAACGCCGTGCAACACAGTCAAAGGCACGTCGTCGTCAACGTGCAGCAACTCGAGTGCGACGTTCCCATGTGGCCTTCGCATGCTCGGCGTCTTCACCAGGGCATCCCTGCATAGCGCCGGATTGGACCCCCTGACGCATGCCAACTGGCACTACACGGCTGACTTTAGCCTTGCCTGCTCTCCTGTCCGTGTCCGCATTTTGTCGACGACATTGGCACGCCTTTGACTGCCACTTCTTCATCCGTTGTTACCTGCTGCTCCGGGATGTTCGCTCGTCCTGTTGTCTCCAGAATCGTACTATCCCACCTTATGTCGCTCTTTTAGCTGGCCGTTAGCCTTTCCTTGTATTATACATAATCAAACTGCGTCACTGATCCTCGTCCGCCCGAGTCCCTTCGCGTTCCCTTGCTCCAAGCAGCGACGACGACATTTTTGGAGCAATTTTGTCGCATCATTGGCGCGTGCAGCACTCAAAAGGGACGTGTTGCACTTCATCAAAGTTGTGCACGCTTAGTAGGACCCTTGAATGCAAGCTCGACGGTACACGTCGTCTTCGCTGCAGCCGCCCTCGTCGCCTCCATTTGCCCCCCAGTACTTTGGCGAAGCGTCCAGCCCACCAGAGGCACGCGAGCCAGTCTCTCCCACCTGGACTGCCCCCTCGCCCACTCGAACCCTTGGGCACTCGAGCCCCGAGCTTCCACTTCTTCCGTCCTTTTCCGTCCTTGGAAACAGGCCCCGTACGCCGTCCACCGCCGCGCGACGCGATCGAACAGACACTTCGTACTATACGGCAAGCTGGGGCAGTCCGTACCGACACCCGCCTCCCACTTTCGACCCCTCCCGCGTCGTCTCGACCAACTTTGGCAGCGACGACTTTGACGAGGAATCATCCGGCCTCCAGTTCGGCCTTGGACATTTGCTTCCATCGCGACTAGATTTGGAGGAAGACTCTCCTAATCGGTTCAACCTCGAGCATCTGATTCCCCGATTGGACCAGGACGCATCGCCAATTCAGTTTAGCCTTGAGCATCTCATCAGATCGCGCTTGCCTAACTTAGAGACACCGACTAAAGAATCACGCGCCTCCGGCTCTACTCCTCGACCGTCTGACCAGAATCCTACCTCGGAAGAGTGGGTTCAGAAGTTTTTGGAACAGCGTTGGAACCGCGAAACAAACGATTGGCGGAGCAACGACAGCGATACTGAGGCATCTGCTGAGGAAGCAGACGTCCCTATCGCTGCTCCACTGAAACGTGGGCACAGAGACAGGAACACCAACAAGACACTGAATCAGCAGGACTTTTGGCGCCACTTTAGCAAAGATCAGAAGGAAGCACTCGGCAAGATGATGGCCTCAAAGTACGCGGACCCAGAGCCCATTGCACAACCCAGGCGGACCTCGGGAACAACTGCCATACAGGAGATAAACGGACTTAGTCCCACGGCTGAAAAGACGCCAATGCCGACACCCATGAAGGCGCCCAAGCCGGCGGAAGAGACACCCAGCAAAGCAACGAACGCTGGCGCTTTCAAGGCGAACCAGGAAATAATGAACAAACCACTTCCGGATCCCCCAGCCACGTCACTTTTGGCTCCGCCGGGCGCAGCGCCTGCTCAGGTACCTCGGATGCGTAAGAAGATTATGGTCAAAGGCAAGGGATGCATCATCTCGATACCCCGCGACATCCCCAGGGGTACATCCGGGTTCCCTCCGAAGCCCATGAGTGCTGCGGATGTAGACAACAAGCTTAGACAACTCGAACAACAAGGCTACGATATTCGCGGCTTCAGCACCGGCGGCCAGGAGACACACAACCGCGCCATTTGGCCGTCAGAGGCCGACGTGCAAGCAGAGCGTGCCAATGCGGATTCACGATACAAGGTCCGCGTCTCGAAACTATCCGAGTGGAAAGACTATGAGAACTCTTTGCTCGAGGCGAAGCTGGCTGCACTCGGTGTCAGCATGGGTGGTGAAGAGGACATACCGCTTCCCCTATCTCGAACAGCGTCGTCTCACCCGGGGCAGGTATTTTCTCCGCCGCTGCCTACTTCTTCGGCTGGCAGTCTTCGTATGAACAGGCAAGGAAGTATCGCTGGCTTCCCATTCGGACCATCGCCAGGACACATGTCACGACAATCTATCGCGTCTCCAGCAGCTTTCGGAAACCCCCGAGCAAACATGCACATGCACCGCCATTCGACTTTCGGATCACCTGCGAACTTGAACTTTCCTCAGCATGGCTATTCGCCGTCTGGTACCTGGTCTCCAAGTGGCTACTTCAATGTTCAGGACGGCCGCAGTGGGTCGCCTGCTCATCCTTTGAGCCGACCTGATCTTGCCGGTCTCATCTCGCCCATTTCCCCATTCGGAATGAGACCCAACCAGCAGTTTCCCATTACACCGCAACGTGATGACTTCCAGTTACACATACAGATGCAGCAGCAGCAACTACAAGCCCAACTTCTTCAGCAACAGCAGCAGCAACAGCAGCAACAGCAGCAGCAGCAACCGGTTCTTGGATTGCGACCGGCGTCCACACTTGCTGAAGTGCCTGAGGATGAAGACGAGGAGGACGAAGTGCCGGCGATGAAGCATGCCGCCAAATCCACGACGGAGATTGCTGTTCCGACTCCTCGAAGCCATCGCCATAACCTCAGCGAGAACCTTGAACGTGAGGCGGCAAACGAAGAGTATCACTTGGAAGAAGCCATCGACAAGCAATTTGCGGAGGGAGGAGACTTCAGTACGGAACCAGAGACCAACGTCCCGTTCAAACCCTCCAATGCTGTGGCTAACCCCACGTGGGAGGACTCTCGTACCATCTTGCATCAGCCTCAGCCGCACAGCAGGGCTCACTCGCTCGCCAAGTCACAGAAGCCGGTATCGTTCTCATTCCCAGCACAAGCGCAAGCGCAGCAGAACCCCCGTACCGAAAGCGATGGTGCGCGCACAAACATCTCCGAAAACACAAACCCCAGCTTGGAGGATGGAGAGGCCCGCACTACGCAGCACTCAAAGGCGCCATCGCAGGTCAGCAACTCGTGGAAGGACAACAAGTTTGCTTTCAGCAAGCCCACGTCGGCCATGCACAGCAAGCACACATCGCGATCGTCTGTGTCGAAGCTCAATGTTGAAGCTAAAGAGTTCAAGTTCAACCCATCGGCATCATTCAGCCCGGGTTCGTTCTCATCAGGTTTTAGCAGTTTTGGACCGGCCGTCAAGTCTCCCGCCGATTCGGTCGCCCCGAGCAACGCACAGCCTGCTATCAATGGGCTGGCAAACTTCAACATCACCGCTCCTACATTCAAGCCTGATGCGCCGACATTCAAGCCTGACGTTCCAACCTTCAGCCCGGTGGCGGAATTCCCTGTTGTCAATGCTGCTATGAACAACTCTGCATTTCCAACTGGTGGTTTCAACTTCTCTAGTCCGCCGACTTTCAAGCCGGACGCTCCTGTGTTCAACCCTGGTGTGTCAGCATTCAACCCCAACAAGCCAGCTACTGCCCCAACAACTTTCTCATCCAAGATCTTTGGAGATGTCACTCTCTCTGCTAGCGACATTGTTAAGCCAGCTACGCGCTCAAAAGCTGTTCCCATCGTACGTCCCGACAACACGCGCCAGAAGACGCCCGAGGTCGGAGAAGACCGGGAGAACCGCGAGGATGAGGCTGGCCGGCCCATGCAAGCTGATGGCCGTGAGAAGCGCGTCCGACGTGATCGAGCTGACGGAGATGACGTGCCCAAGTTTGCAATTCAGCCCGTGCTCCAATCCCAGCCTTTGGCTCAGTTCAAGGAGCCTACTGTTACTAAGCCAGACTCTGAGATCGAGCAAGAGGAGCTTGATACAGACAAGGAGAACCTCTCGCCTGACGTCAAGCGACCAACTAAGTCGAAGTCAAAGAGCCCTGAGCCCTTATCGAGAAGTACAGCTCCCTTTGAGCCCATTTCTCCCGCCCCTATTTCTCCTGCTCTTGAAAGCGATGCAGCTGCGGACGATGACACGCCTCATGCAAGTGACGTACATACGCCTACGACTGAGGAACCCGTGCCTGGCTCCAAGACGCATGGCCATAAGAGCACACTTTCGGCCAATGCCAAACCATTCGAACTCCGACCACAGTTCAGCAGTGCTGGCTACGATTTCGGCTTCCACGTTACGAAGCCCTCCCAAGTTGAAGATCCCGAGAAGACCCAGGTGTCGCCTCCCCGGTCACGACTCGCAAGCAGGAGCCCGGCCACTACCTACCGACCCAGCGATGACGGCTCCTTCAAGACGGCCATGGAGTCTGGCAGGCATGCGGCACGCTACACTGAGAGTGAGAGCGCTGACTTCGACAACCTTGGTGATGCTTCTTTCAACGATATTGATGCTGTTATGAAGCATATGGATGGAGAGGGCTCAGACTTTGGCGTTGAGCGCGACGAGACCTCTTGGGATCAATCATCGCCTCAAAGAACTCCCAATGTGTTTGAGCGTACCGATCTACAGCCAAACTTCAAGCTGCGCAGTGACGCGCCTAGCCCAAGTCCCCGCCGTGGATTCTTCCCCGGTCGCGTCATACCCCCAGGCTCTGCAACATCTGTGCAGGATCCGTTTGATAGCGAGCGAGCTGCACTCCCGTACGAGTCTCCTGTGCGCCACTTGAACGGTGTTGTTGAAGATGGACCTGTTAGCGACTGGGACACTGAGGATGAGATCAAGGTCCAAGCGCGCAGTGGCTTCTTCGACAAGCATGTTGATGACCTCATGGGCCGTCTTCTGCAAGACCGCCTTGGCCCGCTAGAGCAGAACCTGCAAGGCATCCAAGAGACGCTTGCCTCCATCTCGCAGCATCCAGGACGTGGCCGACGCAGCTTGTCGACCAACGAACGCCTGGACAGTGACGCTGATGACGAAGATGATGACGCCGCTATTGACCATGTCGACTACCGCACCCGCTCCCGTGGCAGGGACAGGAGGTTGGAGAAGATACGATCTATTGTTCGCGACGCGCTTGAGACGCACCAATCACAGATCACCTCGCTACCAGTCCCAGTACCCGAGCCAATGATCCCAGAGAAGATCCGGGAGATCGTCACTGACGCACTTGCGCAACACCAGCCATCCGTGCAACCCGTTGAACCTGATCAGATCCGTGCCATTATCCAGGATGCCATTGCTGCCAACAAGCCCGAACCACAACAGGCGCCTGAACCCCTCAAGCCCGAAGATATCCGTTCCATCCTTGCCGACATGCTCGCAACTCATGCTCCCCAGCCCGTGGAGGCAGTCAAACCTGACGATATTCGATCCATCGTCATGGAGGCGTTTGAGACGCACGCTCCTCAGCCAATGCCAGCTCCAGCTCCTGAGCAGATCTGGCCTGAGGACTTGAAGTCAATCTTCGCCGAGGTCCTCGCATCTCAGCAGCCTGCAGCCCCGGTCGCACCAGCTGCAGAGCCCGACCTGATTCGTTCCATCGTGGCCGATGCCTTGGCATCTCAGAGGCCGAAGAACGCTCTGGAGGCCCCTGTAGATATCCCACAGCCTTCGCTTGACATGACTGAATTGTACCAGATCATTGGTAGCCTCAAGGCTTCCATTGCACAGACTACGAGCCATCATCTTCAAGCCGAGGACGTTCGTGAGCTCATCGACGAAGCTTTCAAGCGTCAAAACACGGAAGCTGCTGAGCGCAAAGAGTCACAGGCCGTTGAAGAGAGGGACGTCCGCATTGCAGATCTGGAGGAAATGCTCAAGGAAGCCACCCTGCACTTCGATGCAGAAGCAGAAGCGCGCAAGGCTATCGAAGCTCGCGAGGCCGACTCTGCTCGCCTTCTCAAGGTTACTGAGGAGGAGCTTACCCTTCTTCAGCAAGCTGCCCGCGACGATGAGCACAAGATTCATGCTCTGACTGAAGAGCGAGATGTCATTCGCCACAGCCTCACCACCTACCAGGCCAACGAAGAGGAGCTTCGCGATAGAGTCTCTTCCCTCACCTCGGAAAACGAGCAACTCAAGCTTACTAACATTGCTTTGGAAAGCTCTGAGGAGGACCTTAAGAAGAAGCTGGATTCCGTAACTGCAGAGAATGAGGCCCTCACTTTCACTCTTGAGGAGCATCGCCTCTCTGCGAACAAGTGGCGTGGAGACCTCCAACATGCCCACGAAGAGGCAGAGCAGCTACGCAAGGCTATTGGAGAGGCTCGATTCCAGGCCGAAGAAGCTACTCGTGTTCGTGAGTCGATGCGTGTCAAGTTCGAGAAGCTTCAGCAGGATATGGTTGTTGCTACGCAGCAGATTGCGGCTGAACGGAGCCAATGGCAAAAGAGTGAGGAGTCCTCTGCCAGCAAGTACGAGATCCTCAGTGCACGTATCGAAGCTGAAGGTCGCACGCGTGAGCGTCTGGAGACCGAGCTTGAGCGCCTAGAAACCCAGGAACGCGAGGGCATGAAGCTAAGATTCAACCTTGAACAAACTCGGAAGCACAACGCCAGGCTTGAGGAGACAATCGATCAACTGAGACAGGAGTCGATGCAGCACCAGAAGAACGCTGAACGCTACGAGCGTGATATGCGAGAAGCCAGAGACGCTGCTCATGTTGAGATCCGCCGTACCCGCGTATTAATGGAGGCCGATGTTGACGCAGCCAACAACCAAGTCAACATTGTCCGACATGAACTTGAGAGTGAGATTGCTCGCGTACGCGCCGAGCTCGATCAAGTTCGTCTGGATGCCGACACAGCCAAGGAGAAGCACGAACTCGACTTGGAGGCAGCTTCAGACCTCAAGAAGCAAGCCGTACAAGATGCGTTGGAGAGCAAGAGGCACAGCCTTCACGAGCAACAGCGTACTTTCGAACGTCAACTTGAGCACATCAAGCATGAACATGCTCGCGCTCTAGAGTTCGCCCGTGAGGACAAGGAGCGTGCCGAGGCTTTCCATAACGATAAGCTTGCGCTAGCCGACTCTAAGCTAGATCACTTCAAGGACAAGATTGCACTCTTGGAGGAGAAGCTCCAGGTCGCCAAGGAAGCTGCTACCGCCGCTGTTGCCGCTGCATCGAAGTCTCCTTTGACTGCTACGTTCGGCCCAAGCGGCTCTGACAAGATCTCGACTCAAGCACTCCGCGAGTCTATTGGTGTTCTTCAGGAGCAGCTTCAGGAGCGTGAAGGCCGCATCGAGGCTCTTGAGCGCCAACTAGAGGATCTTGACACCGAGGCCCCTGCCAAGTTGAAGGAGCGCGACACGGAGATCAATTGGCTCCGTGAACTCCTCGGTGTACGTATCGACGATCTGAACGATCTCATCAACTCTCTCGCGCAGCCCACTTTTGACCGCGAGACTGTTCGTGATGCTGCCATTCGCATTCGCACAAACTTGCAGATGGAGCAGTCAGAGAAGGAACGCCTCATCTCCGGTGGACAACAATCCTTCCCTACTCTCAGCTCGCTCTCCAACTTTGCGTCGCCCAAGGCAGTTCAGCTCGCTGCCGCCATCGGTAACTGGCGCAAAGGTCGTGGAGAAGCTACATCCGCCCTCGCCGGAAACAACAACTCCGACAAAACCCGCAATGTAACACCTGCGCGCGCACAGCCTCACTCGGCCCAATCCTTCCTCTCCGGCCTCATGACCCCGCCAACCTCCAACATGCGCCGCTCCTCTGAACTCTCTTCCTCGTCTTCACGGCCTCAGGTCAACCGCGTTAACTCAAACTCGTCGCGTGCCTCCACAGAGGCTGGCTTCCCTTCTCTGGGTAAGGCGCCGCGTACACCCCCGCTCATGAGGAAGCAGGCGTACGATCAAGATGCCGAGATGGAGCATTTCAGTGAATCAGGCTTCTACGACGACGAGAGCACGAGTACGGTTGATGACGGCCAACTGACGCCCCTGGCGCTCAACTTTGGCCGGGAACTGTCGCAGCGGTAGACTCACTTCTCCACACTAGATTGATTTGGAAGAAACTACCTAAGATGGAAAGAAGAAAAGATAAGAACGATGATTATTATTTCCTTTGTTGCAGAATCTTTCCTTATATGTAGCTCTTGTGTAGGGCAGCCTGTCCTTTTCGTTGTATGGCCTTTTTGCTTTGTTTCGTCCTTTCTCTACACGCAAGATAGAATGCTTCTTCTCTGGTTGTTTAGTCATCCCCTAATGCTTGCTTCATCTCCTTTGCTTGCGTTCACCGGACTGTCTTTAGCGCAACAATGGTTGGTTCAGGATATATACCCCGATTTGCTCAAGACCGCTATTTCCCGTATCAGAAAGCCTTCAAATTGTTATATACACAAGGACAACAGATTTTTCTATTTTATACTTTTCCTATGTGGCATGTAGGCAGGTATGTAAGTAGGTGGGAACTGGGCGTATATTTCGCCCTGGATATATAGAGACATGTGCGATAAGATTGTTAATATTGATATTTTACAGATTTATAATCATGAACTGCTGTGGTGATGTTCTGAGGACGGTAGTCAGCTGCATGTGAAAAGGTGATAAAGCCTATAGTTTGATCGATCGTAGTAGGCACCTCAGTGAAGTAACCTGTGATTTCTCCAATCCTTATGAACTCGATCGGTGGATACAATGCTCCATCTCCTTGATACAAGTAGCACTATTGTGCCGTGGACAGGGAAGGAGAAAAGAGAACAGCCAAACGCCCTTGTCTCTAATGCAACATACACAGTCAACTCTGCTCCCTAACCCCATATATACTCAAACCTCTCTGCTCTGTCATTCGTGCACCATGCTTCCAGACTTATTTTCACCCATCTTGGACAACTGCCTTCTACGTCCAAAGCCACTTCCTGCACTTTGCCGACCCACAAAGACACGGAATGGCATCCTCACCCGGCTCATCCATCGGCTCATCCTCATCCTTGTCTAGATAATCGAATGTTAACTCTTCACCCTTTGGAATAAACCTGCAAGCGAAAAAAGGCAATGTCGTAGACCTTGGCATCATGCTTATTGTAGCTGACAGTGTACTGTCTGCAATTCGGTTCGCAAGAGTGGTTGATAAACTTTGTGGGGCCGCCCATGAACTCGCCGTCGACGACGTACAAGTCCTTCTCGTCGAGGTTTTCAGATTCGGCAAACTTGTCGAGCGAATATAAATACGAGGCTTTTGCTTTGGAGGATGCGTTTTCGCGCCGTGTAGCCTCTTCGTCGGTGATGACTTCGCCGCGGTAGGTATCGATGAATTGGCCCTCGTGTACATCTTCTCTGCAGCGCAGCCCCCACCCGCGGCCGTCGCTCGTGCGAAAAATCTCAACTTCAACCTGGCGTCCAAACTGGACGTTCTTATTGCGGCAGTTAGGACCGCAGTTGCAGGTCTCGTTGCATTCGTAGATGGGACGACGGGAATTTAGGTAAAACGGGACGAGGCAGCCTGTTCGATCTTTTCTAGTGCCTGCGGCGAAGTAAGGGAATTTCTTCGGGAAGCCGGCTGTAGAGCTGCCCGTGGCAAGGGCGTAGTCGTAGTCTTCTCGTTCGGCGTCGTTAAGACGCGATTCGTCTACCGCTGCGTATTCGAGGCAGTCGCACTTTCTAGTATATTCGCAGCCGATATCTCGGCCCATGTGCGGTGAGCACTGCATACAGCCTACCATGGAGTCTTTCGATGCGCGATAGACGCCCTGGCTGAGGACATACTCTGAGATGTACCGGAATCTAAGGGATGGTGTTGAAGAGTCCACCAGGTTGATCAAGTGGATGGGCTTACCCTTCTTTCCTGGTACCTTCTGTAGTCTTCGAACGTACTCGTTTCGGATATAGGTGCGTGCCTTGTTGACGCTGGATTGACGCGCTATCCGTGTCATGTCTGGTGTTGGCACCGTGCGTACATCAAGTTGCGGTATATCGTTGCCAGATGCGTAGCGGCAGAAGATGTACCCGTGCTCATTAGCAACTAAGATAGAGTTGTACTTGTCGATTGGGGGTGTAGATGGTAAAGTCGGCAGCACAGATGGCGAGCGTGATACAGATTGCATTCGGGTGTCCTGGTGAAATCGTCGACTGAATGGCGAAGAACGAAGTTCGTCGTCAACGCCGCCATCTGGACTCTTTCGTTTTCTAGACTCCATCTGCATATCTGTTGACGCCTTGATACTATATGAACGTTAGCATGCTCATGTTCAGTGCTAGTTCATAACTCACTTGTCCCTGCGGTCTAGGTAGTCTTGAAGATGCTCGAGACATCGTACTAACTCCGCGACCGAATGCCAACTAAGTGGTGGGTATGTTGGTGATCCTTCGGTACTCCATTGCACCAGATATTGCTCATCCTAAGAGGTCCGATGTCAACACATGCGCACGGACCATTTAGGGTGGGATACTACTTACGCCGTTATGAACCCGATTCGATAGTATCAAGTGTACCTAAAGACCAGAAATGTATTAGTACACGTAGATATCTTAGTAAGAGAGTACGTACCCGGTCTACGAGTACCCGCCGCGTTGCGTAGCCGTTAGTCGGTACGACGACCATCGCGCTCATTCCGCACCACGCCTGCTGCCTGCATCGTGTTAGCTTTACTTGATACCGTGCATAACTACTTGTATTCTCTAAGAGAATGCATAAGAACTAGGATATACTAGCAAGTTCGAAAGAGTAACAAGTAAGGGTGTGTACTTACTAAGTAGGTAGATAATCTAGTATCTGTATTAGGCTATGCAGTATTAGTAAAAAGATGATAACAACGGTAACTAATAAAAGTTTATATAATATACTTTACTTATCGAAGGCGACCTTCTTAGCTGTAGTGTTAGATAAGTTGTGCGGCGGCAGCAGCGCGGCTTAACTCACCGCGAGGGCGGACCGCGGTTTGATGAGCTTAGTAATCAAGTGCACAGACTAAACAAATAAGCTATGTGTTGACACGGCAAAGGTGTCGAATACTAGCAGTCGTTGCAACGAACAAAGTGTATAGTATTTGATTAGTAGTGAGCAAGAGCTGGATGGAGAGATCTCCATATGTACGGTTGCGAGCTAAGCGGGAAGCTTGGTCTAACTAGTGGTCCAAGCTTCCGGCCCGGAAAAACTCGCCGGGCTGGCTGTACGCGCATGTTCCGACACTATGCTACCTTTTTTTTACTTCGAAAATCGAAGTAGAAAAGTAGTTCTAACTCTACTTGTTTATATAAATATTCTACTGATTATTTCTATTACAAAGTATAAATCTAGTGAGGAGAAGAGTGTAAAGGTGTCTTCTTACGTCCCTTGAAACTTAGAGTAACCTAGAATAAGCGCGATACCTAAAACTCGTTAGAAACAAGCTTCTTGGTGCAGAGAAACCGAGTAACACCGGCGAAGATCCTATAGTAGAGTAACTCTTTGCGTAGGTACTAACTAGAAACCTAATCAATTCTGCATTAAACATTAACTATGATAGACTACAGTATGAGACAACAAGCACAAGATATGTGTGTCTGTTGCATGCGATGCTGCGCAACTTGGCTATGGACTAACATGCCCGTGCGCGTGATGCGCGCGGAACACCATTTCTGAGATCACAAAGATGAGGCTATAATAACACGTACAATAGCTATTATCGCGAACTTTCTTGGTGGTTTAGTAAACAAGACCTTGCGATCATTTTTTACTATTTGAATTTACTTGGAAGCTTGACGTTGCGTCCCCGTGACGTCACCTTTGGTGGAGGAGATGGAGAGCGCGCAACAGCTTGCCCAGCAGCTGCATCACTACCAGAACGTTTCTGACGCTTCTCCTTAGAGGAGACTGCTTGTGAGGCTTTGCGCTTACCTCTTTAGGACAATTGTATAGCTTTCTCAGCGTTGCGCTGCTGTTTCTGACGCTCGCGTTCAGCCTGTTTCTCAGCCTTCTCCTTCTCCCTCACCACCTTGAGTCTCTCTCGTTCTGCACGCCTGTCCTCTAGCTCAATTTGACGCTGGACTTTAGCAGCCTCACGTGACTCCTTACGACGAGCTTTTTGGAGTTTCTCCTCCATCTCATCGTCAGCCCTGACCTTCTCCCTTGCACGGGCCTCTCTAACCTTTCGAGGAGACCAGAAGATAGCTCCACCATGGTACTCTTGACGCTGTTGAAGGTCAAGGGCTTTGCCCTTCTTTTTGTACTTCTTTTGGTGTTGTAGAGCCTTATGTAGACCCCTGTTTTCATGCTGCAAAAGCTGGTTTTGGACAGAGACTTGATGAAGGGTAAGGCTCAACTTTTTGGCCTCGTCCTGGCGGGTATCCTTCACTGCAGCTCGTACTAAACGCTCCATTTGTAGCCAATCAGATGGTGAGAGCCTTGATGAGCTGGGTGATCGTTCGGGCGTTCGGGTGAACCTTTTAAGCACGACGTTGGGGTCTTTTGGCCATATTCCTGTTGTTTCAAACGCCTTTGAGATGAGCGTTTCCCTGCTGAAAACAGACACCCAGGCGTCCCAAAACAGACCAAAAAAGTCACCTCTGGCGATGGAGATGAGCTCTTGAGCCTCATGGAGATAGGTGGTGAGGCGTTGGGTATAGGCCTGTGAGAGCGGCTTGAAAAGTACGACGTCGAGCGGTTGCAGTGTGTGGGTTGAATGAGGTGGAAACACCATGAGGAGTATACGATTGCGATCGCAGTAGTCTATAAAAGCCATTGTTATATGGCTCCCATGGCCATCTAGGATGAGTAATCGGTAGTTTCTCCCGCGGCGAGCTTTCTGCTTCGTGTGGCGATCAAATACCTGCTCAAGCCAGGCCAAACCGACGTCATTATTGCTCCATCCTGTTAGTGTTGAGGTTACAAAAACCTAGTGTTTCTTTACGTTTATATCATCCACCCAAGATGATCGTAGGGCACCGTTTTCAGCAGCGTAGATAAGGCTGGGCGGTAAGAAGCTCCCATCTGCGCAACAACAGGCCAGGAGCGTCAAAAACTCACGTGATCCATCTTGAAGAGGTGCTCTAACCTCTTTCTTATCCCATTGACGCCGGGAAAAGATCCTTTTGCTTCTCCCAATGAGGCCCATCAAGAAGCCCTTCTCATCCATATTATAGGTGTTTCCTGGCTCAATATTGTACTCCTCCATCTTCCCGTGTAGCAGCTCAAAGTAGAGTCTATATTTGACCTCAGAGTCGGCCAGAACGCGTGTACGATCGAGACCGGAGGTTCATTTTGAGATGAGATGGACGTCGTGTCGGTGGACAAAACGGGTAATCCATGCCTCGCCCAGCGGCTGATGAGCGACCTCAGAGGCAAAATTTTTGATCATCTCTCTCGTAGGCGGTAGCCCTCGTTTTGAGAGACTCTCTATATATCGTACAAGTTCTAGCTCTTGTTGTGGGTTGAGTTTCTGCTGGTTAGCTTTTTTATCGTTCGCAGAGCTTGTCTGGCCCTGGTGCCTTCGGGTCAGCGTAGATCGGACAACATTATGTTTCGCAGCAACTTCTGTATAGGTAAAATGTTCTCCTTCTTCTAGAGATTCGATTTCTTCAATTGCTGCTTGAATTGGATCCATATTGGTGGAGTTATCGTGGGTTGAAAATGATGGATGTGGACGCGTTTTGGTGTTCCCCGCGCATCACGCGCACGGGCATGTTACACGCTAAATGGCAAGTGATGTCTTATCGCTACTGTAGTTATCGCTAGTTAGCTTCGCGACTCCCCAAAAAAAGTTCCGCCCGCACCTGAAGGCCGACACCAGAACATCAATACCAGCACAATACACGCCAACATGGCTTCGGACGCGCAAAACAACCCCTTCATAAGGAACCTTGCCTCAAGCGGTATAAACAGCATGCATTCTTGCCCCGCTAGAGGAGAAGACTGATGTTTGCGACAGACAAGGAAGTCCGCGATCAGGCACTCGACTCGTTACGAACCTATCTCGGCGCGCAATCAGACATCTCTGAACTAGACTTATTGAAGTTATGGAAGGGTCTTTTCTACTGTATGGGCTTATGCAGATTGGCTGCTATTAGTATAGTACTAACACGACCCTCACAGGTCTATGGATGCAAGACAAGCCTGTCCTCCAACAACGTCTCGCCCGCGATCTCGCCTCCCTCCTCTCCACCCTCCGTACATCCGTTGTCCTACCCTTCGTTCGCGCCTTTTTCCTTACCATGTCACGAGAATGGAGCCATATTGAAGCACTACGACTAGACAAGTATCTCTACCTGATTCGCCAGTACATTAACGCATCCTTCACCTTCCTCAGTAAGAACAAATGGAACAAGAACTTGCTGGCACAATGGAACAGTATCATGGAGGAGATACCACTGGAATGCCAAAATATGAAGATTCCAAATGGGCTAAGGTATCACGTCATGGACGTTTGGGTCGATGAGATGGACAAGGTCGAAGGTGCGAATTGGGAGAAGGAGGAAAAGAAGGGCACGCTTGAGCTGCTAGTGGCACCTATTGAGAAGATGACTAAACATGGCAAGCTGAAGCCATTGAGGGCTGCGGCGAAAGAGTGCTTGGCCGACGACAGGCTAAGAGCTTGGAGAGGTCAAGAAGTAGAGGTTGCGAGTGAGCCAGACGAGGAAGACGAGGACGCAGAGTGGGGAGGTTTTGCGGACTGAGGGAAATACAGCTGGAATCCTGAAGATACTCTTCGCACATCCTTTCAGCGAGGCGTTTACGGTAGTTCTGTCTTGTTAATAAGACATGGAAAAGTACTAGGATTTGCGTTTGGTGCTGAATTTGAGGTCGCTGGGTCCCTCTACCATTTAGCCCGCCTACGTTTCGATTGTTCTATCTCTGTGTTGCTATGTATTAACCGCGTCCTATTTTGATGGAATCATAAAATCACGATTACCGTCGTCTTCTTTCTAGTGCCCTGGTCCGGCTCTTTCGTAGCGCCAGGACAAATCTGGTCTTACAAAAACGGCGCATGTCCTCTACAGTAACACCTGAATATGGCATGCCATACCCCCTACAAGCAGTCGTTTGTGTCAGTGTCGGTTCTTGACCGCCCCCATCCAACAAGTCCAACCTCCAAAATGGCATCAGCATCCCGTTGCCTAGTTGCAGCAACTCATACACCAACCGTCTGCCTTCAATTTGATTGCGTTCGACTGCTGTGCTAATCAGCAAAGCCGTTGGTCGCCGACTTTAGACCACCGACGACAAGGCCGCTGAAGATATGTACTGAAAGAATTGAGGTAGAGTTGATTTCTCGTGAGAAATGAGCAGCATAGAGGAGAGAATTAATGGTATATTTGTAGTTCGGTAGACTAGTAAAGAGAGCTACAGAGTGTGGTGCAACATACATCAACATGTCGATGTGTAGAAGATGAGTTATCTTGTAAAACTAAAAACGTCTTTTTCCAAGTCCCTTGCATCATATCAGAGAGGATCGAGATTATACCCTGTGGTGGCCATGCTAAAGTTTAGCTCGTGTAGTTTCTTTCTTAATGAGGGTAAGATGTGATAGTATGAGGATGACTTGTAGATTTCCCTCTAAAGGAGGGAAAAGAGGTGTCGGATAAGCTAATGTCTTATGTTGGAGGAACTGCCGGGGTTAGGCTGACAGGGAAATGAGACGCTCGTATTCGGCATGTGTCGTCGCGAACGAAAATTCAACAACCCAGTACAGATAGACTTTTACGATGTAGGTACTTCCGAGAAACGCCCCTTCTCTTTGGGCAAAGCCGATGTTGGAGGCCCCAGCGTTGGTCAGAGGGGTTATGCATATCTAAGTATCCGGGCCATCCGGAAGGACCAGTGTTCACGGCAGTGGAAGCATGACTTCATGACTTTATTCAAGGCCCGAATCTGCTGAAGTGGGTGCTAAGATCAGGGACCTGATCTATCTACAGTGCAGGCATTCACGTCCCCTATGGTTCCAAAGTTCCCAACTTCCTGTCCTTACTACCATAAACTTTATCAACAGTGTCAGCACCGTTCAGGATCATCGTTTGCTCGTAAGTAACCATGGGGTCGCGACAGAAACTAGGGAAACGGATCTACGAAATAGTAAGCCTCAGAACGCATCCGTTGACTTAGCGTCAAATTTCACATACCTAGGTACCGAGCCAAGATTCGATGATGGAAGGAACATCTCTTGGACACCCATGTCGCAGGTACGGCCTGAATCTGTGCCGACGTCGCGCTGTCTGCTGGCTTTGCTCTTCTACTTAAACTTGGAGTTGCCACTTCAGTGGTGTACCAGTAATTACCGTGTCCGTGCGTGAGATGCGCAAGTGCCTCAGATGCGCAACCCCAATAACACAATCAGATTTCAAAAATGAGGCTGTAGATCACCACACAATGGCTAGTATCGCGAGATTTCATGAAGTAGTAGTAATTAGATGCCCCTGGTTACTTTGCGCTACCTATATTTGGCTGGAAGTTCGATGTTCCGGCCGTGGCGGGTCACTTTTGGTGGCGCCGCCGGTGCCGCCCCTGACGCCTCTACAACAGCTGCAACATCCGCAACACGCTTTTGACGCTTACTATCGCGATTATTTGAGGTTTTCGAGGCCTTGCGCTTACTGTTTTGGGACTGTTGGGTAGCTTCTTTGGCGTCGCGCTCAGCCTTTTTGCGGTCGCGTTCAACAGCCTTCTCAGCCTTCTCCTTCATCCTCCTCTCCTTGGCTGCCTCTCGTGCCGCACGCTTCTCCTGAGTTACTTTCAACTTGTATAACCTTGCCTGTTCTCTCAAATCTTTTATCTTAGCTTTTCGGAGTTTCTCCTGATCTAATCTTTGCTGTTCTTCAACCCAACGCTCACGGGCCTGCCGAATCTTTCTTGGCGACCAGAAAACAGCTCCTCCATGGGGATATCTATATTTTCTTGGTGTTTCAGGGGGTAGCTTTTTCGCTTCTTCCCTCTACTACGCAGCTCCTCTATAAGACCCCTGGTCTCATCGCGAAGGAGCTTGTTTTCAACAACAAGCCGGTGGAGGGTTTTCTGGAGTCTTCTTACCTGCCTACTCCTTTCACCCTTGCTTATTTGGCGGATTAGTGAATATATTTTGAGCCAATCTGACTCGCTGATAGGTGACGTTGAGTCCTCATCCGAACTTGACACCTCAGGGGTGGCTGGGGTGAATTTTTTGAGTACAGGTGTCGGATCAGGTGGCCAGATGCCGGTGGCGGTGGAGGCCTTTTTGATGAGGCTAGGGGCCATTGTAGATACCCAGGCTCGATGGAAAAGGGTGAAGAAGTCTCGTTTTTTAAGTTCGGAGACCCCCAGCGTGTTTTGGGTGAAGGTAGCTAGCTCCTTTTTATAGGCTGATGAGAGTGTTTTGAACACTCCAACATCTAGGGGTTGAAGCCGATAAGTTGAATGAGGAGGAAAGATAGCCAGGAGTATCTGATTTTGATCGCAAAAATCCAAAAACTCCTGAGTTATATGGGATGAGTGCCCATCTATAATGAGTAACCGATATGAATAAGGTGTTTTTGGCCTGGTGAATGGCTCAAACGCCTCCTTGAGCCAAGCTACCCCTATCTTATCGTTCGTCCAGCCACGTTTTGATGCCGCTACAAAGGCCGGCTCTTCGCTTTCACTGATCTTGTCCACCCAAACTGATTGGAGGTCTCCTGATGTTGGTAGGCCTTGTACGATCGTACGGGTGAATAACAACAACGAGGTTCTTCTGGTGACTGGTATTGGTATTGTCCACGAACATAGGTGCTACGAAGGTATACCTAAGCTCTGCGCAAGGTGGGCCGAAGTCGGGCCGAAGTGTCAAGCAGCCGACGTCTCTACCGATTCTCACGATCCGACATCTGATTTACTTTTGAAAATAATGCTTGGCGGTAACGCTGTCCCATCGGCGCAAATACAAGCTAGGATAGTTATCCATTCACGGGATCCGTCTTGAACTCATGTAGTAACCTCCTTTTTCTCATACAGCTGTTTGTCAAATATCCTTTTTGACCTGCCGCCGGTGCCTATGGCAAACCCCTTTTCGTCCATGTTGTAGATGCTGAGGTTTTGGAGCCGGTACTCCTGTTGTTTCCCATGTATCAGGTCAAAATACTCCTTGATAGCTGCCCCTGAATCAGCCTTATGGCGTTTGCGATCCATAGGCCTTTGCCATTTTGATATGAGTTTATTTGAGTGCCGCCGGAGAAACCCGGATACCCACTTATCGCCAACCCCTTTTCCAGCAATTGAAGCTGCGTAGCTCTTTACCATCTCTTTTGTAAGTGGCAAGCGTCTCTTTGTTAACCCCTGAACGTATCGTACAAGCTCCTTTTCTTGTTGTGGGTGGAGTTTTTGATTTGCAATTGCACTGGGTTGCGTTAACCCCTTGTGCCTCCGGATGAGCGTAGATCTCACAACACCAAGATTTTTTGCAATTTTGTTGTAACTAAACTGTTCCCCTGGCTTCAACGCGTCGATTGCGGCTATCGCGGCATCGATTGGATTCATGTTGGTGGAGTTATTGGTGGTTGCGGTGAAAGAAATTTTGATGCGGGGTTGCGCATCTGAGGGTAACATGCCCGTGCGCAGCGCGCACGGATTCGCAGCGCGCACGGCGAACACCATCTGCTCAATCTCAAAAATGAGGCTGTACAACGCCACACAATAGCCCAATACTAATAAGAACTTAGTGTTGCAGTAACTAGATGCTTGCGATTAACTTGTACTATCTAAATTTTTGTGGGAGGTTGACGTTGCGGCCACGTGATGTGACTCTGGGTGGTGCAGCAGATGGCTCATCTTGAGTTTGAACACCAGCTTGAGCAGCGCTAGCGCGTTTTTGACGCTTATTACTTGATAAGGTTACTTGTGAGGCTTTACGCTTGCGCTCTTGAGCTTGTTGGATAGTTTTTTTCTGGTGTTGAGCTTCAACTTTGCGCGCGCGTTCAATTGCTTTCTCAGCTCGCTCAAGCTCCTTCGCCTCCTTGAGCCTCTGCCTCTCCACACGCCTCTGCTCGAGCTCAACTTGACGCTGTAGCTGAGCCTCCTTACGCTGCTTCTTGGCCTGTGCTTTTTGGAGTTTCTCCTCCGTCTCATCTCGCTCCCGTACTGCTTCTCTAGCTCGAGCCTCACGCAACTTGCGAGGAGACCAGAGGACAGCGCCACCGTGATACTTCTGGCGCTGTTGAAGGTCAAGAGCTTTGCCCTTCTTCTTATGCTTCTTTTTATGTTGAAGAGCCTCTTCTAAACCGTCTACTTTATGCTTTAAAAGCTCATTCTGAACAGAGAGATGGTGAACGCTTGAGCGTAGCTTTCTTACCTCATACTGATGGCTATCAGTGACAGCAGTTCGAACTAATCGATCAAGCTTTCTCTAGTCATGATCAGAGAGCCCTGATGATGAGCTTCTCTCAGCTTCTGGCGTGCTGGCAAATCTACGGAGGATAACGTTGGCGTCTATCGGCCAGATCCTAGTGGCTTCGAAGGCCTTCAATATGAGACTCTCCGTGAAGGAGGATATCTAGGCGCTCCAGAAGAGTGGGAAAAAGTCCCCTTTCTTGATTGGAGCGAGGCCTTGAGCCTTATGGAGATGGTTAGTGAGCTCGTTGGAGTAGGCCTGAGAGAGTGGCTTGAACAGCACCACATCGAGCGGCTGGAGCGTGTGGGTTGAATGGGGAGGAAGGATTATGAGGAGGATCCTGTGGCGATCGCAGTACTTAATAAACTCCATCGTGAGGTGAGATCCATGTCCATGGCCATCAAGGATAAGCAATCGCCATCTCCCTGATCGCTGCTTTGTATAGCGATCAAACACCTGCTCAAGCTAAGCTAGGCCTACGTCATCGTTTGACCAGCCTGTTGGAGATGATGAGACAAAGACCTCATGCTCTCCTGCCTTAATATCCTCTACCCAACTTAATCGTATAGCTCCTTTCTTAGCTGCGTAGATGAGGGCTGGAGGCAGCGAGCTCCCATCAGCGCAGCAGCAGGCCAGGACTGTCAGAAACTCGCGTGATCCATCCTGGAGAGATGCTCGAACCTCCTTCTTCTCCCACTGACGCCTGCTGAATATCCTCTTGCTTCTGCCTACCAAGCCAATCAAGAAGCCCTTCTCATCCATATTGTATATATCTCGAGCCTCTAGGTGGTATTGGGTGATCTTTCCATGCAGCAGCTCGAAGTAGAGTCTATACTTTGACTCGGAATCAGCCAGGTGGCGCGTACGATCCATGGCGCTGGTCCACTTTGAGATAAGATGGATCTCGTGTCGGTTAATGAAGCGAGTAACCCAGCTCTCGCTGAGCTGCTGATGGGCTACTTCTGATAAGAAATTCCTAATCATCTCCCTTGTAGGGGGTAGGCCTTGCTTGGTAAGCTTAGTGATATACCGTACAAGCTCTAGCTCTTGATGTGGCGTGAGGGATTGTTTGTCGGCTGTATAGTCGGCTCTCGAGCGTGAAATGCCTCGGTGTCTTCGGCTCAACGCACTCCTTGATACGTTGTACTTATCAGCATATTGCTGGTATACAATTTTATCTCCAAGCTCTCGCGATTCGATTTCTGCTAACGCTTTGTCAATAGCTGCCATGCTGATTGAGTTATGACGCGTTGAAGTTTGTAGGTGTTTCAGTGTTTTGGTGTTCGGCGTGCGCGCTGCGCACGGGCACGTTAGATATTGTGCTCAAGTGTCGCAGCGATGTAGTATTTCCAAGGCTGCTGAGAATGGTTCAGTCGGACGACCCATATTTAGAAAATATGTGAGAGCTAGCAAGAAGTGTCTGTGAAGTCTTTAATTAGATATATTCGTATTTCCAACACATAACAAGGAAAGTGTGCCTCCCTCCATGGGCAGCAATAGCCTGTTTGGATGAAGTGCTTAGGATAGCTTGTGGCTTCCCCAAGAGGTTTTTTGATACCTTCTTCTCGCCAAGTCTAAGTCATTGAGCGCTCCCATTCGGCCCTGAAGCGGGCCAGTATCAAACCATAGCGTGACATCAACATCTCTGAAAGCGGCCTAGTCACTTTGAGGATTCACGCTTGTTACTTAGCTCGTATCCTGTACACTTACGCATACTATATGTAACCCATTCCAAGATCTAGATCCAACGCTGCCCGTCCTGAAGTTGAGGGGCCAGACCCGTGTATGTGCATACGTCAAGCACCTTTAGTAGGCCTGAAACCTGCGCCTATAGCCCCCACACCTCAGGCCACGGTGTTATTCCTTCCGCGACGGATTTGCTCGGCTTGCTTTTCCTTTTTCCCTAGTAAGCGAAGGCGGGCGAACTGCAGATCGCGGCATGACTTCCCGAGGGCATTCACGGCACATGTCATTGGGTGACTCTGTATTCACGTGTCGGATATAAGAATTGACTCTTTGCCTAGATCCAGCCATCTCCTGCAACCTGTTTCTATGTGTGAAGAGTGTTCTTGAGGGTGACATCTGTGTCCGTGCCTTAGAGAAAAAGCTTAGGCGTCGCCGATGATTGGGTTCTGGAACCTAGAGTCTAGATGCTATTGCACAGGCTTGATGAATATACCTATGCTGGGCAATATTTTGGGGACAATATTCTGAGTATCATAATGGTTCAGTCGAAATTATCAACGTATCTGGAGCTGGTTTACGCCTTGCGCCTAGAACCTAGATATGCATAATCGATGGTCGCATAGGTTGGGTGCCATCTTTAGACCCAGGACATTGGATTAATCTATCGCAACTTGGCTGCAGAGTGTTACATTTTTTGTTGTGGTTCAACGCCATCATGGCCGGGATAGCGCTAGCGAGCCAGCAGCAGCGGGAGACGACAGGCGGCTATGCGCGCATGACCGCGCCGTTCCTGATCCAGTCTCCTGTATCTACCACATCAACTACGCCCCAGCAATAATGCAATCTCGACCTAAGAGAACCAGCCCCTCTTTTCTAATAGCAATCGAGGCCAATTTCCCTCTCAAATTTTGCGTGGGGGCCTACTTAATAGTTTCGACATGTTGTTGCGTGCTTGTCCGTACCCACACCACAGCCTGCCTGGGTCTCTCATTCCCTTGCCTCGCCCGTGGCTGAGCAGCGATACTACCTGTATCTTGAGGCTGTGATAACCCGTAGCTTATGACGACATGGTCGCACGATACCAGCAGACTCGAGCCCACATACTGCAAGGCGAGCCGTTGTGGAGCGTACAAGGGTTCAGTGGGCAGGGCGTAGTTCGCCTTTTGGGCAGCTGGCCCGCATCATTCCAGGCTTCGGCGTTGGACCTCCTGCACGAGCGGACCAGTCTTATGGGTTGTGCAACAATTGGGGGCACGTTTGAGCTCCTGTGTAGCTCCGCAGCAACGATATTGTACAACTTGTCCTACGCTTCTTCAGCCCTAGGAACTTCCATACGCTGCCTTACATGCCACTGTGTAGCCTACATACACCGGAAAATCTCACTGCCACTACTATAGGGACAGGAATGCTAGGCTTAGCGGCTTTTAACCAGGGGTTTGACAAGCGCTGTTCTTTTTGTGTACCTAGGTAGCAGGACAGAACAAGCTAAGTCAGCACTAGAACCCCACTGAACGTCATGTAAAGCGAGACGGACTGTAGCACGCAGCCAGGGCTGCATGGCTGCAATGAACCCGCATTGCGCTGGACCAATGCCGCTGCATAACGCCAGAGTAGCGTACCGGCGCGCTGGTTCATTTCGTACAACTCTTTTGGAGTGATCTATTCTATGCACCCAGATATCCCATCTTTACCGCAGCCTCAGGTCGCCGAGCCTCATTGCGTCCCGCCTGTGTGGCACGGTACATCGGACATGCTCTCTGCGTTTGGTTCAAGTGGATTATTGAAGCTGAAGAGCCTCTGCAGACATAAGTAAAGATGCGAACATATAACAAAGGTGTGGCTAAGATCGTAAGATTACCCTATACAAGAGAGTCTCTCCGGCCTTATTGCTTGCGTATATGGATGCAGTCGACTGGTCTCGTAGCCTGTCTGAGATACTAGGCCCGATGAAGCATGTAACATGCCCTGTAAGCATTCAGCCCCATCCTACACACCCATTCTCTGTGGCTGCAGTAATCCCTGCCCTAGCGCTCTCAGAAATCAGCTTGACGCCTACTTACCACCCACCTGCGTCCGCGCATGTTCGTCTACTGCACGTCGGGCCTAAACCACGATCCTTTCTGCATCCATCCTAGTCTCAACTAAGATTATTCGTTCTCTTCCACCCCTCTATATAATACACCCCTCTTCTCGGGTGCTTGGGATTCTATCGGACCGTCACACTATTGCACATACACAATGTTTCAAACTTCATCTCATGCTTTTTCTTCTACTCAGCCTCCATCACCGCCAATGGAGAACAACAGTACCGGGCCCGAGATCACTCTGGTAGCTACCGGGCCGAATGGAGAGCAGAAGCCTCGGAAGATGAGAGCATCCTGTGACGCTTGCTCTCGTGCTAAAGTCAGTGACCAATGTTCTCATACGATCACCTACTAATATCAATCACAGGTCAAATGCGACAAAGTAAGACCGACTTGTCATCGATGCGGTAGCATGAGTATATGCTGCAACTACTCGCCTTCAATGAGGTACATCGTTCATTCCATCTTTGGGTCCTTGGGCTCATTCTTTTCACAGACTAGGAAAGCCGCGCAAACACAGAAACCCGGACGGATCTATCAAGCGTGACGTATCACCTGCTGGCTCTTATGGACCCTTAGGAGCAAGAATGGAGATCATCCCACGCACTACATCTTACGCCTACGAAAGCTCTCCAGAGCCAACAGATCCATTCTTCTTTGGACCCAGCACGCCCGAGTACAATTACCAGGACACTTACATGGGAAACGGATTTGACGGGGGTCAGTCGCCCGCATACTCTGAAGGCGCCAGCTCACTTGTTGGTGCTTGGTCGAGTGATGACCACGTAACGTACGGAGGCCAGACAGATTTATTTGCTCCAGTGCCCCAATATCTTCCGCCTCCCACCTCTTTCCACGGACATGTTCGGTCGACCAGTGGACAGAGTCAGCTTGAGATGTTTGCACCAGTAGAGCCCTTACAATCCCCACCAGCCATGAGCCAAAGATATCTTGGTGTTCCAGGCACGGTGCTGGTTCCACAAGAAAAGACAACGCCATGTCAGCCTATGGTGTCTGCACCTTTGCCGACACCACCGCCAGCTCCAACTCATCTTCCAAACCACGACTGCACACAATTAGCCTTCCAAATGCTGAGCAGTGTGCATACTCCATCTTCCACCGGCAACTACCACGGTACATTGGACAGCCTTCCATCTTTGGAATCCGTGCTCTCCACCAACAAGGCCGCCGCAGACAAACTCTATGTATTGCTCAGTTGCCATTGCTCATCGAACCCTCTTTTCTCCACTATGATCAATCTTATCATCATTGAGATTTTAAAATGGTACCAAGCTATCGCAGGAGTCCACCAACAAGGCGAAGGAACATCCCTCGAGACCCAGATGAAGGCCTTCACGTACCCATATGTATCTCCAGGACCCTCTGATCCTGAGTCGGAGAACACATACCGAACAAATTTTGTTCTTTCCGAGCTTCTCAAAATTGAGAAGCTCATCGATAAGTTCTCGGAGCGCTACTGCCAGGCTGCCAACACAGTTGAGACAGGGATTGACAGCGGGGTATACGTCGCCATGGAGGCATCACTCCGCACTCGCGTTCGAGACACTTTCCAAGTTACCATGGCAGTTGCGCCAGAAACCATCAAGCGCCATCTTTCTTCGCGGGTACACAACCTTGTACGTGTCAGTACTGTGTAAATTACTTTACTTTCCCTATTCATAGACCTGTTTCTTGCATAAATATCCTCAGGGACCTTTTCGGTAAAATGTGTTTAGCCCATTCGTTACAAGAGACTCTTTTCGCAGTCATGTTTAGACATGTTTTCCGCATGTCTGCCTATGAATATCGTTGGTAACCGATCTGATGGATACCGTACACACCGGGCGATGCGGCGCTGCAGGGACCCAGGTTCAAGGTATGGGGTCCTTCGCTCAACACGCCACACCATAGGTCCGCTTGTAATACACACTACCACAGACCACGTCCTCGTGCCCTGCGAAATCCTTCAGCTGCCTCGTGGCACTGGCTTACCTTTTATCACCTGTTCTCAACACCAAGTCCTGGCCCCTACCCATACATCATCTCACTCTACCTCCCATGCTCTCCCCTGACTCGTCCTCAGCGTTGCGCCAGACCCAACGTCGGCAGTTACGCCTCGTCAACCCTACGAATCCCTCCCGGCTCGAGCATGATGCAAAGCTTGCTAATTTTTTTTCGACTGAGAAGCTTACATGCATCCTTCGCTTGGAATTGTACACTCCGTTGCCTAAATCGGATCGCCTATGTCGCGGACTAACATTGCCGCTGCACGCTGGGTCCACTTGGCCAGGAAAAAAGGCCACCAAAGGCCCCGGGGTGAGAATTTAACCACATATGACCCCTAGAAGCGAGTTGTTTTTACCCAGCATGTCGGAATCGCTAGGTTGTGAGGCAGACTCGGCGATGTGGTTGATAAGATTGGTGATGGACATGTGCCGGGCGCTTGGAACGAGCGGGTAGGATTTTGGCAGGATTTTTATGGAGATGGAGATCAGTCCAATTAGCTATTGGCTAGCTAGGGGCCTGTGATTGCGTGTTGGGTAATGCACGTGCGGTATATGACGGGTCATCATGATGCCGACTGTGATGGTCGTCCATGCCCTTGCTAGATTTTATCTAAGCCTAAGCCACCTAGCAGTACTTCTCACGACTAGTCTTTCTTTTGGGCCGTTAATCAGCATTACTTCTCCCTCCAGTTCAACACCAGTGCCCTCAGTTTATGCTCCCAAGTCACCTTACAGCAGGATTCTTCGGCCCTTTCCGCCGAACACTCACCCATCACCCGGGGGTCATAAACTACTTGACATACTAGTGTATAAAGGCCACTGTGGTCTTCAGACACGCCTATTAGGTGCTTATCCACACTGTCAAGAATTTTATAACACTAAGGTGCATTGCGGCATCCATACGATGTGCAGGTGGGCAATGCGCCACATGCGCATCCTATACATAGGTGTTTGGTGGCCTTACTAACATATTTACATGCTAGCATGACTTGCGCCAATGGCGGAAGCTGGGAAAGGTGGGAACAACCGAAGCAGAAGGGGCCGCTTCTGTACGCAGGTGGGGATGAGGATTGGACGGGTGGCTGAGACCTGCGCTGAATGTCCGTCAGCCGGCGACTCATCTTACAACGCCTACAATGAGAGACCTCCATGGGAGATGTGATTTTATGTGAGTCATCATGAGGGTTGAGTACGTTTTCCAGGGCTGGCGGTGGAGGTGGGATGAGATGAGATGGGAACCGTTAACAGAAGCTTTTGCGGGCCGATTCGTGATCCGCAGCGGGCACCTGTTCCCGGGCCGATGCAAGCCATGTATCCCACAAACACTCCGCCGCCTAACAACCTTATCAGTTCATGTCCAAGCCCTCGTCTTGGACGCCAGACTTATCTAGTGGTTGGAGAAACACTCAGAATACTGCATCACGAGCCAATGACACTGCACAACTTGTGACGCCCCGTTACTCTTCACCTTAGCCCCCCATCGCCCAACGACACTTCTCTCCACTTCACGGCAGGGATCCCCAAGCACCATATCTCCTCGGCCAGGTTTTGCGCCCAAAACGGCATCGGCATCGCTTATTTTGGAAGGGCGGCAGTGCAGAACCTGCCTCAACCGGCTGGGTCAGGCGCCCCATTTTCTGTACCCATTGGTGGGAATATATTAACTGCACATGTAGGGTGTCTTTGTGCGACGTAGGGAGAGAGCAAAACCAATAGCTGAGTCGGAATTTGGTCTAGAAAGGGCTTGGTAAATAGGCCAGCAGACATGCGAGGAGCATGGGTAAAAGATCAGCGCCTCGGCATTCATAGTAGGAACGATCCTGGTCGGCGACACATAGCAACTTGTTTAGCACATCCACAGAATACCTAAATGATCCTAATTGGCGCCAACATAACTGCCTGCTCAGCTAAATAGAGATTCGTTACGACATAGTGAAGCACGCTGATACGCTGAAATAGCGGATTTAGCATGTGAATGGCATGGCGCCAGTCTCAATGTGGGCCATTTTACGGCCACCATGGTCCACTATGGCTTATGGTGTAAGCGGGAGAGAGATACGCGTCAGAAGGCTCAATTGAGGGCATTGACAATCCGACCGAATGGTGCGCTAGATGAGGTTCGTGTTTGAGGAAAAGAGGGTAAGAAGCTGTACGTTGATGACATGCGATCCCACTGTCAGACGTAGAGGAGATGGGTTATGCAGATCAGGGAATTTGGGACGTCTGACTTGCAGTATCTTTGCAGATCGTTCTCCGTGGAAATTCTCAGGTGTCTTGGAGCTCGGCGACTAGGGTTACTCTCCCTTTTGTACAGATATAGTAGCACGAAGAGCGCCTATCTTTAAGCCAGGTGGCTGTTTGTGTCTGCATGGTACAGGACAGGTTGCAACGGTTTGGGCATTGAATTAGCAAAGGTTGTAAAAACAGTCTAGGGAGGTATGGGTAATGAGTGGGGGTCAAAGTGGTGTTCGCGTAAGGCATCTCGCTGAATCGCGCAAGTGGAGTGATGATCAAGCGGCCCACTAACAAGAGTTTCAAATCCATCTTTAGCATCATCTTGCGAGGGAACCAGATCAGAGTCAGTTGCGCAGAGGAAAGTGGTGTTCACATGAAGTCTGTAATAATCGCCGGTTCAGCCGGACTACTGGGACTACTAGTAGTAGCTTGTGCGTGTATGTGTTACAGTGCACATTGACTAACACTTGCGCTCACGTAATACATGCATTTTTTCATGTTAGTCTCGTGGGATGACCGGAATTTGGGTGGGGAGATGGTCCTTGGGACACATGTTACTCTTGATCAGCTGACTTGATAGAAAGAAGATAGAGGGCAATGGAATACGGGAAACAGACAGAATGGAGTTGCTAACTTTTATCGCGGGCCATGTAGTCATTTGCGGGGGCATGGACACATCCAGAGCATTCTAAGGTGATGATATGGACCTTGGTGGTCTTTGACGGCCGCTTTTCAGTTTAGGTTACTCATCACTTGTCGACTAGTTCAACCCACATGGACACACTCTAACTAATGGGCGTATCTGGCGCCTACAGTAGCTTTTGTAGACTACTAAGGAGCCGAGTATTTCATGTCACCCGGGTTGATACAAGATGATGTGTTGTCGGGTGAGTTGTGTGATGATAAAGGAGAAGTATATGGAGTAATACAACGAATGTATATGAGAATGAAGACTTGAGCCATACTGTTGGTGGAAGAAGGCCTGTATGTGTACCTCTAGTGATGGTCATGGGCCATGTGCATCTGGGTGACACCAAATACTTGACAGTGTGGGCAAGTACCTAATAAGCCTTCGTACACTAGTATGACCAGTATCTTATGTCACCCGGGTGGGTGCCAACAGCAAAACGGAATCTTGGGCTTGCATTTGCATCCATGAGAAGTTGGAAGGATGTAGGGGGTTGTATGCGAAGAGGAAGTTGTGGCCAGCTTATGTAATGTGACGGTCGGTGATGGCTGTAGATATTCGCCGACAAATCTCCAGAGCTTCGCGTGTCCGTCATCAAGCATCACTTGTCCAAACCCCACAATGGCGTCGCGTACACGGTTAGCAGCCGGCACGGCTTCTACATTACTACGAAGCTCCCGGCCTCTCGCAACCTCAAGGATATCACCATTCGCTGCTGCCTTGACAAGGTCCTCTGCCCGCACTTACAACTCGCAATCCGCCACGGGCCCGGCCAGCGTCTTTTCCTCGCTAGGCCAGCTGAGCTCGCAGTCGGGACCTCCGTCGTACTTTTCGTCACAGAGGCGTCTGCCAACAAACACCGTCATACGATTCGTGCCTCAACAAACAGCGTGGATCGTCGAGCGCATGGGAAAGTTCAATCGGATACTGGAGCCTGGTCTTGCTATATTGATACCCTTCATTGACAGGATAGCATATGTCCGGAGTTTGAAGGAGAATGCCATTGAGATTCCTAGCCAGAGTGCCATTACAGCCGACAATGTCACGCTCGAGCTGGACGGTGTCTTGTACACGAGGGTGTTTGATGCTTACAAGGCAAGGCAAGTAGATGAATTGCACAGGACGCAATTGGTCACTGACACATGGCAGTTATGGTGTAGAAGACGCTGAATACGCCATCTCCCAACTCGCGCAAACCACGATGCGCTCCGAAATCGGCCAACTCTCTCTCGACCATGTTCTCAAAGAGCGTGCCAACTTGAACCAGAATATTACCGCTGCCATCAATGAGGCTGCCCAGGATTGGGGTGTTACTTGCCTGCGGTACGAGATCCGCGACATTCACGCACCCGAGCCCGTCGTGGAGGCCATGCACCGTCAAGTTACTGCCGAGCGGTCGAAGCGTGCCGAAATTCTCGAATCCGAAGGTCAGAGACAGTCGGCCATTAACATCGCGGAAGGAAAAAAGCAGTCTGTAATTTTGGCATCAGAGGCTTTGAGGGCTGAGCAGATCAACATGGCGAGCGGAGAGGCTGAAGCTATCCTGCTCAAGGCCACGGCCACGGCCAACGGAATTGACGCTGTTGCCCGCGCCATCGCTCAAGGCGAAGGTGCTGCCCAGAACGCCATCTCACTCTCAGTTGCTGAAAAGTACGTTGACGCATTTGGAAACCTGGCCAAGGAGGGTACAAGCATTGTGGTTCCTGGAAACGTCGGGGATATCAGCAGCATGATCGCCAGCGCCATGGCAGTATACGGAAATGTGAATGCTTCACAGGCCAAGGCCCAGGCCTCAAAGATGGTTGAAGGTGGCAGGGATACAGAAGCTGGCAGGAAGATTCAAGAGCTACAGAACAAACTCGACGACGCAGAAGGCGGCGCCGGTGGGATACACGATGAGATCAGCAAGGTCATGGACCAGAGGCTGAAGAAGAGGTAGTAGCGGTGATGAGAAATGGTAGGATACGAAGGTTACACGATTGTACATTATACCATGCTGTATGACTAGCACAAACTAGCAAGCGAAGCATTGGGGTTATTGGATAGATAGGGTTATCCAAAAGCGAGCGTATTTGGCGGAGTCTTCTCTCTTGCACTTGGGAACTCCACTTCTCGTACATGATAGGGATTAGCAAAGAGCAATCAACATATCAACAACCTAAGCCAGTCGGCCTACCACTTCTGCAATCAACGTAGCGATTTGCTTTCCATCCTCCCATACCCAATCATGCGTTCCTCTCAAATCTCTCACATTGAGCACTCTCCTCCCCTCTGCCCTCACTTCATCCTCTTCGTCCCCAACCTCCATAACTATACTCCACCCTTCCCTATCCAACGCAACACACATGACATCCCTCTGCGCTCTCTCCACCAACTCATCCTCATAGCTATGACATATTACCAACAGCCTCCCCTCAGGCCACTGCTGCGTGTTGTATTTCCCCGCCACGGGCGAAACCTTGATATAATCTTTCCTCGTGCTCGCCAAACGCGCTCTTGACAAAAGTCTTGTAGATTGTGGATATGTGCTCCGGGACACGCGGGTGGCGCATGATTCCGCAACATGAGCGGTATGTTGTATATTCCCTCTAGCAGAATCAGGGCTTCGGGGCCTATCGTTGGTGATTGTAAAGCAGGCTCCAGCGTCTCCTTGTCGAGACCAGTGCCGGAAACTAGTTGCATGAGGAGG